TTGAACCGTATAAAATACATGAACCTGAACCATTTTTCTTGATGTCATGCAATCAGATGTGTAACCGTGACCAAGTATGACCATTATATATTAAGGTTAAAGTTTCTTTAACCTCACATAATACAGTACATACCTCTTTGGTGTACCAGACAAGGCGGCCGTCCACAACCGATGATGAAACCTCGCTCCTCGTAACAAATATCACAACAAATAGGTACTTAAATTCACTTAGAAGTCAACGTCGAGGATACCATATTATAATATCAACACTTAACACTTAAATGAAGCGTGTTTCATTCATAAAAGGTTAAGGAACACACCGACACCCAGCTACTGGCGTCCATCGTCTGTCTGTTTACGACACATCGCCAATGATCCTCGCTACTGGCCAGACCAAACCTTTACCTTAGACCCGTTTTCCCTTGTCTTTTCTGAGCTACTTTTCTAATTTATTTATTTATTTTAGTATTCCATAACTTGTCAGCTTATTATCCGTTTGGGCTGTTGGTCTGTTCTTTGTTACCTGTCTATATGCTTTATTGTCCAGTGTTAGTCAAGGAGGAAACCTGCCACATGCCAGCTGCTCCTGTCATCTTCATTTGTCACTGTCTTATTCACATAACACTGTCACTGTCGTCCGCGTTTGTCACCTTCACATAACAGTCACTTCCTTCTGTCACTGCCAATTCATCTTGTCACTGTCAGCACTTCCACACACTACTAGTTCAAATACAACACTGACAGTACTGACTGCTCAGTCACTTGTTTCGTCATAGATAAGAGATAGATAGATAGATAGATATTTAGTAAAAGCATGTCTCATTATTGACAAACTTTTACATGACCATTGACCACTATGTGTAGATTATCCTGTCTATCTATCGTGGTCTTTTCTTGGTTAAATCAATTTAATGCTTACTATTTTTTTAATCATAATTTTACATCAGTTTAAATTTACCACAACTAAATAGAAATAAAAAATTATAGTCGTGAAAAAATCCCCCATAAAGCAGCACATGGTCAGGTATATACGGTGTCATAGAAAACAGCAATGATTAAACCCCCAACTTAAGTAATGTTATAAGCAACAGTACTACGAAAATCATTAGCCAAGAAATTATTACTACTATGAAGCGAAAATTGAAAATAAAAACCAACTTAAGTTATCTTAATAATAACTTCTATATTGACTAATTTAAAGTAACTTAGTTTTTGTGCCTTAGCGACATAAGCAAAGAAAACGTTATCTGGGTATTCTTGACTAACCGATGTAAATACAGGTAATTAAATCTCCCATATGATTTCTCTAATTTTATTTTGTTGCTTTTCATTATTTTAATCATATTTTTGAAGGATATTTACTTACCGATTAATTAAAGAGGCAACATTATAATTATTAGTAAAAATTTTATTAATATTTGTGTGCGATGCCAAGTTATTCAGGGAAATTAGTGAGACCCGAACTGTGTGCATAATTTTATTTGCATAGTTCACATATGACTCCTCAAGTTGATCAACATATATGGTGAAGATTTCGCTTGATTTATTCTTCTTTATGGGTCACACATCAGGGGTTCAACATTGGTATGAATACTATTTTGTAAACCTGTGTATGTACTGGAGTATATGTAAATCAAACTCAATGGCCTGTAATTACTTAAGGAATAGCGATTGTCCTTTTGGTTAATATTCGTCCAGTTGTCTGTCCGCAGGTTCTCATCCTGCTTACCTGAAACTATACTGCTCACTTAAGAGTCAATTGTCTCCTCCTTTCCTCCTCCTCCTCGCTAGGTGGAACATGGGGGCATGGGAGTGGAGGAGACTGCAGTGGGAGCAGGTAAACAAAGTGAAAGGTTACAGGGAAATAGTGCTAGGAATGATGACAAAACTAAATTAGTCAGGGAGTTAAAACCTAAACGCTTCAAAGAGAGGAAACACGACTGACTTAAATGTCTACACAACGCAAACAGTAGAAGTATAAGAAACAAAGTGGATGAAATTCGGGCATTGGTATGTACCGAAAAAAATCGATATACAAGCATTCACCGAAACATGGATAAAATTACTCACGTGAGTTACCTGTCGAATACCAAATTCCAGGTTACAAATTATTCCATACCGATAGGCCGTCCAGGAAAGGAGGCGGAGTAGCAATCTATGTCAGGGTTAATCTGAAGTGCGAAATAAATAACGAAATAAAAACTGAGCTAAATACAGAAACAATTTGGATAGAATTAATCATAGGAGTAATAAATAGACCTCCTAATCTTGATAGAGTTAATGAGCGACTTATTTGGGATGAAATGCGCAGGGCTTCCATACATAGTAAAGTCTGTATAGTAGGCGACTTTAACTTTAGCCAAATAGATTGGATTGACCTTTAGGGTAACTCAGAATCAGAGGATTTTCTTGAAACAATCCAGGACCGTTTCCTGAGTCAACATATAACCAAACCCACCCGGGGTAATGATATAGTCGATTTAGTTCTGTCACACAGAGAAAACCTCATTAGCAATGTCGAGGTAGGGAACGAACTTGCTAACAGCGATCACAAAGAAATAACATTCCAATTAGAATTTGAGGGTAGTCACAAGGAAAATTCCATTAAAATCCCAGATTTTGGAAGGGCAAACTTTGATAGTTTGAAGAGGCAGCTGAGAGAAGGGGTATTACACTTGGGGGTGAATTACATGACCTCACACAATGTACCCAGAGGGCGACCTCACCTTACCTGGTGACCTGACAACGATAACCTCACAAAATATGACAGATGAGGATGACCTGATCACGAGATCTGAGGTTGACGAGTTCCACAACAATTTACATAATGAGTTACTTAATGCACAAAGGCAGAGCATACCACACAGAAAACGCAGATCAAACAACAATGACCTTAAATGGATAAATTATTATATAAAGAATATTATTGGACAAAGGAAGGCTTTAGGTAGAAGAATAAATCGTGGTGAAGTTTACCTCCGAGCCAGTAACCAGTTGGCTTAAGACCGAGATAAGAAAAGCAAAGAGGAATATTGAACTGAAGGTAACAAGGGAGGCGAAGTCAAACCCCAAGGGATTCTTTCAAATGTATCAAGCTAAAACACGAGAAAAATTGGACCAATACAGTCAGATACCAGCGAGCACACTGATAACGACGGAGAAATGAGCAATAATCTGAATAAATATTTTTCAACAGTTTTTACCACCGAAAATTTAAACATGATACCCGAGGCACCGACTATATAGGTACAGAGATAGTGAAGAAAATAGATTAAGCGAGATAGTAGTGACTAGTAACAATGTTAGTAAGCAAATAGACAAACTAAAGCCTAATAGGTCACCAGGTCCCGATGAGATATTGCCAGATTATTAAAGGACTGTAAGGAAGAGCTTAGTATGCCCTTAGCAAACTTGTTTAACATGTCCTTAAAAATGGGTGTAGTACCAGAATCCTGGAGGATAATGAATGTAATACCGATTTTCAGGAATTGAGATAGATCACTATCCTCTAACTACTGTCCAATCAGTTTAACATCAATTGTAGGCAAATTACTAGAAGCAATAATTTCAAACTCTATTCGAAATCACCTGGAGAAGCACAAGTTGACAATGATTCTCAACAAGTGGGCATCCATGTCTAATCAATCTATTAACATTCTTTTCAACTGTTTTCGAATCAGTGGATGATGGACATGATTATGATGTGGTATACCTCAACTTTAGCAAAGTCTTTGACAGAGTCCCCCACGAAAGACTAATGAGAAAAGCGGAGGCTCATGGCATTGAAGGAGATATTCTAAAATGGATTAGGGCATGGTTACAGGACAGGAAACAGTGAGTGAGCATTAACGGCACTAAATCCGATTGGGGTAACGTCACTAGTGGAGTACCCCAAGGCTCAGTACTTGGACCATTATTATTTATTATATACATAAACGACATAGATATCGGCATAGACAGCAACATAAGTAAATTTGCTGATGACACTAAAAGAGGGCGTGTAATTAAATTTGACGAGGCCTCCACAAAACTACAAGAAGACCTAAGCAAATTTTTTGAATGGTTTGAAAAATAGGAGATGAAATTCAATGTGAACAAATGTAAAGTACTCAGTATAGGAGATGTAAACCGAGTAACCGGATACCAGATGAACAACGATGTTATAGAGAAATCCGACTGTGAGAAAGTTATAGATGTAATGATAAATAGGAATCTTAAGCCAAGTAAACAATGTGTATTTGCTCGAAACAAGGCTAATAAAGTACTTGGGTTAATACAAAGGGGTGTTAGTTACAAGACTAGAGAGGTTATCCTAAAACTATATCTTGCGCTTGTGAGACCTCACTTTGATTATGCAGTTCAATTCTGGTCACCGTATTACAGAATGGATATAGAATCCTTAGAAAGAATTCAGAGGAGAATGACAAGACTAATCCCGGGCATTAGGAGCCTTGAGTACAGAGACAGGTTAAAGCATCTTAATTTGCATTCCCTTGAGAGACGTAGAGCGAGGGGCGACATGATAGAGGTGTATAAATGGAAGTCAGGGCTAAACAAAGGCGATATAACAAAGGTACTCAAACTATCCAACCGGGAGCGAACTCGTAACAATGGTTTTAAATTAGACAAACTTAGATTTCGGCGCGAAATAGGCTACTATTGGTTTGGAAATATAGTGGATGAGTGGAACAAGTTACCAAACATCATCATTAACTCAAATATGCTGGATGGATATATGAGCAATAGGGGTTGGGTGTAAATGGGACTGCCCAGTATGGGCTAATAGGCCCGCTGCAGTTTCCTCCATTCTTTTGTTCTTATTTTCGTGTAAGTTAGGTTAGGTTGGTTTGTTTGGGATGAGAATAGTTTTTTTTTTTTTTTTACTCAAATCTGACCTCCATTTTTTTTTTTGCAAATTAGTGGTGTTTGTTTAAAATGAAAATTAATTTTTTGGCAAAAAAAAACTATTTTGCACACGAAATAAGATTCGAGTAAAACACACCCAAAAAATTCTCATACCAAAACCTGAGGACAGCCAATGGACAAATATTTACCGCACTTTCTAATATAGGAACTCATTTATGTTAATTTCCAGTCATTAGGGATCTTTTGTTCTTCCATACTTCTGCCAAACAGGATATTATGGTCTTGTGAGAGTTTGATCCACAACTCTCTTAATACTCTGAGATGTACACAACCAGGAACTATATTAACCAATAGTTTATATACTTTACTACAGACTCAATTTTCTGATGGAAAGATACAATACAGTTAATCTCCTCAAAACATCTCAGATTTTGAACATGATTTAAGTTGACATTATGTTAATTTTTAGGCCCATAGAGACAATACATGTAGCTATCATCTCTCTACACACACAGGTCCTGAAATACCTATCATGCCAAGTTTGAACACATGATATAACCCCTTAATAGTCATAAACAGTAGTACTTATAGAGCCTTATAGCGATTAATATATAAGGTACAGTGATTTTTTTATGGTCTGGCTATTTATGTACAGAAACATTTATAAATATGATACAAATTCACAATGTATTTGGCAAAATATATACCCGGTATCTACTATAGTGTCACCTCCTGGTCTGTTTACACGAGTAAAAGTAAATTATATTAATTGAAAATAAACCAAGATTCAGTGTCATAATATTCTGCAGCACATACTGTATAGCAGTTGGACATGCACTCAGTTACAACCTTCGTGCTTATTCCAGTGTATGAAGTAACCAAACTGCACGCCATTGGACATGCACTCAGTTACAACCTTCGTGCTTATTCCAGTGTATGAAGTAACCAAACTGCACTCAAACATATCATTCATACTTGATATATAAAGTCTTATTCCCACCTATAGCTGAAAAAACAGTTTGAACATATTTCTCGACTTAAATCTTACAAACTGAGCATAATTGTAAATGCAATATATTCCTATGAGATTGTTTATACCTATACCTCCACACTACACTATGCTGATCCTTGCCTCATGACCTAAATCTATAATCTGGTCCCATATAATGGTCTAAGTCACTCGACCACTAATCAAGGAAGCCAGGCAGCCCCTGTTACTGTCTGTACAGAGGAAGTGCTTATGAATGATAGTGATCAATATGTCTGTGGAGTAGTGACACACACAGACCCACACACATCCACACATGTACCCACATACACCAAGAAGTGCTTCAGGGTGGATAAGGAGAGATAGGCCTCTTCTAAAAGGCTTTATTCAATAATGAACTTCAGCACAAAGAAAAATAATAAGGCACAGAAGGCCTCACCACACGCTACATACAAACTAAAATACCCTTCCTCCTTTCTGTGGCCTGGATACAAACAATACTACCAGGTATGTGCACGTGTGTGACTTAAAAGTAATGACATTTGTACATAATTTTCTCAAGATCTATTCTGTTTGCATGAATGTGTAAATTTCCATTACATTACAAAAGTTAAACTACCATGACTGTACTACATAATAACTTGTACTAGTGTTTGTAGTATATCACTGTAATTCACTTCTTCAGTATGATGCCAACTTGAGTACAAATAATTAGCCCAGTTCAGAAATTACCTTAACCTTTTAAATACAATAATTAATCCCTTGGGTAAGATATCTACAACCTTTCAGCACAAAAACCCATTCCTTGAGTGTGATACAGTAACATTGTATTCAGGGTCTAAGTCACTTTACTCAGTGGATATTTACTTACTGAATGGGTTAAGACTGTCCTCAAAGGGTTAAGACTGTCCTCAAAGGGTTAAGACTGTCCTCAAAGGGTTAAGACTGTCCTCAAAGGGTTAAATCACACCTAGGTAATCTACTTTTCATTTCCTCATTACTTTTGACAGTATAAGAGGAGATACTTTTCAAGATTAAATTGATTGATTGTCTTAACACCGTGCATCAGAAAATTATACCAATATTCACATGAACTACATTAATCTTTTATCTATGAAACAAAATGGTGGTCCCCAACCAGTGCTCATTGTTATTTTCATATTGTAAGTGTCTCATTAAACTGCAGGATTGTGTTAATTTTCACAGATTACATCAAACAGGGTTTTAATTTCATCTTCAACTAATCACTTCCATTCACACTTTTTACTGTACTTGTTTCACCATCCATCTCTGTTTTTTTTTCATCACTACACAACCTTTTATGTGGAGAGCTTCTAGTGACAATGTGTATCTAAATACTGTACTACTGGTCTGACTCTTCCCTTCCAGTCCTCCATCTTCTCAGTACATTATCCCTTCAACTTCATCCAGGTCTGGAACACTACCCATCATGCCACAATGTAAACTAAATACCTACTGTACATAACAAATTACATTACTTTTAACAATTATATATGTACATTTATAACCAAAAGAACTGTGTGCTTATTCCATATACTGTACAATGTGAATCATATGGTTTCTTATGACTCAACTTTATCATGGCCTCCAGAACACTAATAAATATAACTACTGTACTGTACACTTATCACTATATAGTGCAGTTATTCCTTCTCTCAAAACACATCTCAGGTGATATTGGAACAATTTCTAACTAGTTTCTGTTTGTGTTGTGCATTTTGTCTTATATTAATGGTTTATAGACACACATTGTGCAGGGAGACATGATGGAAGCCACCATGGTCTGGCAGACAACAGTAATGGAAGTACAGTACAGTATACAGTACTGTACATACAGGTATACACAATATGAAAATATCTTGAGTAATGTTGGAGGTGTGTCAGTGAGAGTAGTCAAGTGGAAAGGTTTCCTTGAAACACAGCTGGTGGCTCACTTGGCGAGTGATGAGGGAAACTTTTGTCGTCCTTCACAATGCTTCTGGGTCCTGGCAGAGGTCTCTGTGGGTGAAAATATAATCATCTCGTTCATGAATATATGACGACCAGGTAATTATATGCAGTACTGTCCAAGTTTTATTGAAGAACAGTTATGTACATACATCGGCTTAACTCCCCAAAGTAAGGATGGAAGATTCTGATTGAGGGCATTTAGTTATATATCGCAAGATTAACTTACAGTAAAGCCAATGCATAAACTTGCCATCTACATAATAATCAACTCTTACATTTCTTTTTAGAAATGTAAAGTGTTTATGTAAACAAAAAACTATGGTACCACAAAGGCATTTACTGGTACAGCACTAACCTAACATAGAAATTTGTAATATATTTAGTGTAAATTAATTCTTTATGTAGTTTCAGGGTTTCTCAAAATATTTTATGAGGAAAACGGAAATTTAATTAATATATAACATGTAAAAATAATTCACAATCGTTGTTCTATGACCATTTTCCATGCTTGCACGGGTTAGCTGTGAATACCTGATGGCAGCTCTCTATGCTGCAGCCCCTCTTACCAGGTTCTTATTTCTGAGGTAATTTCTCTAATATTATTCTTGGCTCTCCTTCCCTCCACTTTCACACTTCTGCTCCTCTTGACCCAGTTGGTCTCCTTGAACCATCTCAACCAACATTATCTCTGTGCATAACCTCGCCAATACTCTTAATACAGTACCCAGTTGTCCTCTTAGTTCTGAACAGGGTTTCCTATCTTTCAGTATCACATTACACATCCACCTCACCATTCTCCTTTCAGTAAGCTCAAACCTGCATATTAACTGACCATGTTCCACTGCCCTATAACATCACACTTCTCACACCAGGTCCCCTTGCTGTCAATAAAAGCACCAACTAACAAAATGTAACGTGATCTTAAACACAACAAATACAGGCAACTGTACACATACAGTACACATGTATGTGTTGACTGGGTGGCTTACCATGGCGAGGTCATCTGGCATCTGAAACAAATGAGCATCAGTTCTCTATCTTAGTACATCAGTTAAACCTTTCAGATCAAACAGTAACTAAGCTTACCAGGAAATGAGGCATACATTACAGTAAAAAGCTTAACAGTAGTTATTACAAGCTTAACATTAAGTATAACAAGCTTACAGGTATATATGACTAGTCTACAGCTGAGGATGATAAAATACACTACAGGCAGATATATAAGATTAAAGAGGAGTATGACTAAGCTTAAGAGTCAGTATTATAAGCTTCATGTAGATGTAATTACCATATAAGTGGTTAAAATAAGCTTAAAGAAGAGATTAACTGAGCTTAAAACGTTATACAATAAGCTTACTTGGAGCTAATAGGTGCTAATGTGTAAATATTATATTCTAACAAGTAGGCATAACAATAAGCTTTGAAGTTATTACACACTCATATAATAAGCTTCATGTAATTATTATAAGCTTCATTTTATACTAATTATCATGAGCTTACAGGCAATAAGCTTGAAAGGTATTGGTATGTAATATAAGCCCATAGGAAGTTACATTAAGCTGAAGGAGGGGAAAAAAAGCTTACAGTTGATTATAATCTCACAATAGGAAGATCAGCTTTACATTGAGACTGAAGTAAGCTTAAGGGGCTAGAATATAGGTTCAAAGCTGACATGATACTACTTGAGAGAGAGAGAGAGAGAGAGAGTGAAGCAGGGAGAGAGTGAGAGAGAGAGATTCCCTTATTACATGCCTCTGTCCCCTAAAATCGGCAACACACACACACACGAACTGGCCTCATAAGGAAGAAATACTAAGCTTACAGGTGATAATAATAAACTTAAAGGCGAGTAAAAGAAAGCACATATCAAGCTTACAGGTAGAGTTAGTAATTAAGCTTATTAGATGATTAATTAAAAAGTCTACTATATGGTAATGAATTATAACAGTACTGTATAATATAGTCATAAAAACATTACCGGGTATACTGTACTCTCTCTCTCTCTCTCTCTCTCTCTCTCTCTCTCTCTCTCTGTATACTGTATATCACTTCCCCACCTCAAGTACTTCCTCCACCGATCAACATCCCTACACCATCCTTCCTGACGACTTTACACCTGTGCCATTCATAATAAGTAATCCAATTAGCTACCCCACCCCCCCCTCTCCACCTAGTTCCCTCTCCACATCAAACATCCACCTCATTATATTCATACTTCCAACTCTGAATACATGTAGCATTCTATGACAGACATTTGTACAGTGTATCGGTAATTTATGTTGAACTGGTTTTCTTATATAAGTCTTTTGCTCTACTGTACTGTCATATTAAGTGATGAGTTAATGACTAAAGTAAAATTCCCCCCTCCCCCCCACGCCCTTCTGATGTAGCAAAAGTAGTCCGGTGGGTTTGAGGTGATCCACTATATTTCAGGAACACTCACCATTAAAGCTGACTATGGTATGGTAGCTCTTTCATTCCTCCCACACTCACTAGCACCAGATGCAAGGAATGGGTCTGAGGCCACAAGGTTCTTAGATAGGAGTTAAATCATTTCCTTTTTACCTGTCCTCTCTTCCCTTCATTCTTTCTTTTTTTTCTATCTTTATATTCCCTCCTACACTTACCTTCTCAAACACAGGGAACAAACGTGAGGAAGAGAAGTTCTTGGATTAATGTAGGTCACTCCTGTCTCTCCCTCTTCTCTCCCTCCTTCTTTCTCTCCCTTCTCCCTCCCACACTCACCATCTCAACAGTCCCAGACACATGGAACAGATCCGAGTTGGTGAAGTTCTTGGGCTGCTGTAGGTCAGGGGCGTAAGGATTGGAAGAGAAGGCGTCGATAGTGTTGTTCCCGACGACTCCTGTTGTGGAGGCCTCGAGTGCCATGATCTGGGTCGTCCGAACATGATATGGGAAGTTGCTGTTGGCTGCACTCGGCCGCGTCAGGAACTGTGGAAGATGTGGATGTTAGTGGAAGGTGGTGGTGGTGGTGGTAGAGGTGCTTGTGTGGTGGTAGAGATGGTTGTGTGGTAGTGCTATCCTGAACCAGAAGGGTGTTATACCACCCATCCACCCACAGCCTCACCAGCCGTAACTCACCAGGAAGAACCCGTGGCCCAGGAGAGTTATCCCCAGGTCGACACCATTCACCACCTTCTCCCTCACCCACTTGTCGATCACGTGGTTACTGATTATTATCACCACTGGCCCTGACAAGAACCTGGAAAGATTATAGAGGTCAATTATTGGTCATTACAGGTCAATTATTGGTCATTATAGAGGTCAATTATTGGTCATTATAGAGGTCAATTATTGGTCATTATAGAGATCAATTATTGGTCATTATAGAGATCAATTATTGGTCATTATAGAGGTCAATTATTGTTCATTATAGAGGTCAATTTAGAGGAGGAATAAATAGTATAATTGTGGTATTAATGATAGAAGCATGGGAATTGGCACACTATTAGATAATGTCTTTAAGTAATTTCAGCCACAAGGCCGTTGTATATTATTTCCCTGGGGACCATGGTAGCTATTAAACAAAATGGCCACCAGCTTTTACGAGAGAGTCTACTTCTATGCTATGTTCTTCCACAACTTGCTTATTTCCTCACATGTTACTTTTAGGAAAGGCTGCTGGTTGTTTCCTGGGCTTCTCTGTAATGAGGTTAGGTTAGATGGCAAAAGATGGTGTGACAATTATATATTTTTTTCTATTTCCAGATAGTCACTTAAACTGGAAGGCAATGTCCAAAATATATAAAATATCAGATGAGCCGCAGCCTAGCACATCAGCTGCTACAGAAACTAACTGGGACAAATGTGTGCTATGTCAAAAGTTGTCCAGCACAATCATAACGTAACACAGGAGGAGCATGGCACAAGACACTTGCAGAAAATCTCTTGGGCTTCAAGAAGATAGACTGTTTGCCATGAGTTTTTTTCCCATGCATGGTTATTTCAAGGTGATGATCCACACAGTTTACACTGACGTTCTAGTGTTTGCCATAGCAGCTTTTTATCTCCTCAATATCACTGAGCTTTGGGTTGCCTTTGCCACAGGAAAAGGCTTCAGATACCTCTCAGTCCATGAGATGGCAGGTTCTCTTGGGCCTGAGAAGTGCACAGCCTTGCCTTTTCTTCAAGCATTCAGTGAGTGTGACACTGTCTCTTCCTTTGCTGGCAGGGGCAAGAGGACTGTGTGGGAAGTTTGGATAGCATTTGATGAGGCTACACCAGCATTTGGTGCTTTAGCATCCACTCCTAGCTCTGTTGAGGACCACCTGGGGGTACTGGAGCGCTTTGTTGTGCTCCTCTATGATTGCGCTAACAGTGCAGTAGGGGTGAACGAGGCCCATAAGCAGCTGTTTTCTCAAAAAGGCAGATCTATGGCTGGCCTTCCCCCAACACAAGCTGCACTTTTGGAGTATACTAAGAGAGCTGCCTACCAAGCAGGTTATATCTGGGCACAGATGTTGGTAGCTGTTCCCTCACTTCTATCCTCTGTTGAATGGGGTTGGACACAAAAAGAGGATGGAGGTTGGGAAGTGAAGTGGACAGCTCTTACCGATGTTTCTCATGCCTGCCAGGAACTACTTCATTGTGGTTGCAATAAAGGATGCAGGGGGCAATGTAAATGTGTGAAGGCTGCTCTACAGTGTACTGCTCTTTGCCTGTGTGGAGGCCTATGTGACCGTGAATAGGTCAAGCTTGTACAGTAATGCAAAATAATGAGCTGATTATTGGAGTTTTTCACCTATTCAACATCCAGTTTAATTGTATTCTGTATTTTCTATAACCATAAGTTGACACATTGCAGCCGAGCTGTCCCAATATTTGATTATTAGCCGATTTATGCAGAGATTGTGAGTCATCTTGTTATTTTTGCTGTATGTGCAGTTAATCTAATAACACAACAGTAATGATTTTTTTTTAATATTACACCTTTGCCAGTATGAGTGAGGTGGGAAAGGGTTCGAGAGACTGGACCAGGGTTAAGCTCAAGTCATTTAATGGACAGGTGGCCGGTGTGCCACACCCGATGATGATGATTTGTGATAAAGGCATTCCGGTCCCCTCTGAGGATTCGAACCTATGAGAGATGTCTGTTTTAGTTTAATGTTGAATTATGTTGATTAAAATAAATGTTTTTCCAGGTTTGTGGTGAATGCTGTTCCAAGTTTATGGTGAATGGTGTTGAAGAAAAGTGTTAATGTTATTGAATTTTTGTTGCCTTTGAAAATATTTGCAATTCATAAAGCACAACAATTAAAAATGGCTATCACAGCACTCATAGGACAGATCTGAGATGGCCCTATAGCCCATAATGTTTACCCTGCCCTCCTCTAAACATGTGCCAAATTTCATGCTTCTATCATTAAACCCACAATTCCTAGATATATTTCCCCATCTGCCTGACTAAAAGCTCCATCTCTTAGTCGTGTTTCCTGCACTGCCGTACTACATCTGTCCCCTATGAACAATATTCACATGTACATACTTACCAGAGGGTGTAGAAGATGAAGAAGGGGTAGTAGAAGGCAGCCTTTTCTGGGTAGTGCTTTATGGTGAAGAAGCAGGCATACAGGAACATGAACCAGGCCAGCAACCGTAACACTAGCAGACCATAGCCAGCGGGTGACTCATATAAGTATAACACCTCCCCCGGGTCAAAGATCTGGAAGATAACCCAATGTATTAGTACTGTAACTTTGATGTGGTCACTTAAATCAGGGTGGTGGGGTTCACCTAGTAGTTTTGATGTGATCTATCTCTCTGTAATCTACCTGTCTGTCTCCATTATCTCTCTAAATTCTTAAAGTACAGGTATTCTTAATTTTCTGAGGGTTAAAGAATTTGGGGAATAAACGCTTCCTTGTAATGTCATCTTAATCTGTAAAATCTGTACAAGTTTTCTTCTCTCTTCATGGTTCAAGAATGTTGAGTCCTCCTGTCCCTGATTTTTTAACCAGAGAATATCTCAATTTCAAAATAGTTCCCAATATTAAGGTTCACGATAAGAGTAGAATTACATCTTGGTGCTGTAAATGGTTCTCACATCCAGGGCTCAAGATCTATTAGTAGAACCACCTCTAAAGGTGAAGATTTGTGTGGAAAGTTTTCTCATTATCTTCATAATGTTCTCTATGTAAGACCAAAGACCAGATGATGGATCAAGTAAGTAGGTCAATTTATTTCATCTTTCTGAGGTTTACATACAAAAGGGTTAATAAAGACCGAGAATCTTTTTTCTTCCCACAGAGTGCATCTATGTTTTTAATTTCCATGTGAATGTGGGTTCAACAGGTGTGACACCCAGTTATAACATATATAAGACTCGACCTTCAACACAGAGAGTGGCTGGCACCACACCCAACTGCCTTCCACTTCCCACACTGTGAGTTAGGTACTGTACTATACCCCTGTTGCAGCTGGGTTGACCAGGAGCTCCCCACTCGGTTACCAGCTGTGGGACTCAAACTAAGATGAAGATTAATAACCCAATGACATCATGTACAGTATCTGAATAATATCTATTGAACCATAGGCTATAAACTATCCTCCAAGTTTTCATAATTTGTCTAGTCCTCATTAACCAAGGAGTCACCCATGATTTGGACAGACCTGTCATTTTTTGCTATGGATCCAATAATAACTAAATAATGCAGTTACAAGGTTAAGGGGAACACGTACCCGCTGCTCGTAGATGAAGAGAGCGACATAGGTGGCACAGTAGAGACACATGAAGGTGGTGAGGCGCACGGCAGAGTTCTGACGCAGCCGACCCCTAGTGATGTTAAAGCCTTTACCCATCAGCAGCAACACTAACACCATCATCACCGTACTCAGTGTGTGTAGTAGACGACCTGAGACCAAACAATCAGTGTAAACAAAAGGTTCCTATCTAGACAATGGAATAAAATTAAATACTTTTACTACAGTATTGTTAGAGAGTGAGCTTCAGTAAAGTTATTCACCAATATAATTAGAATTACTGTATAGTTAAACATGGTCATGCAACATCAAATTGATAAGAAAAATTATACAGTACAGTTTTCATTTTTATACAGTGACCTGGGGACTCAAGGCGTTGGTGTGTGTGTGTTCCTACTTGTTATCTCAGCCTTTTCTCTCATTTCTCTCCTTTTCTGAATATCTCCCATGACCACTTCCTCTCTTCCTTAAGGATTTTTCCCTTAATTCACTCAATACATATGAGGATGGAGAAAAGATATAGAGATATGTGTTGTCATATATAAATACAGCATATGCTCGCATTTATATATACACCCACCTCTAGTTTTACGCGGGGGTTACGTTCTTGAAAACCACCGCTTAATTTAAAAACGCGTAAAGTAAACATAATTTTCCCATAAGAATACATGTAAATGGTACAGGTTAGGAGAACCATCATAGACCACACAGGGTATGAACAGTGCTCTCACTTAAACCAAGCACGCGGCCAACCTCCGACACACGCTCTCCTCTCTGAAGGCGGGTGATCACATTTAATTTCATATCCATTACGATTATTTTTCGTGCCTTTTTAGCTTTAGGCGCCCCAGAGGAGGCAGATAAACATTTTCCAGACATGCTCAATGGGGGAAAACAGAGTTTAACACTAAAAAGGTACGTGATAAATACACAATGCAAATGAGAGCACAGAGAAAGTAGTGCTGGTGTGACCTGAGAAAGTGATACGCAGGAAGCTTGCTGGACGTGGTCACAGTTGTTGGACAGAATACTTCATTATCATCATTATCTTCATCATTAGTAGTAATAATCTTTATTATTACATTATAATAATAATAATAATAATAATATTAAAATCATTGATGTTGATATGACTGCGGCTTTATAGTAATAACTTACAGGCACCTCACCAGGCATCACACGCGACTCCACTGCCAGGCGACCAGGTGAATATGCACGGCAAATTTAAACTGTGTTGAGGGCGTTATTTCAAAAATAGGTGCTTGTCAATTACGGTAGCTTTTGGTATTAATTAAACAATCGCGTTATTTCAAAAATTCTTAAATCAAACGAGCGTAAAATGCAAGTTACCTGTAATGTACAGTACAGTCACCCAAAAAACTATCTGTACAAAATTATGTTGAGAAAATATGACACAACACACGAAGGATTTTGACAACCCTACCGCGAGTGAGATAGTTTGTCGAGTGACTGTACATATGTGTATGCATGTATACAAGTCCTGTATGCAAATCTGAATTCATATCATAAACATGTATATTCAATACTATACATGTGTTCTAATCCATCTTTCCCCATTACCCAACTTATGGATTTTACTTTTATCCATACTACAATACTGTACTCTCCTTTGCTCTCCTCCTTATCCTTACCTAGAAGTTTACTGAAGGGCAGACCGACGCCATCAAAACCATATCTAGCGTAGTGGAGACTTAGGAAGACCAGACCGAATATTTGTGCCATTATGGCCACCATGTATAAGCGGTACGTTGTGTGGAACAGCTGACGGCTTTTGAGTTCAGCTGTAGCAAAATACAGATCAGTTGTACTTAAGTCACGGTGAAGGGAAACAGCTGGGATTGTTATGTCATAAATGGGAAAAAGTCATGGTAATCAGGTCAGAACTGGGGATATTGCTAGGATGGTTAGGAGAGGATTGGGGACAAGTCGGGGCAATTGAGCCATCTTTGGAACTACCTGTATAGTATTTACCAGTGACACACTTAGGATGATCAGGTCAGGTTAGAGACAGTCAGGCAAGTTGAGTCAGAGGTGGAGTCAAGTGGGATGATCAGGTCAGGGTAAGGTTATAATTAGGACAATCAGGTCAAAATTGAGAATATAACCAGCACAATCAGATCAGTTTTAGGGGTCAGATTGAAGGCAGTGTCAAGCGCTGGGATAAAGACAGGGTGATAAATATGCATACTAAAAATTTCACTCTAAAACAAATACACAAATATTACCTTTATGAACACTTTAAAAAAATAAACAAAATAACACAAGCATATTTTAATCTACAGCCACCAATAAGACATAAAGGTAAAGGAATACTTTTCAAAACTACAAAGTAAAGAATAAAAAAAAAAAAATAGCCTTATAAAAATAGTATTAATCTAATCTTTTATGTAGAATTTCATTATTAAATAGAACCCAACGACACATGGTTTGATTTAAAGGTTCAATTACTGTCATATTTAAGACACTTTTCTACGTATAGTAATAGAAGGAAAATATATGAGATCAATATAATTAAGAGGAATATTTCTAAACAAGTGGTTAGTGTGTCCAGTAATAACATGTGACTAAGGATTAACTTATAAAGTACAGAGGCATAGAGTAGAGGAGGCATAGAGTAAAGGAGGCATAGAGCACAGAGGCATAGAGTAGAGGAGGCATAGAGTAGAGGAGGCATAAAGTAGAGGAGGCATTGAGTAGAGGCATAGAGTACAAGAGGCAGTGAGTAAAGGAGGCACAGAGTACAGAGACGTAGAGGAGGCATAGAATAAAGAAGGCATAGAGTACAGAGGCATAGAGTAGAGGAGGCATAGAGTAGAGGAGGCATAAAGTAGAGGAGGCATTGAGTAGAGGCATAGAGTACAAGAGGATAGTCACTAACTGTTCCCAGGGTCCTGATGTATGGCTAGGAATGTTGGTCCCTCACCTATGGCTAAATGACCTGAATTATGGCACAGGTCCAAGCCTATGACCAGAGCTAGGGCCCCTAACCTATGACCAGAGCTAGGACCCCAACCTATGGCCAGAGCTAGACCCCTAACCTATGACCAGAGCTAGGACCCCTAACTATGGCCAGAGCTAGACCTCAACTGCCCAGAGCTAGGACCCCTAACCTTGGCCAGAGCAAGGACCCCAACCTATGCCCAGAGCTAGGACCCCTAACCTATGACCAGAGCTAGACCCCCTAACCTATGACCAGAGCTAGGACCCCCAACCTATGGCCAGAGCTAGGGACCCCTAACCTTGGCCAGAGCTAGACCCCCTAACCTATGACCAGAGCTAGGACCCCTAACCATGGACCAGAGCTAGGACCAACCTATGACCAGAGCTAGGACCCCCAGGTCCAGAGCTAGGACCCCTAACCTTGACCAGAGCTAGGACCCCTAACCTATGACCAGAGCTGGGACCCCTAACCTATGACCAGAGCTAGGACCCCTAACCTATGACCAGAGCTAGGACCCCTAACCTATGGCCAGAGCTAGGACCCCTAACCTATGGCCAGAGCTAGGACCCCTAACCTATGCCAGAGCTAGGACCCCCTAACCCATGACCAGAGCTAGACCCCTAACCTATGACCAGAGCTAGACCCCAAACCTATGGCCAGAGCTAGGACCCCTAACCTATGAGGCCAGAGCTAGACCCCCTAACCTATGCCCAGAGCCAGGACCCCTAACCTGTACAGAGCTAGACCCCAACCTATGGCCAGAGCTAGGACCCCTAACCTATGACCAGAGCTAGACCCCTAACCTATGACCAGAGCTAGACCCCCCTAACCTATGACCAGAGCTAGGACCCCCTAACCTATGACCAGTGCTAGGGCCCCAACCTATGACCAGAGCTAGACCCCTAACCTATGACCAGAGCTAGACCCCTAACCTATGACCAGAGCTAGGACCCCTAACCTATGACCAGAGCTAGGACCCCTAACCTTGGCTAGAGCTAGGACCCCCAAACCTATGGACCAGAGCTAAGGCCCCTAACCCATGACCAGAGCTAACCCTAACCTATGACCAGAGCTAGGACTAACCTATGACCAGAGCTATCGCCCCTAACCTAAGGCCAAGTAGTGCTAATCTGTATGGGCCATTGAACATGCAAATAGACCACTAAATATGACTATGGACCCTGAACTATGGCCCTAGGTGCATTAAATCCTGTTTGGTAAAGCTGACCTGAGGCAAGGAGTGAGAGGAAGAGGATCCCCAGTTGTAGGATAAGAGCCGTAAGGTCCGTCCGTAGGATATCTGAAACACAACTTCAACCATACAGTATATATAACGGGCCATTATATCGAGGCCCATTAGATATGAAACCTATATATAATGAACTATATGGGGAGTATAGTCCATTATATCGAGGCCCATTAGATATGAAACCTATATATAATGGACTATATGGTATATAGTCCATTATATCGAGGCCCATTAGATATGAAACCTATATATAATGGACTATATGGGGGTATAGTCCATTATATCAAGGCCCATTAGATACAATAAAATCCCCATATAAGGAACAATATAGAAACCATAATCCATTATATCAAGGCCCATTAGATACAATAATCCCTATATGAACAATATAGACCATGGTCCATTATATCAAGGCCCATTAGATACAAAACCCCATATAAGGAACAGTATAAGAGACCATAGTCCATTATATCAAGACCCATTAGATACAAAACCTATATAAGAAAATATAAGAGACCATAGTCCATTATATCAAGACCCATTAGATACAAAACCCCATATAGGAACAATATAAGAGACCAGTCCATTATATCAAGGCCCATTAGATACAAACCCCCATATAAGGAACAATATAGAAGACCATAGTCCATTATATCAAGGCCAAGTAGATACAAACCCCCATATAAGGAACAACATAGGAGACCATAGTCCATTACAAAGACCCATTAGATACAAAAACCCCATATAGAACAATATAAGAGACCATAGTCCATTATATCAAGACCCATTAGATACAAAACCCCCATATAAGGAACAATATAGGAGACCATAGTCCATTACATCAAGACCCATTAGATACAAACCCCTATATAAGGAACAATATAAGAGACCATAGTCCATTACATCAGACCCATTAGATACAAAAACCCCATATAAGGAACAATATAAGAGACCATAGTCCATTATATCAAGACCCAGATACAAAACCCCCATATAAGGAATACAATAGGAGACCATAGTCCATTACATCAAGACCCATTAGATACAAAACCTATATAAGAAATATAAGAGACCATAGTCCATTATATCAAGACCCATTAGATACAAAACCCCCATATAAGGAACAATATAGGAGACCATAGTCCATTACATCAAGACCCATTAGATACAAAACCCTATATAAGGAACAATATAAGACCATAGTCCATTATATCAAGGCCCATTAGATAAAACCCCCATATAAGGAACAATATAGGAGACCATAGTCCATTATATCAAGGCCAAGTAGATACAAAAACCCCAATATAAGGAACAATATAAGAGACCATAGTCCATTATATCAAGGCCCATTAGATACAAAAACCCCATATAAGGAACAATATAAGAGACCATAGTCCATTATATCAAGACCCATAGATACAAAACCCCATATAAGGAACAATATAAGAGACCATAGTCCATTATATCAAGGCCAATTAGATACAAAAAACCCCATATAGGAACAATATAAGAGACCATAGTCCATTATATCACCATTAGATACAAACCCATATAAGGAACAATATAAAGACCATAGTCCATTATATCAAGACCCATTAGATAAAACCATATAAGAACAATATAAGAGACCATAGTCCATTATATCAGGCCCATTAGATACAAAAAAACCATATAAGGAACAATATAAGAGACATAGTCCATATATCCCTAGATAAAAACCCCATATAGGAACAATATAGAGACCATAGTCCATTATATCAAGGCCCATTAGATACAAAAACCCCATATAAGGAACAATATAAGAGACCATAGTCCATTATATCAAGACCCATTAGATAAAACCCCATATAAGGAACAATATAAGAGACCATAGTCCATTATATCAAGGCCCATTAGATACAAAACTATAAGGAACAATATAAGAGACCATAGTCCATTATATCAAAGCCCATTAGATAAAAACCCCATATAAGAACAATATAAGAGACCATAGTCCATTATATCAAGGCCCATTAGATACAAAAAACCCCATATAAGGAACAATAAGAGACCATAGTCCATTATATCAAGACCATTAGATACAAAACCCCATATAAGGAACAACGTAAGACCATAGTCCATTATATCAGGCATTAGATACAAAAACCCCATATAAGGAACAATAAGAGCCAAGTCCATTATATCAAGACCCATTAGATACAAAACCCCATATAAGGAACAATATAAGAGACCATAGTCCATTATATCAAGGCCCATTAGATACAAAAACCCCTATATAAGGAACAATATAAAGAGACCATAGTTTATACCAAGGCCAATTAGATACAAAACCCCATATAAGGAACAATACAGGAACATAGTGCATTATATCAAGGCAATTAGATACAAAACCCATATAGAACAATGAGACCATAGTCCATTATATCAAGACCCATTAGATACAAAAACCCCCATATAAGGAACAATATAAGAGACCATAGTCCATTATATCAAGACCATTAGATAAAAAACCCCATATAAGGAACAATAAAGCCATAGTCCATTATATCAGAATTAGATAAAAAACCCCATATAAGGAACAATATAGGAGACCATAGTCCATTATATCAAGGCCATTAGATACAAAACCCCATATAAGGAACAATATAAGAGACCATAGTCCATTACATCAAGACCCATTAGATACAAAACCCATATAAGAACAATATAGAGACCATAGTCCATTATATCAAGACCCATTAGATACAAAAACCCCATATAAGGAACAATATAGGAGATAGTCCATTATATCAAGGCCAATTAGATACAAAACCCCATATAAGGACAACATAAGAGACCATAGTCCATTATATCAAGACCCATTGGATACCAAAACCCCATATAAGGAACAATACAGGAGACCATGGTCCATTATATCAAGACCCATTAGATACAAAAACCCCCATATAAGGAACAATATAAGAGACCATAGTCCATTATATCAAGACCCATTAGATAAAACCCCCATATAAGGAACAATATAAGAGACCATAGTCCATTACATCAAGACCCATTAGATACAAAAAAACCCATATAAGGAACAATATAAGAGACCATAGTCCATTAGATACAAAAACCCCCATATAAGGAACAATACCCATTAGAGGCAGCATACTCACAAAACTCATCAGCGGAGAAATGTTTATCCCAGAAGGAGTAACCGTTTGTCATGGTGAGGCGGTAAGACAACTCCAGCCCCTGTGGGAGAGTTAGGGAACACTCTACCATGGTGAGATGGATAGATAACACTAGATAGATAACACTAGATAACACTAGATAGATAACAGTAGATAGATAACACTAGATAGATCACACTAGATAGATCACACTAGATAGATAATAACAGTAGATAGGTAGATAGATAACACTAGATAGATAACACTAGATGAATATGTGATAGATAGATAACACTAGATAGATAACACTAGATAGATAACACTAGATAGATAACACTAGATAGATCACACTAGATAGATAGATAGATAACAATTGATGATAACACTAGATAGATAAATACTAGATAGATAACACTAGATAGATAACAGTAGATAGATAACACTAGATAGATAGATAGATAACACTAGATAGATAACACTAGATAGATAACACTAGATAGATAACACTAGATAGATAAATAATGATAGATAACACTAGATAGATAACACTTAGATACACTAGATAGATCACACTAGATAGATCACACTAGATAGGTAGATAGATTAGTAGATAGGTAGATAGATAACAGTGTATGGGTAGATAGATAACACTAGATAGATAACAGTAGATAGATAGGTAAATTAGTAGATACTGGTAGGTAGATAGATAAAAGGAGAACCCGACACATTTACACTGATTCAATTCCTAGTCTCCCCACCCCCCACACTCTCCCTCACCCCCACACTCTCCCTCACCCCCACTCTCCCTCACCCCCTCACTCTCCCTCACTCCCCCACACTCCTCCCTCACCCCCCACACTCCTCACCCCCCACACCTCCCTCACTCCCCACACCTCCCTCACTCCCCCACACTCCTCCTCACCCCCACATTCTCCCTCACCCCCACACTCTCCCTCACCCCTACACCTCCCTCACTCCCCCACACCTCCTCACCCCCACATTCTCCCACCCTCACTCTCCCTCACTCCCCACACTCTCCTTCACTCTCCTCACCCCCACACTCTCCTCACCCCCCCACTCTCCCTCACCCCTACACCTCCCTCCCCCCACACTCTCCCTCACCCCAACACTCTCCCTCACCCCCCCACACCTCCCTCCCACACTCACCTCACCCCCTCCCCACCCCCACACTCACCCTCCCCTCACTCTCCCTCACACCCCCCACTCTCCCTCACCCCCACACCCTCCCTCACCCCCACACCTCCCTCACCCCCCACACCTCCCTCACCCCCACACTCTCCCTCATCCCCCACACTCTCCTCACCCCCACTTCCCTCACCCCCACACCCTCCCTCACCCCCACACCTCCCTCACCCCCCACACTCTCCTCACCCTCACACCTCCCTCACCCCGCTCACCCCCACACTCTCCCTCACCCCCACACCCTCCCTCACCCCCACACCCTCCCTCACCCCACACTCTCCCCTACCCCCACACTCTCCCTCAACCCCCACACTCTCCCTCACCCCCACACTCCCTCACCCCCACACTCTCCTCACTCTCCCTCACCCCCCACACTCTCCCTCACCCCACACCTCCCTCCCACCCCTACCTCCCCTCACCCCCATACCTCCCCTCACTCCCACCTCCCTCACCCCCACACCTCCCTCACCCCACACCCTCCCTCACCCCCACACCTCCCTCACCCCCACCTCCCTCACCCCCCCACACACCCTCCCCTCACCCCCATACTTCCCCTCACTCCCCACTCTCCTCAGCCCCCACACCTCCCTCACCCCCACTCTCCCCTCACCCCACACTCTCCCTCACCCCCCACACCTCCCTCACCCCCCACACTCCCTCCCCTCACCCCCACACTTCCTCACCCCACACTCTCCCTCACCCCCCACACCTCCCTCACCCCCCCCACACCTCCCCACCCCACACACCTCCCTCACCCCCACACCCTCCCTCACCCCCACACCTCCCCTCACCCCCACACCTCCCTCACCCCCACACCTCCCTCACCTCCCACACCCTCCCTCACCCCCACACTCTCCCTCACCCCCACACCTCCCTCACCCTTGGTCCTCACAGCTGCTTGCTGGCAAACCACCACCTCCCTCACCCCTCACTCTCCTCACCCCACCCACTCTCCCTCACCCCCCCACCTCCCTCACCTTGGTACTCTCACAGTTGCTGACGGCTATAAACCACGACCTCTCCTCCCTCACCCCCTCACCCCTCACTCTCCTCACCTTGCACTCTCACAGTTGCTGACGGCAAACACCACCTCCTCACCCCTCACCTTGGTACTCACAGTTGCTGACGGCTATAAACCACCACCTCTCCCTCACCCCCTCACCCCCTCACTTCCCTCACCTTGGTACTCTCACAGTTGCTGACGGCTATAAACCACCACCTCCCACCCCCCTCACATCCCTCACTCTCCCTCACCTTGGTACTCACAGTTGCTGACGGCTATAAACACCTCCCTCACACCTCCCACCTTGGTACTCTCACAGTTGCTGACGGCTATAAACCACCACCTCTCCTCACCCCCTCACCCCCTCACCTCCCTCACCTTGGTACTCACAGTTGCTGACGGCTATAAACCACCACCTCTCCCCCCTCACCCCCCACTCTCCCTCACCTTGGTACTCACAGTTGCTGACGGCTATAAACCACCACCTCTCCCTCCCCCTCACCTCACCCTCACCTGGTACCTCACAGTTGCTGACGGCTATAAACCACCACCTTCCTCCCTCACCTCCCTCACCTTGGTACTCTCACAGTTGCTGACTACAAAACCACCACCTCTCCTCACTCACCCTCTCACCTGGTACTTCACAGTTGCTGACGGCTATAACCACCACCTTCCCTCACCCCCCTCACTCTCCCTCACCTTGGTACTCCCACAGTTGCTGACGGCTAAAACCACCACCTCTCCCCACACCTCCTCACCTTGGTACTCTCACAGTTGCTGACGGCTATAAACCACCACCTCTCCCTCACCCCTCACTCTCCCTCACCTTGGTACTCTCACAGTTGCTGACGGCTATAAACCACCACCTCTTCCTCACTTCCCTCACCTGGTACTCCAGTGTGCTGACGCATAAACCACCACCTTCCCTCACCTCACACTCTCACCTTGGTACTCTCACAGTTGCTGACGGCTATAAACCACCACCTCTCCCTCACTCACCCCTCACCTTGGTACTCTCACAGTTGCTGATGGCTATAAACCACCACCTCTCCCTCACCTGGTACTCTCACAGTTGCTGACGGCTATAAACCACCACCTCTCCTCACCCCCCACTCACCCTCCACACCCTCACCCTACCTTGCCAGTTGCTGACGGCTATAAACCACCACCTCGCCCTACCTTGGTACTTTCAGTTGCTGACGGCTATAAACCACCACTCTTCTCACTTCTCACCTTGGTACTCTCACAGTTGCTGACGGCTATAAACCACTCACGCCCTCACCTTGGTACTCTCACAGTTGCTGACGGCTATAAACCACCACCTCTCCCTGGAGCTGAGGAAGGTCCGGGTGCCCTGACAGTGGAAGGACTTCTTATCGGACACCGTGATCACCTCACACAGGGCGTGCATGGAGTACAGTGTCAGGTTGATGAACTGATTCTTCTGTCTCATTACTGCTTCCTTCTCCTCACATGTCTGGTGAGAGAGAGAGAGAGAGAGAGAGGTTAGTGGGGGAGGAGAGAGAGAGGGAGGGAGGGAGAGAGAGGTTAGTGGGGGAGGAGAGAGAGGGAGAGAGAGGAGTGGGGAGGAGAGAGAGGGAGAGAGAGAGGTTAGTGGGGGGAGGAGAGAGGAGAGAGAGAGAGGTTAGTGGAGGGAGGGAGAGAGAGAGGGGGAGGGAGGGAGAGAGAGGTTAGTGGGAGGAGAGAGAGGGAGAGAGAGGTTAGTGGGGGAGGGAGAGAGAGAGAGAGAGAGAGAGGTTAGTGGAGGGAGGAGAGAGAGAGAGGGGGAGGGAGGGAGAGAGAGGTTAGTGGGGGGAGGAGAGAGAGGAGAGAGAGAGGTTAGTGGGGGAGGAGAGAGGGAGAGAGAGAGGTTAGTGGGGGGAGGAGAGAGGGAGAGGGAGGGAGGAGAGAGAGGAGAGAGAGAGGTTGTGGGGGAGAGAGAGGGGAGAGGAGGAGGAGAGAGAGGGAGAGAGAGAGGTTAGTGGAGGGAGGAGAGAGAGAGGAGGGAGAGGGAGGGAGGAGAGAGAGAGAGAGGTTAGTGGAGGGAGGAGAGAGAGGAGAGAGAGAGAGAGAGAGAGAGAGAGAGAGAGAGAGAGAGAGAGAGAGAGGTTAGTGGGGGAGGAGAGAGAGAGGAGAGAGAGAGGGAGGAGAGAAAGGGAGAGGGAGAGGTTAGTGGGCGGAGGAGAGAGGGAGGGAGGAGGAGAGAGAAGGAGAGGAGGGAGGAGAGAGAGAGAGAGGTTAATGGGGAGGAGAGAGAGAGAGGGAGGGAGGGAGAGAGGGGGAGGAGAGGGAGGAGAGAGAGGGGGAGGGGAGGGGAGGAGAGAGAGGGGGAGGGAGGGAGGAGAGAGAGGGAGAGGGGAGGGAGTGGGAGGAGAGAGAGGGGAGGTTAGTGGAGGGAGGAGAGAGAGGGAGAGGGAGGAGAGAGAGGGAGAGGGAGGAGGAGAGAGAGGGAGGGAGGGAGGAGAGAGAGAGGGAGTGGAGGAGGAGAGAGAGAGAGAGGGAGAGAGAGAGAGAGAGGAGAGAGGGGGGAGAGAGGAGAGAGAGAAAGGAAGGGAGGGGGAGTTAGTGGTTCTGTGTGTGTGTGTCAGGTGTAATAACTAACCACACTACAGTACAAACAAAAGGACCGTAATAACATCATATATCAACAAAAATATTAAATAAAGATTAAAGTTTACATATAAATTCATCATTATCATGGAATCAAGTGCAGGATCTCTTTGGTATAATGTTGTTGTTGTTGTTGTTGTTGTTTGATTGTTGTTGTTGTTGTTATGATTGTTGTTGTTGTTGTTATGATTGTTGTTGTTGTTGTTATGATTGTTGTTGTTGTTGTTATGATTGTTGTTGTTGTTGTTGTTGTATTGTTGTTTTGTTGTGGGTTATTTTGTCTCTCGCCTCCCCTTCCCCATTTCCTACCCTCCCTCCCCACACCCTCCCCCACCTACCCACACACACCCCCACCAACCCACACACACGCCCCACCTACCCACACACACCCCCCCCACCAACCCCACACACACCCCCACCTACCCACACACTCCCCCACCTACCCACACACACCCCCACCCAACCCACACACACCCCCACCCACCCACACACACACCCCCACCCAACCCACACACACCCCACCTACCCACACACACCCCCACCTACCCACACACCCCCACCTACCCACACACCCCCACCTACCCACACACACCCCACCAACCCACCACACCACACCCCCACCTACCCACACACCCCCACCTACCCACACACACCCCCACCCACCCACACACACACACCCCACCTACCCACACACACCCCCACCTACCCACACACACCCCCACCTACCCACACACACCCCCCACCTACCCACACACACCCCCACCTACCCACACACACACCCCCACCCACCCACACACACCCCCACCTACACACACACCCCACCTACCACACACACCCCCACCCCCACACACACCCCCACCTACCCACACACACACCCCCACCTACCCACACACACCCCCCACCTACCCACACATCCCCCACCCACACACATAAGAACATAAGAACATAAGAATGGAGGAAACTGCAGCGGGCCTATTGGCCCATACTGGGCAGTCCCGTTTACACCCAACCCCTATTGCTCATATGAGCATCCAACCTATGTTTGAAGCAATTCAGCGTATTCGAGTTAATGATGATATTTGGTAACTTGTACCATTCATCCACTACTCTGTTTCCAAACCAGTGTTTACCTATTTCACGCCTAAATCTAAATTTGTCTAATTTAAAACCATTGTTACGAGTTCGCTCCTGGTTGGATAGTTTGAGTACCTTGTAATGTCCCTTTGTTTAGCCCTGCCTTCCACCTTATACACCTCTATCAGGCCGCCCCTCGCTCTACGTCTCTCAAGGGAGTGCAAATTAAGATGCTTTAACCTGTCTCTATACTCAAGGTTCCTAATGCCTGGGATTAGTCTTGTCATTCTCCTCTGAATTCTTCCCAAGGATTCTATATCCATTCTGTAATACGGTGACCAGAACTGAACTGCGTAATCCAGGTGTGGTCTCACAAGAGCAAGATACAGTTTTAGGATGACCTCGCTAGTCTTGTAACTAACACTCCTTTGTATGAACCCAAGTACTTTATTAGCCTTGTTACGAGCAAAGACACATTGTTTACTTGGCTTAAGGTTCCTACTTATCATTACTCCTAAATCTCTCTCACAGTCGGATTTCTCTATGGCATCGTTGTTCATCTGGTATCTGGTTTCCTGTTTACATCTCCTATACTGAGTACTTTACATTTGTCGACGATGAATTTCATCTGCCATTTTCAGACCATTCGAAAAATTTGTTTAGATCTTCCTGTAGTTTTGCCGAGTCCTCGTCAGATTTGATAACACGTCCTATTTTAGTGTCATCAGCAAATTTACTTATGTTGCTGTCAATGCCGATATCTATGTCGTTTATGTATATAATAAATAATAATGGTCCAAGTACTGAGCCTTGGGGAACTCCACTTGTGACGTTGTCCAATGGGACTTAGTGCCGTTACCACTCGCTGTTTTCCTGTCCTGTAACCACGCCCTAATCCATTTAAGGATGTCACCTTTGATGCCATGAGCTTCTACCTTTCTAATTAGTCTTTCGTGGGGACTCTGTCGAAGGCTTTGCTAAAGTCGAGATATACCACACCATAATTGTGCCCCTCGTCCACCGATTCGAAAACTGATGAAAAGAATGTTAATAGATTAGTTTGGCAAGAACGTCCGCTTGTGAAGCCATGCTGGGAATCATTGATCAATCGGTAGGTGGTGCACACACCCCCACCTACCCACACACTCCCCCCACCTACTCCAACCCACCTTGAAGGACTTATACACAGCTGGCCACTGTTTTGGACTGTCGTAGTATAGCAGCAGCTTCTCCACAGCATACTCAGCATTGTACTCCACATTAAAGTTGAAGGTCCCGTCGTCAGAGAGGAAGCAGAACCTCGTCAGGAACGCCCACTTCTGCGTCACCAGAGAGAAGATGGGGTGTTAGCTTGAGATAATGGGGTGTTAGCTTGAGATAATGGGGTGTTAGCTTGAGATAATGGGGTGTTAGCTTGAGATAATGGGGTGTTAGCTTGAGATAATGGGGTGTTAGCTTGAGATAATGGGGTGTTAGCTTGAGATAATGGGGTGTTAGCTTGAGATAATGGGGTGTTACTTGAGATAATGGGTGTTAGCTTGAGATAATGGGGTGTTTGTTTGAGATAATGGGGTGTTAGCTTGAGATAATGGGGTGTTAGCTTGAGATAATGGGGTGTTTGTTTGAGATAATGGGGTGTTAGCTTGAGATAATGGGGCGTTAGCTTGAGATAATGGGGTGTTAGCTTGAGATAATGGGTGTTAGCTTGAGATAATGGGGCGTTAGCTTGAGATAATGGGGTGTTAGCTTGAGATAATGGGGTGTTAGCTTGAGATAATGGGGTGTTTGTTTGAGATAATGGGGTGTTAGCTTGAGATAATGGGGTGTTAGCTTGAGATAATGGGGTGTTAGCTTATATTAACTCTTCGTTTAATATCCTTTGTGCATTATTTTCACCGTATTATTTTGGCCAATCAGCACCAACTTCAGCCCCTCCAGCATCAACCAATCATACTTAAGAGACAATCAATGACGTAAGCATGTTCCAGCAACAACCAATCACACTTAAGAGACAATCAATGACGTATGAATGTACCAGCCACTACCAATCACACTTGAGACAATCAATGACGTAAGCATGTTCCAGCAACAACCAATCACACTTAAGAGACAATCAATGACGTAAGCATGTTCCAGCAACAACCAATCACACTTAAGAGACAATCGATGACGTAAACACTAGCCTTCCCTACCCTGGTGCGGTCGACTCTGGAATCGATATTATTTATTTAAGCATGAGTCTTACTGTTCTAGTAACTATGGTCTCTTTTGGCCTAGTTTTCATGGCCTTGACAGATACAAAAGTTCAGGTGGGTTGAGGTTGGGTTGTGTGGGGTGAGGTTGGGTTGGGTTGGGTTTGGAGTGGGGTGGGTCAGGTGAGGTTAGGTTGAGGTTGGGTTAGGTTAGGTGTTGAAGGGTGATAATGATGGATCTTTTTTCAACACACCTCAAGTTCTGTTCGTATTTAAGTTCAGGTGTTTAGAGTTTTGCCATGACATGCCCACACACACACACACAAACCCCTCCCACACACACACACACAAACCCCTCCACACACACACACACAAACCCCTCCACACACACACACACACACAAACCCCCTCCACACACACACACACACAAACCCCTCACACACACACACACACACATACACACAAACCCTCCCACACACACACACACACACACACACACAAACCCTCCCACACACACACACACACACACAAACAAACCCTCCCACACACACACAAACAAACCCCTCCCCCCACACACACAAATCCCTCCCACACACACACACACAGGCTCCCAACAACATTCCGCACCAACTTAAAACACCTGATATAATATTACAAAATAATCTAAACAAACTTAGGTCGCTTGAGCCAAACAACTCAAAACAAACACTCATCAATTTCACTGTAGGTATATAAGTATTTTTGAACGCTTTTTAAATATATATATATACATCAATTTCAGTCCGTTCGTTACTGCCTATATGGTTGACATTTTCAGTGGCGTGAGTGTCGGGTCCCGCGTCTCACAAGAGCGAGTCAATGTGTCGTGTCTTAAGATCGTGTTGTATAATCGAGATGTACTTAGATCTTTAGGGATAACAGTGCATGTGGGGCTCTATCCTATACCCAACCCTTACATACTGCACTAACTTGTCTACTCTACCAACCCCCCCCCTCTCCCAGCGGACGCCCACCTGTGATATATGTGCCAGACAATATTTTTCTCTCCGTGAACTTGCGTCGTGAGGCGTTGCTGAGACTGTGTTCCTGTCACGAGTTGGAATTCTCAAGGTATCTACATATATAAAGGGATAATACAGCCTTTACCTTCCATATATTATAAGTGTTTAATATTTCCTTATAATATACTTGAATATATCGTTTTATATACTGCACCATAATCTATCGTAGTTGTGGTGTAAACAAGTGGTGGACACAAGTCAATAACCCGCCAACGTGACCATCGTGACGCAACCATCAACTCTATTTTTGTTCCGGTGTGGTCATGGTCTCGCTAACTCACTTAAGACGTGCGTGTGTGTGTGTGTGCGTGTGCGTGTGTGTGCCTTTACTAATCTGTCGTGCGTCTAATCTCTAGATCTTCAGGTACTAGGAATAATTCACACGTAATAGCCTCTCTTTAGTGTGCGTGTTGTCAGCTTTGGGAAGGTCAATGCAAAACGTGAAAGAAATTAGTTATATCTATTCTTATTCATCTTAACTATCATAACTATAATTAATTAGTTAAGTGCTGAGGGTAGTTGTTGTTATAGTGAATGATTTAAGATTGTATGTAAAAAATTAAACTTAACCTAACCTAAACCCGACCTAACCTAACCTAAACCCAACCCAACCTTAACCTAAATAACCTAACCTTAAAAATAACAGCATCATGATAATCTTGACCCCTGGAATGACCTCGAATGACCTTGTAGGGGTCAGACACTCACCTCTGATGTCTTAAGGAAGCCTTCCACGTATTTGGCATGGGCTGAGGTGACCAAGAAGGCAGCACACACCCACACCCACGTCCACCCCACAGGCAGACACCTCAGTGACCTCCCGTGTAATGCTAGGTCACCGCCCTTGCCCCTCCTCTGGTGTTTCTTGACCTTTTGGTGCCCTAGATCGGTGACCTGACACGGTGAATAACACTCCTCTTCCTCCATTTTGTTGCCTCCTGTCTCCTGATACTGTGACATTAGATCATCGTAACACACCCTGGAGGTCATCATCTCACTGACCTCCTATGACCTAAGTTGGGGTAAGAGGGAAGGTGTTACATCCTGTTTCCAATGACCTTCTTCGATCTTCGTATCTGTAGATGTGAGGCGAGACGACAGACAGTGGTTGATGCCGGTTCACATCAAGTCTTGTTTACTAAATTGAGGTCACGGAGTGGTGGTGTGGCCCAGGAATGGTGACGGTGTGGATTAGGAATGGTGATGAAGTGGCCCAGGAGTGGTGATGGTGTGGCCCAGGAGTGGTGATGGTGTGGCCCAGGAGTGGTGATGGTGTGGCCCAGGAGTGGTGATGGTGTGGCCCAGTACTGCTATAAACGTGAGAGGCTGCAAGAGGACCCCAGTTGTCTCCTCTAACGCTCGCCTCCTGCCCTTGAACCACCTCCAGCTGACGAGCCCCGTGTATTGTTTTACTAAAGAAATACAAATGGTTATCTCGCCACAAACCAACTGAATCACTTTAGGTACCGAAGCTTTATTTCCCAGCCTTTATTAGTCAAGGGAAGTTCACTTAGTCTCTCACTACACTGAATAGTTTATTATCTCGCCCCAGTCCATGTTGTAATACCGAGAGAAAGAGAGAGAAAGAAAAAAAAACTACGCCAACTCGCCCACAAATTCCCGAAAGTCTTTGTTGTGTGGCGGAAGTGATCTTGATGATAAACGATTAGACCGGAAGTGACGTACGCAGTTCCTGCCAGCGGATGAGAGGCGGTGGAATAGGTGAATGTGTCCCAAGTTTGGGATGATTTTTCACTCACTCATTCACTCACCCAACTAGCTCTGAAAAAAGATAATTATGGATAAGAGAAATGAAACTCCAATATCAAGCTAAATTATGAAATATAACATTTAATTTCGGCTAAATACCCTGCTTGAGTACTAAGTTTCCACAGAATGCAATAAAAATAGTAAATATATATATCTATCTACCCCGCTGACCAACCAACATAAACAATACCTTGATGAAAAGGCGTGGAAAATAAATAATAATAATAATAATAATAATAATAATAATAATAATAATAATAATAATAATAATAATAATAATAATAATGCTTTTATAATCACGGGGGTTACATAATTCAACCCAATAGCCCACCAAAATTAATATATTTATTTGATAATTAATATAAAAATGCGAAATCTTTCCTCACATCGTCAGTATTTTGGGAACGTGCTTATACCAATGGTTTACAGCAGACCTTGCCGTGTACACAACTTGATTTACAACCGTCCAGCAGACAAAGAAAAAAAATAAATATGGTTATCCAGCAATTTTCTTACCCTTGATAATGAAATCCCATTTGCAAACCGATTAAAACCGACTATATTGAAAGGCTTAATATACTAAAAATAAAATAATACTTCTCATGTTAATTTACCATCACCAACATCTCTTTTAAAAATTTAATTTCGATTTATTTTCGAGAGTCGCGTGGTATAATATACTTCAAAGGAGAATTTTTATATTACGGACGCTTACACACTTATTACACATTCCTTTCATATATTCAACATACTCGATACATTCACATACTTGATACGCACTCAACAGACACTCATACACTCAACACACATGCTCAAAACACGCTCAATACATTCGCATACTTGATACAGCCTCAACAAGCACTCATACACTCAACACACACACTCAAAACACACCCAACACACTCGCACATTTAATGCGCACTCAACAGGCACACATACACTCAAAATACATACTCAAAACACGCTAAATAACTCACACACTCAACTCACATATTTCATACACACTTACCATGCACTCACAGACATTAACTAACATCTGAATACAAACCCAGTAAGCGTTCATCCACCTTACACACTCACATACTAACACAATACACACATATGTTTCCTTAATAAATTCCTACATATATATATTAACGTCAACTCCTCCAAAAATTAAAATCTCACGTTCTATTTGGTATTAGTGTACGCATTCCTTTACATATCGGAAGAATGTGAGTCATTCATCTGTTATATTAATTACTTCAATTTGTCGTAGTTCTCATATTTTTTTTATCGTGGTTTATTAAATATTTTCTAATAGTTTGGTTAAGTTATGTAAAGGTTCATGTTTAATTCATCATGTTCGTTTATAGTTTCCTGTAGTCAACAAGGACTTCAAAAGTTTCTGTGATTTTCAATTTTGGTGAATTGGAAATTTCGTCTCCAGAGTAAAATATGTCATTGCCACAACAACTACGGCGAATTAAACTTAAATAATCACTAACAAATGGCCGTTTATATACTAGTAGTTCGTTCCTGCTAGAATCAAACAAAAGTCGTTTATTTTCTTGTCCACACATTGCGATATTATGCTCCCAATGTCGAAAATCCAGGACTAATATAGAATTTTCTGTTTCTCGAGCGAGGCCACAGTTCTCCCAACTAAAGCACCTAGGCAGGGTGACCAGAATGGTGTTGTTCTTCACACACATATTTGAATAAGTAATTGATTTTCATACCCACAAGCATTTCCCAATATTGGATTGTTCGTACAAACTCTTCCAAACCATTCCTGGTAAAATAAATGAGGTTATAGTTAAGCCTCAAACTTTTGGTGTTTATTTTCTAGGTGAAACATCAAGAATCGTAAATTGATAGAATGTGCGGTTATGTCAGCTTACCGGGTTGTAGTTAATAGTTCCGCTGACTGCTAATACACACGGCCACTCAACTTGCTGCCACTCACTTTACTGTCAGTGTTTATCATCATCCTGAAGGCCTGGAATGGCTAACATACCGCCCGTCTCCGATCCTCTGTCTGCTATTACTTTTTTATAAATAATATTTACAAGGTATGAATTCCAGATATTAGCATAAAATAAATGTTTATTTTACTGTAGCTCAAAACTTCCTTTCTTTACTCAGTGTAAGTAACTTGAATGGTTGTTATAGATTTTAATGCCATCAGTATGTAATGTGGGAAAGGATTCAGACACGTTATCGTTGCTATGGTAACAATGCACAACACTCGCAGCTACCTTTAAATGCGAGTTTAAAGATTACTCGATTAATGATATAATTACGCTCTCAGAACATCAAGGATTTCTTTTTGGCTATAAGTGAAAATTAAACTTAATGATTTTACCCATAAATCATACACAAATTGATTGCTCGCTCTCTTCCTACCAGATAAAAGTTGGTCAAGTCATATTTTGCTTTACTGTATACAAAAGTTATCTTGAAGTTAGTTGTGTATTGAAAACGTAGTTTGTTAAGACTCGTAATAAATGATCGAATCAATTTATTTTAAGGAAAAGCTTTCTTACCTTTACAGCATACTTTACAAGGCTTATTATTAAACAGGTATTTGGTATGGGGAAACTTTGGTGCTCTGGATATGAAGTGTTTAGTAATTAGATCAAGAATAGTGTTGTAGCGCCTCAATAAATAAAAGTGGCCTTTCGTTTAAGAAACATGCAGTATTACTCACAACTTGACGAGAAAAACGATGTAAATACCCCCATTTTCTACGTTCAAAGATTATAATGTAGGTTCTGTACACCGCCCACCTCCTGCATCCATTTCAAGTTACAGGTATTTGTTGGTCGATGTCTTCAAGCTTGGAAGTTGACAGTTGAATACAATAGTGACCAAGTGTTCTGGCGCCTTTATATTCATATTTTGTTCAAGGTATGAGACTGTGTACAGTGATTCTACCGTGTACTTGTTAAACAATTAGGTAATCCATTCGCGCCTGCCATGGTGGAACAGTGGTATAGTTACCTGATAGTAATAGGTTTCTTAAAAGCTTTTCGGAGGTTATTTTTAGTTAAATAGACAATGTTTCGACATATTGTTTGCCAAAGTCGGTACATGGTACTTTATAATACTTATACTGTGTGTGTGTACATTATTTCAATTGGGGTACCAGCACTGTTTGTATACCTACGCAGGGTTGGATCGATTGCTCAAAAAATTCTGGCGGATACAAAGGTATCATTATGCATCGGTCAAATAAGTGACCTCTCAGTAACATGATTTCATTGTCAGTGTTGACCTGCATGGTCCACCAGCTTCTGACCGTAGCTGTCACTTTCAACTCTCGCTATATCGGTTATGGGTAAAATGCACATAAAGTGTCATAGATTAAAATCGTCTTGTTTTAGTTGGGTCAGGTTCTAAGCATTGTCTTTTCCCTTTTTTATTAATATCATGATATTAGTGTGCAGAGAAAATTTCAACCAATTCGGATAATTCCTTCTGGTGGTCACCCTCTTTTACACCTTTCCCAAACTTTCTTTTAAAAGTCGAAATAAAAATATTTTGTCTTCTCAGACAGTAAATCTCGTTTCAACCGAGAAATATAAAAATCAAATTAAAAATTTCAAAAAATTCATCAACTTGGCGATTTTTATTGAAAAAAAGTCAATTCGTAGTGAAAAATAGTGTACAGTGTTGGTAATGATAATTTGATGAATGCATAATGACCCTTCCTACCCTGTTACTCTTAACCCTGGTGAACAGGGCTTCCAAGCACTGAGAAAATGTGGAATAAAACACGTAAGAGAAACCTACCCACTGAGTAATTATTCAGCACATACTGGCATACGATTTATGCTCGTAAGCCGAAGTTTGCGGTATAGTTTAAATAGTGAAATACATTAACAGTTTCCTAATAAAACTTAATAAAGGTGAATGGTCTGGTACTTAAGTTTGGACCCGGCTGATGATGGACAGTACGACTGCTGATGAGAACGTCACTACTGTCTGGGGCCGCAGTGTCCTCCCCCACAACCACAACACGGCACCAATCCTTCACACAACACCTTCAGACACGAAAACATCCCCCGAGTTGTAAGCACTAGTCGTTCAATCCTCGGCCACGACTCTTCAGAAGCACTGGCGGGCTCAGGACGGAGGACTCTGGCACCACACCAACCAGCGGCCCAAACTACCGCCACGGTGCCACCCGCTCTGCACTCTCTTGTTTCTTCCCTGTGGTGTAAACTTTAGATTAGTCCAGAGACTATACTCGAAGCCCTATGAAGCCTCCAAACCATACTGAAACATTACAAAATAAAACAAAATACAAGATTTCATTGATCATAAATTATATAAAGAAACCGTAAGGATGCATTTTTTTTTACATGGCTAGTATCCGTTAGTTGACAATACTGTACACCCCTGGCAATATTAACCTAAAGTAACGGTATCCTAACAAGAACTAACTTACTGTAGTATTAAGGTAACACTATTGGCAAGTACTGGACATGTACTGGCTACTGAATGCATCTCAACCTGCTCCAGTGTTGTTTAAGTCTGGTCTTGAAACAGCTCACACTTGGTGCCGTCATAACACTCGGGAAGGCTGTTCCAAGAGTTCACAATTCTCACTCGATTTAGTTAATTTCCTTAAATAACTTGACATCATCACCCTTCTTTATTATAAGACTCGCGTATAATTTCCCGGCACTTGGGGATCTTTTGTTCGTCCCAGCATCATGGAATAATATCTTAAAGGTTCTGAGAATTCATTGCACCAATTGTCAAAGGAATATACCGTTAAGGTCAAGGTAAATTTTCTTACCATTTTCACTTGACAATTTCTAAAGCAAGGACTGCAATTCCCGTAGACTGTGGAAAACTGGAAATGGAGAAAACGATACTCGAGTATACATTGATGAAGGGGAACTATCCTAATGTAGTGCACCTCCCATATTACACTTTTAAACACATACTGTCAATACAAGTGGAGATAAAAAGCTTTTAGGGTTTACCCTTGATTAATACAATTACTACTGCCACGAATCAACCTTGTAAAGAAATACCAGCGCAGTTTTATGAGGGGATTCATCTCTAGGTTGAAGAAGCCACAAGTTCAGAAAACTGTGAAAGAGAACTTTCTCGGAGTGAGAATTGTAAACTCTTGGAACAATCTAAGGACGGACCCAGAGGCGGCCCTGGGGGTCCGGACCGCCCCTTTTCACCAGAAAATTCCAAGTTTTTCTTTACTGCAGTATTGTACGAAGGCATTTTTGTATAGTAGTGTGTGCATGGCTTCAAAATACCCACATTGGTCAGATTTCAAAATATCTTCGGGAGGGGGGGTGGCTTACAGCGGGCGGCCCCCCCACAACTGGGTGGACTCTCTGCGCTCGCAGTGTTTCCCCCACCCACAATTTCTTTAACTCCCCTTTTGATATTCCTGGATCAGCCCCTGCAATCTGCCCTCGTGTTGTGACGGCACTGAGTATAAGCTGTTTCAAGACCAGACTTGACCAACACACAAGCAGGTTCAGATACATTCAGGAGCCAGTGCATGCCCAGTGCTTGCCAACAGTGGATAACAGAGACGTGACCAACCGCCCAAGCGACTAACGAGCCGATCAATGGCGAAGAGGATACAAGTAAAAGGAAGGCCGACACAATTCCTTACTTACTTTTCATTTTACGTTTGGTCACTGATTGGTCTGTTAGTCACTTGGACAGTCGGTCACATCTGTTACACACTTTTGGCAAGTACTGGCTCCTGAATGTATCTGTACCTGCTCCAGTATCAGTCAAGTCTGGTCTTGTATTAACTTACACCCGGTGCCTTTACAACGCTCTCTGGCAGGTTGATACAATAGATCAGGGGTCACCAAACTACGGCCCGCGGGCCGGATCCCAAGTCCTTCCCCGGCTCGTGGTAGCTCAAAACTACGCTCTGACGTTACCAGAGCTTTCGTTCTGGCTTGCAAGTATTGAACAGAATGATTATGCGACCCGCGCTCGTCATTCTTTCAGTTATCCGGCCCACTGTGAAAAAAGTTTGGTGACCCCTGCAATAGATCACAACTCTTACCCCAAAAGTCTGAGAACGAATCACTACCAGAACTGTGATAGGTGGCATGTTCACCTGGCCTGGAGGAGCTGTAGTCCACATGTCCCTGTTTAGCACCTTGTTTCTCCATTTTAGACTCTACAGCACCTTTAGTAGGTTCAGGACATATGATAACTACATTCTCATTCCACTGCATGGAAGGTCACCATCAGATCCAGACTGTATTCTTGGCGGGGTTTTTGTACAAGCGATGAACCAGTGACCACATGACTCGGTTATGGCAATACTGACCATCACGTCAGCTAACTGGGGATTCCAGTTAACTAAGGACATGCATCACCCCGGCCAAGTGTGGTGGGTCTCAAGCCAGCGATATTTACCTGCTAATACCAGTTAAGTCTAAAAGCCCAACAAGTGTCCAAAATTTCTAAATCGTCCAGGAGTCCTTACCTCAGCCCCTGGTGCCTCCTCCTAGCCTCTAATTACTAGATCCTGCTGCTTAACCTACAGTAAATGAGACATGCACTATCTCCCACTTCATCTTTCAAGGTCAGCCTCCACCTACCAAAACCTGTACTCTTATTCATTAGTTACTTGGGCCTGGGTTATCACAGGACTGCAAAATTGTTACTCATGAATAAAAATCAACGTGTTTAATGTGTAGCAGTGCTCAAAAAGTATAAGTGCTTTCACCATTCTTTAAAATAAGTATGAAGTGAATAAAGTAACTTTTAAGGAAGTATAAGATCATGATGTTTACTCAAAAGAAGTGTACTGTATTTCAAACTGATATAAAATGACATTCACCTACACTTCCACTTGATCAAGCCCAAATTGACCTACTCTGAGCCATGGCATTTAGAAACAGTTCAAGTGTTGTTTCTGTTTTTCACACTGAATAATTTTAGTTTTAATCAAAGGCTTACGTTCAGAATAAACCAAAACTTATATCTGTAATGACTAATGACAACCTTGGTGCAGTATCCCCTGTACTCAACAATGCAACGAGACAACAATGAACCTATACCAGCCAAATCATTTCACACGTGTACATCAATGCCTCTATTCTTGCCATAGAATTAGCTCACTTTCTCATTATTATGGAAATATATATTGTATAAAAGTTTGTACAATTTGTTTAAACTAATTCTTAACGGACAATTATTATGTATCCCTTTGTGTTGATATGAAATACATGAATCTGAGCCATTCTCAAACATTTACAATTTAACATTAATAACAGTGTGACCTGCCAGACACAATAAGTGGCCAACCATGCAGTAAACTGTAATCTGTCTTACCATTCACAATTCTTTTCAACAATCTTGTTATTCTACAAGTAATAAAAACAAATATTTACAATTCTCCAATAACATTTACCATACAATAAAGAGCACCTTACCTCACATGAAAAATTCTGGTTAAAAGTTCAGGAAACTTTAAAATATCTACATTCTAATGATTCAGAAAATATAATTTGTACTGCTTTAATTTCACTGAATTGGACTGCAGAAGTCTACACAAAAATATTAAAGTAACAATAACTGTACTGTACAACACAAGACATTTCTCAACCTACATTACTAATTCAACTCTTAGTGCTATTCTACCACAAACCATTAACATGACTACTCAGTATTAACCCCCAAGAGCATATTCTAGTGTACACTGCTATGGACAATAGATAGGTCCAACACACACTTGTCAAAATCTAACCAATGCAGGCACTCCTCTACTGACAAACAAGTTACCTTCCTGAGGCTTGTTTGAAAGTCCATCTTTACTCTTGTAGATACCGAACGTGTTGTAAAAATATGAAGAAATTGTAAGGAATATTATCATATGCAAAGTAACGGCCTACACGGTAAACTTAAAAGCTAAAGCAAACTCAATTCCCTCTCCCAGCATTCATAAACCATACCACATCCACCTTTCTTTAGTTATTTAATGTCTTACTTCAATCAACATTTGTATACATTCTGTACAATTTAGATGAAATAAAATTCAGCTAAAACCATTAAGGAAAAGCTAAATGAAAGCTTAACATAACTCTCATTGTTGGGTGCATGGCCTCAAAAGTTCACCATAGCAAAAGAACACTGCTGGGACCCTGCCTACCCTAGCAAGAGCTCCCAAACCTTGCTCTCCTGCTAACTCTCACACAAAAACACGTTTATTCCCATTTATGTTTTGATCATAGATATTTTTGTATTAATACTATGTATGTAGGATTGTGTGCACGTGACCGAGTAAAGAAAAAAAAAGGAAGAATTATGTAAACTTCTTCCTGAAATTATAAGTTGAAAAAATAATCATAACATTGCTTACAGCTCAACTTGGTAGCGAGATGTGGCTAGTGAAGAATCTAACTTGGCAACAATGACACGTGATGTTAAGACAAACTAAAGGAAAATTTGCTATAAATCTTCATTTGTATCAGGTATTTGTAGATTTAAAGCTGCATATATATAGTGAATGAGGTTCTGCTCTTCATGTAGTAGCAACAAAGAATCTAGGGGTATGGTAGGGAAGCCCAGGGGAAGGGTTCACCTACAGTGTGCATGTACTGGGTAGTTATATTTCACCACAAATGACCCAGAGACAATACACATGGACAGGTTTGTTAGTATCTCTGAAAGTCCGTAAGTAGAAGGAGCACCTGTACTGTACTAACACCTTTCCGTTTTAAGATGCAGAGACCCAAGAGATCTATGAAGAGTACTGTACATGACATCAGCCCAGACCTACAGTGGCGACTCAATACTAAAGTGGATCTTACTCTAATGAGATGGTTAAAAAAGACCCCAGGACTTTTTTTTCTTTATTGTTAAACTCAAGCTATCGAGCCAGCGTTTGAGGCAATCCTTGGCCACAGATCAGCACACTCCTTAGCTACTGGACCAGTAATGGCTGAACCTGTGGGGGTAAATAAATAAATAAACACTCATTGTATAGAATTTCTTTGTTAAATTATGTTAAACCATAAATACTAGTTGAAGGCATCTCATAAATACAAAATTCACAAGATAAAATTGAAACTTGCAGGATGGACTTTTAGAGCCCTTGGTACTTATAAGAAAAATATATAACTGTGAATTTTATGAAGCAAATGTTCACCATTATGTACAAAAATAAAATAAACAGCATGGAAGTGTCAAAGATCTTGTTATCTTTAAACCCAAGAGAGTACAACTAACAATTTACCTTAACACAAATTCAAAGTTTTGTCTGAATCATAAATATTTTTTTGGTTACCTTGATGTAGTGTGTTTCAGTGTTAACCTTTAAAGTCCGATAATCACAAACAAGGAAATAAAAAATAAAGCATCATACTGACAGGCTTCTAAGTAACTGCAAAAGATAACTGACAAACTGACAAAGCAAATTAAAGAAGACAGAGAGCCATGACACACCTTTCATTTCTCCTTTATTATTAACTATTACGCCTGCATTATCTTCAAAGTAGATGAAGACGCCATCCTTCCTGCGGTAAGGCTTCCTCTGCCTCACTACTACTGCAGGGTGGACTGAAACAAACACATTTGGTTAATATACACAAATACAGACCCTTACCACCTCCCTTCCTCAGTGTGTGTAATGATTCATGGATATACTGTACTGTACCTACAACACTCCTTCACCCCTCAGAGGAATATGGGCAATAATTTACACGTTAATAAATGAACAGTTTAACCCCTAACCAGCAGCTAAGGATTCCCTCCTGTCCCCATATATGCAAAAATGGAACGCTAAGTACAGGGAACATCCATTGATGATGACCACCGTCCCTACAGTTAACTTCCACTGATGATGACCACCGTCCCTACAGTTAACTTCCATTGATGATGGCCGCTACTTAATGGTCAAGTCATAAAGCTTTTCTCAAATTGTTTAATGGAAATTGCAGTCATATGGCTGGAAAAGGTCGAGGTATATACTGTAGTCATTATCTATATACAGTGTGGCAGGGCACAAATACTCCATATTAAATGTCAAGTTTGTGAAGTAAACCAACTTTCCCAACCGGAGGGAAACCCTGTCTTCTCTATTCAACACTTACCCTTTTTCCTAAGTTCAGGCTTTCCCTTCTTCACGGTGGCGGCCACAATGTCACCCACAGCAGCAGCTGGCAGACGGTTCAGACGGCCCTTGATTCCCTGAACGGCAATAATGTACAGGTTCTTGGCCCCTAAAAAAGTAAATTACTCGTGAGTAATCCGAAACATTTTCCCCTGCCATTAAATACTGTTGGTTACATGTACTGACTAGAGAGATATCGTGTGGATAAAACTTAACCAGGTTACCGAAAAACAAGAATTCCTTTAACACCACAATACAATAAAATTTTGGCAAAAAGTTCATTTTCTATATCTGATTAACATATTCAACTGACTTGTGCCAGAAAACTGTAAGTCTCAGTTCAAGCAGAAACCTGAGAATAAACCAATGATTAAACCAACCTCTTCATAACACTGGACAACTACTGTAGTATGAGGTAAAAGTCAAAGGAATGAATAAATACAAACCCATCTCTGTAATACTAAATATCAAATTTACTTACCAGTGTTGTCAGCACAACTCATGACTGCCCCCACGGGCAGACCCAGGGAAATGCGGAACTTTCCGCCCGACGATGCTCCACGTCCTGGGATAAAAGGTTATTAAAATTTTATATAAAAAAATAAGTACAGTAATAACAATAATACTGCAATAAAATATAGTATGAATAAATACCACCCAAAAGGTGTCTAACAAAATGTAAATTCTTGTAAATTACCTTCATTTAATGTTAATCCCCCCATTAACCGATGACACGCGGTAGACTACTATGCTAACAGCCTGTAAGTTCCCACAATCCCTCCCACTGGCTTTATCAACCTCAGCCACAAACCCCTGCATCACACAGCCAATGACTGGTCACTGAACCCTTGTTGGTGATTCTACAGCTTCATTAAACTAAAAAAAGTCAAACCCAATTAAGTAAGTGGGTGACATGTATATATAATACTCAAACAATTTATGAAGAATCACCAAACCTACATCCAATTTCAGAAGATACAGACCCCGAGTAGTCCATTCCTAATAAAATCAGACACAGTTCACCACATTACTTTTATTTACTGGAGCGAGGTGTTACACATTAGTTGCATAACACATAATGGCGTCTCGCCTGTGGACCCCATAAACAGAGCTACTGATCACAAGACCATTAGACATCTCAGCTTTTATCACATAATGATTTAACACCCCAACACGACCAGTAGGGATTAAGGTTGGATTAGGTCAGAATTATTGTACGGTACCTAATCATCGTGTGCTTAATATTCAGGCGAACCAAGGTAAAAAAAAATTTCTTGGAATCCTGACACCCGATTCATCCAAATTAAGAGGCACACCGAGTAACAGCATGGCACTTAACTTTCCCTCTCCAGATCAACAACATGACAATGCAAAAACATGGACAAACACTTGAGATAAAATGTAGCGAGAATATTCTACGATTTTTTTTTAGCCAATCAGGTGAGACGGATGATATTTTAACCTATAAATTACTTAAAATCACATAAAAAAGTGTCCGAATCTTGACAGCCAACGTTTATACACATTTTACTTAACCTTATTCAATTAAAACAGCATTATCATGAGGGTACACATGTCTAAATCGGAAAGTACTGACCGAATCAATTTCTTCACGTCTACCAACAAAAAAAGCACGATCTGGTATACAAACTACAACAAATAATCAAAGCCGTAAAAAAAGTCCTCGCTGTTTGTGTAAGCCCTAAAATAAGAAGGTACTTTAAGCTAAATAAATGTCAAAGGAATTCAACTGCATTCATTCCTATGTAAGGAATTGTCGCTTCCGGGCATTTTTTTTTAACGATTTTGTCCCCCCCCAGTCAGAATCATTAAAATTTTGGTTTGTCATCCCTGTATCAAGATATCCAAACTAACCTAACTTAAACTAATGTAACCTAACCAACCTAACCCTCTCTCAGACAGTGGTAACTTAATATCCTAAAATTCTCTGGATGACCGAAACAATAATATCCTCACTTATATTAATGGATATTTTGCCGTGATTGGCTAAGTTCCTACTGGCTATTTTACCGTGAGTCTCTGATTGGCTAATTTTCCATTGCCGGCAAAAACAAAAACGGAAAAATATCCCAGGAGTAAATTTCTTCTAGAGATTTTGTTTAGATGATAGGAGGAAAATAAAAACAAAAATGAACAGGTTAGGAGGTTAGGTTAGGTTAGGTGACTTATTTTGATTAGCCAATGAGTGCTCACGGTAAAATAGCACGAGTAGGAATTTAACCCGTCACGGCACATTATCCACTGCCTCTATGTATTTTGCGACATTATAAAGGAAGAAAAGTGTCTAAGAATTATCTAAACTACATATAATAAAGATCAAATTCCTAAGATTCCCGAGTTGTCCAAAAGTTAAATAATATGCTTATAAAACACCTATAGCACGTACACATCACATATATAATTAAAGAACCAACAAATACATATAAATTAAATATATTGTCTTCCGTAATACACACCACAGGCCTCTTAGATAAACCTGACCCATATTAAAAACTTCCACTTCTCTATAATAATACAAATCCTAGGATATTATTTTCTCTCACTAATTATAACCAATACATTCACTTTAATTTTTTCATTAATCAATATCTTCCAGAATAACGGATGATAGATATAAACGTGGATAAAATAAGTGTTAGTCGACGTACCTCTCTTCGACATGACTGTGGAGTGATGAAGACCACCTTAAGGCGCATGCGCAGAGAGCTCGTTTGTGTTGCTTGAGTTATACCGCATCACTAAACCTCTATATCATTTATATACCAAGTTATTTATTGATAAATTTATATTCTTAATGTTATATAAATATTCAAAGAGTTATTTTAGTATATAATAAATTTTCTATATAGCCTGAGAAGTTATATAGGAATAATTTTAATAACTTGTTGCTTAGGGAATATATTAACTTTTTCCTGAGTTAAGAATAATTACCCAAACTTATTTAATACTAATATTTGTTTCATTAGAGGTAAATATTCTATAATAAGAGTTAAATATAAAAAGTACTAGTTTGGTAAGAGGAAGACTATTACTCTACGCTAAGTTCACGGCCATTTTAGTTCGCCTCTGTTGGTGTCATTGGTGAGGAGTCCTACAGGTATAATCCACTCTATTAACATCTATTTCACCTTCATTTATCCTTATTATCACCTCATATCATATAACTCCCGTGAAATATATATTCTAGGTAGTTATTAAGTGTATATTACCTGTATGACTGTGTGTAAATTTGAAAAAGGTGGAGGCATAGTCTACGTGGAGAGCCCAGCCATTTTAATAACTCGCTTGGGGTGGTGGAGGACCCGTGGACTTTCTTAACTTGACTTTATATGACAATTTTATCATGTTATATGTACTGACAGCATCTTAAAGTACTATGTGTAGGTTGGGAGGTGTTGTGGGTGTGTGTGTGTAGGGTGGTATAATGGGCGTAACCCTCACTAAACGACGCCCATTATTCAAACGTTATCCTTTTCAAAAGTCGAATTTTATTTACTATTTATAACATTAATATAGATGCGTTAGTGATATGTGTTGATTACCACAGGATATATGAAGCTTTACTGCCCTTAAAGCCTTCATTAATGTGTATGGCCATAACCAGAACTGCCACCCAAAAATAATATTAATGTAAATCGTTATTATTTTTGTAGAGTTAGATTTTTATTCATAGTTTAGAAAAGTATCATGAACTTCTGCTACACAAACACTTTTCCCTTTATGTATAAAATAAATTCATTGTTGTAACTTTGTCTTGGCTGTGTGGCAAATGGTAAAAATTATTGTTTGATCATGCACCTATTTGGAAATCGTTTAAAACACATCAAAAACCATCGGAAAAACGTAATTTCAACTTAAACTAACCTATTCCTAAAATTCACTGCACAACCAAAACGATAATAATACCCCATTAATGCCCTTAGTATATACAGAAGAGGTTGGTCAATAGTTACTAAGCATTCCTGTGCACCTCAACTACCTATGGTATTTAGAAAGCCACTACAGTTATAGGCCAGGTTAGTTAGGCTAGACTAGGTAGGTTAGGCTAGGTTAGGTAGACTAGGTTGGGTTATGTAAGGTAGGTTAGTTAGGCTAGGTTAGTTAGGCTAGGTTGGTTAGATTAGTTAGGCTAAGTTAGTTAGGCTAGGTTGGTTAGATTAGTTAGGCTAGGTTGGTTAGATTAGTTAGGCTAGGTTGGTTAGATTAGTTAGGCTAGGTTGGTTAGATTAGTTAGGCTAGGTTGTTTAGATCAATTAGGCTAGGTTGGTTAGATTAGTTAGGCTAGGCTAGGTTAGGTTAATTTTAACAAAGATGATTTATTTAAACTAACCAAACCTAGCCTAACCTATTCCCTGGATGACCGTAACTGAAATAATACCGTGAAAAGTCCCCGGGAATTTTAATTTACGCACGGTGGTTGAACTGTGGGCTGTCTTGTGGAGAAACTCAGTCATTATCTTTAAATATAGGCAAAATACATAACCCGACAGACCTTAATTAGTTGGTTCGTGTCGTGAATAAGGTTAGGTCAGTGGCAGAGAGCATAGATGTAAAAGATAAGTTAGAAGAATACAGAGATAACAGATTCATACATGGCTAAATCATTCATTCATACATCATACACTAAAGGCAATGTTAGAAGAATACAGTACAGAGATAACAGATTCATACATGGCTAAATCATTCATTCATACATCATACACTAAAGGCAATGTTAGAAGAATACAGTACAGAGATAACAGATTCATACATGGCTAAATCATTCATTCATACATCATACACTAAAGGCAAGTATGATTTTGGGTTTATGTACCAAAGATTCATGCATTCATACAGGATAACACAAAAATAAAAGGGATAATAAAGTTGTATCTTACCTTCATGGAGTCTACAGTATGTCAATACCAGAAAGTTTTAATTTTAAGAACAACTTAGATCTTCCACCGTGAGATGTTCTTTCTTAGCTTTTAATAACTATTTTAAGAGTTTTGTCAGTTTTTTTGTTTTAGTTCTCTTTTTCTATCTTCTTTATCAGGGTGACGTGGTTTAGGCATTTTCAGAGCAGTAGTTTTAGTGAATGTGAAACTACCAGCCCTTATTTTTTACTATATTACTCCACAATTGTAATTTAGTACATAAGAAACCTCATCATTGATTCTCTATATATGTTTCCCCCCATTCTATTAATTCTGAAGTTCATTTTTTTATTTCGTTTTTTTTTTCTTTGGCAGGACTTAAAATGGCTCCAAGAAACAAAAAAAAGGATTCCTCACCCAAAAAACAAACCAACATCAAAAGTTTCTTCTCTCCTACAAAATCTGCAGACAACACCAAGAAGAGAGCCAGGGAAGAGGAACCCAGTGATCAGACTCAGGAGAGAAATGAAGTCGAGTCACCCAAGAAGAGGGCAAGAGAGGTGACCAAACGTACAAAACAACCAGAAGCTGCAAACAATAACAATACTTCAAAGGATTCTGCAGCAAATAATAACAACAACAACAATAATAACAACAACAACCGCGTGAAGAAAGACGTGAAGAAAGAAACTCCCGAGAAGAAGTCCACTCCCAAGAAATCCAAGAAGTCGTCCGCCACAACAGAGAAGGTCGGCAAGTCAGAAGCGGCATCACCAGAGAAAGCAAAGGTTGTTGGGAAGAGTAAAGTTATTGTTGTTCCAGATGAAGATGCAGAGGTCATTGTCCCTGATGAACATGGGGAGCTGATTGTGCCAGAAAAACTTGAAGAAACTATCTTGGTGGCACCAGTGAAGGAAGGTGCGTCACCCATCAAAGACCCTGAAGCTATTTTGCCACACAACATTGGGGCTGCTGAGCTCGGGGATAATGTAGACTTTATTGGTCCAGATAAGGTTTCTGAACAGGCTGAAGATGATGTTGATCTCTTACCACCAACCCCATCCTCATCTCAGTCTCGGCCTAAATCTCAAGAGGCCAAAATCTTACTGTCGTCAAGCCCAGTGCAGAAGGTAAGGAATTTATACTGTTATGTATAATTTTGTGTGTTAAGTATCTAAGCTATGGATTATGGTTAAGTATACGGTAGTTATGTTGTTTTTAATCTAGTAATGTTCCTAAAATTACTGGTGATTGAAAAAGAAATCATTCTCAGAAAATTAGAGCTGCCACTATTACAGGCTGGTCGGGTTGTGGCTCATTTACAAGATGGTGACCACAACAATCTGGATTCAGTCCCAGCCATTTGCTCACAGAGGCTGGATACACTTAGCCTCCTCTTGTAAAAGGAACACCAAAATACAGTACTGTACCTGTATTTTTCTGTCCATCTGTCAAGTTTTATTACAGTCCATTGTGAATCTCAAGTGGCTCAGTTTGCAGAACTGAACATCTATCAACTTGAGTAACACAGTGTACAGTAGCTCAGTCTCCTTTTAATGGGATGAGGGCTCCTCTACCCATTTCTGAACACTCGGCTTGGCACCCTTTTCGAATATGAAGACATTCTGATTTTGAATTGTATTATTTGTTTTCTCTTTGTGCTGGGTAGTTGTTGTAGGCCCTGGCGTGAGCTACACACCACAACTGTTTTTCCCAGAAAAGTCTCTGACAGCACAGTTTCTATCCTATAAACCTGTGCACCCCAGGGAAGACAGTGATACATTATATACTCTCATTACTTTAACATCTTGTGAAAGGTGACTATTCTCTTATAACTTGAAGCTTGAAAATATGATAATACCGTACTTAAACATAGTGTTATTGGCAGTAAAGATTCACCAAGGCATATAGTACTGTATTTACCTTACTGGCTTTTAGATGACTGTCCCTCAAGCCATTTACAGTGAGGTACAGCATATGTGTAATGATGTGTTGTGCAGATGAAACAGCAGTTCATGTACAGGCTGTGTCAAGTTTTGAACAGTAGCTATTATGAGTAACTGTGCAGATTTGCTGGCAGACTCATTGGTTATTTTGAGAAACTGTACATCACTTTACCTTTTTGTACATTACATCTGTCTCATGAGTCAAGGGCGTAGAAGCCTGAAGAGTCAATGGTTTATGTCATCAAGTTATTGGAAGCTCCGACAACTTTCCCTGAATACGAATTCGAAACTTTCGATTTACAACAGGTACCTACATTACTGCTAGGTGAACATACCAATGAGGGCTAGGAAGTATGTCCAAACAACTTTTCCACCGGCCCGGGAATCGAACCCGTGACATCTCGCTTGCGAGGCAAGAGCTGTACCGTTCTACCACCGGCAATAAGCCCACACGGGCACAGGTCACTGACCCACATTGGGGCCTGGGGGGCGAAAATGTAATAATAATTAGTTCATAGTAAATAAAATTTATAATAAAAAATAGAAAATTAGAAATAAAACAATAATAACAACATTGATGATAATAATAACAATAATAATAATAATAATAAAAAACCAGAAAGAAATACAAAAATGAAAAATATCAAAAGTGAGAAACGATATATGTATGTTGTGTTGTCAAAGAGAACAATTGAGACCCTGCAATTGTGTGTAAATGAGGCAGAAAGTCAGATCAGCAACCTGGGACTTGGTCACAATTTTTGTGATGCCATATGGCAGCAGGGTCTACCATTAGACAATACTTTAAGCTTCCAATATCTTCCCAGGTGGTAGTACCTCCCTGTTAAGATAAAGGATTGTTAGGTCACATCTGGTTCATTTTAGTTATATTTTATATTATGTTTTATTCTATTACAAAATTTTTAAGGGACAATTAATGAGTATTATCTTGTTTGTTGCTAGTTATTCACCTGTATAATTTTTTTAACTATACTATCTATTGACTCCCCTCATTTCAGGAAAAGAAGATAAACTTTAAATGTAAAGTTTGTCAGCAGTGGTTCCCAAACCGTTACTTCCTGCAGAAGCACATGCTGATGGAACATGAAAACCAACTCTATGAGTGTCGTGTGTGTTCCTTTAATTCCGTCAACCCGGAGAAGCTGAAGAGCCACATCATCAAACAGCATGTTATCAAAAAGGAACGAAATGAGCCGGTGTCGCTCGATGAAATTAAGGTGGATTTAGACGAGCTGATGACAAAACAGACGCCACGAAAAGTCATGATGGAGGATGGGGTAGCCCTTGGACGTGATGCCAGCAATAAGATGCGCTTCATATGTGCAATGTGTGACCGTATATACACCAGCAAATATTCACTTGAGAGGCACGTCCGGTGCCATACAGGGGAGAAGCCCTATACTTGTGATGTGTGCAACTTTGCCACCAGCTATAGGGAGCACATGCAACGTCACATGACCAGTGTTCACCTTATTGTGCATTCTGATGAACCTAAACAAAAATATGTCCCCAAGAACCGAAGGAAAACCGAGGAGAAAAATGTGTCAACGGAAGATGAGGAAGAGCAAGTTCCAGAAAGTGAACCCGAACCCGAACCTGAAGCTGAAGCTGAAGCTGAAGCTGAAGGTGAAGGTGAAGCTGAAGGAGAAGCTGAAGCTGAAGGAGAAGGTGAAAATAGCCAAGTAAATAATAGTGATGTGACTCCAGATAGTAGCTTTAACTCTTCAGACACAACTGATACTAATGCATCTGGTGGAAAGAAGAGGCGTAACATTTTACGGAAACGCTTTGAATGTGCAGCTTGTGGAATGAAGGCTACTCACAAGACTGACCTTGTAAATCACATCAAGGAGAAGCATCCAAATGCTCACATTGAGTCATTGGATAATGGTGATGGGTCCAAGGTCCATCTTATTGTGACAGTCTCAAAGAAGTCTAACCAGTCCCGTCGAATGGTTATAACCTGCCCTGATTGCTCCAAAGTCTTTCATGACACATGGAAATACAAAGTACATATGAGATCACATACAGGTGTGAAACCTTTTGGTTGCAGTGTGTGTTCATTTTATGCCACCAGTAAGATGACCATCCGTGACCACATTCACCGTAAACACAAAAACTGCGACAATCCCAAAATTTTGTTGCGCACTGTATGCATAGACGGAACCGTAGATCACGTTGAGCTCAGTATGCCACAACGGGAGTTTAAATGCGAGTTCTGCTCGGAGGTCTTTGAGGATAATTATCACTTGAAGCAACACAAAAAGAGAAATCATCAAGAAGCATTACCATTCTCCTGTGTCGAGTGTGGTCATAGAGAGTGGGCTCGGGCAAACATCATCATCCACTGTATGCAACAACACAAGGCAAGAGACCTAGAAGGACTCATCTTGCGTAACAATAAGCCTTTTAATGTTGGGCCTCACAAGCTTCCAAAGTGTCAACAGTGTGACAAGGTATTTCCATACCAGTCACAGCTGTACATACACCAGAAGCAGCACACCGGTGAACGTAGTTACTTCTGTGACATTTGCAGCTACCGCACTAATCTCAAGTCGGCACTGGAGAAGCACATCATGAAGCATCTTAATGGTGAACCACCCAGGAAATCGGGAGGTAAAAAATCGAAAAATAAGAATGTCGAGGGTGAGCAACCAATCAACTTTGTAGATGTTGACAAGGTGACAGAAGAAGATACTGGTGCCCCCTGTACCAGAGAAAAGGTAAAGAGAGAGAGTGGTAAGCGATCTTCCAAGAACAAAGCGTCTGCCTAGTAAGTGCCTTCCAACATATACTATATGTGCCTTTAGAGGGACCATACCCAACAGTTGTATTAGGACTGTGTGTCTTCCTTGAAGATTTCCAATCTTTTTTTTTTTCGAGTACTCGTAAGTATGATACAAAGCTGTTGAATTTGTAGACTTGGTGCTTAATTATTTTAGTCATATCCCACACTACAGTATATTGTTATACAGTTTTTGTAAATCAATTTCATAGAGGCAGTGTGGGTATATTTTAGGACCTTTAAAAACATAACCTAAGCAGTTTTGTGTATTTATGAAATATTTGTTTGTGTTCAACATTTGGGTGGTTTTCATATTTAATAGAAAAATCAACAATTTTTATTCAAAATAGATGATATTGTAATTTAAGATGTTTAATTGGTAAAATGTTTATCTTCATACAGTGTATTTTCTAATGACGTGTGCAGAAGTTTCCTTGGCTCACAAAGTTGGTAACATTGCCTGTTTTCCAGAACAAATTTTTTTTTATACATGTAGACAAGGAAGCTCAGTGAGCGCATCTAACTGCATCTGAAAATGTGTTGGTGTTTTGGTAGTGTTCCTTGTAACATTATTTTTATAGTACAGTACAGTACAGTATGAAGACTGAAAAGTGTACTTCATACAGCAGTAATATTGGCTAAAAAAGACAATATATTGTATTTTATAATGCAACAAGAGCAGTGTGTGAAGTTACATTTTAGTTTAACCTGCTTGGCACTGGGACAGTTTGTCTTAATAACCTGTTATAAATCATATTGTGGTCCTTCTGTTCTGTTAAAATTTGATGGTTCCATTTTATATAAACTCAAGACTTTAATTTGTTGACTGTCCATCATTATGGTGCGTGTTATTATTACTTGTTGAAATTAATTTTACGTCAGTGTACGGCACTTTTTAAAAGTTTGTATTGTCTTCAGTTGGTATTTTGCATTTTTTTTATATACAGTATATATATATATATATTAATATTAACATAAGTAAGTAGTAGATAATAGTTGATAATTGGACCATGTCTTCCCTGTTGAGGAAACTTGTGCCTTCCCAAATGTGCCTTACAGATTAGATCCTTGCATAGCTAATATGTACGTAGTGCCTTCCGATATGCAACAATAGTTAGTATTATTGACCCATATAATAACTAAGACAATATGAAATACTGTACAGAGTTTTTATATACTACAAAACTAGAGTATTTTTGTAGTACAGTATATTAAAGAAATAATAAATTTATTTTACAATTACAGTAATTAAAAATGATAAATGTCATATTGTTAGAACGTCTGTTGTAAATGCCTTAGCGAGTTAAAATATTTCTGACAACTTACTTGTAATGTTATGTTCATTTTGATAGTCCTTCATTATTCTTATTGTCTGATGTTATTGTTTGTCTTATAGCTTAAATACCCATTCTGTCTGAGGTAGACATGTTTACTTCACGGTAAAACTTCCATACAACAGACTAATTGGATGAAGACCTGTAAGATATAGTAAATCAGTTTTTATCCAGGTGAAACAAATTATATACTGTACTCCTGTATATATTTCACTGTCAATTACAGAACTTTTGTTGGACTGAATATTTCTCGGTCAAATGTGTAATTACTTGAACTAAAGGAAAGCACAGCAGAATAACACTATTGGTATCCTTACATCAGCTTACATTTCCAAACACTGGACATGGAGTTTGGCCTGTGATGGTATGTCTGCTGTGGCATTGTCTCTAAATAATTATTTTACACTGTTGTTGTTGACTATATAACTACTACCGTGAATCCTGCATAATAAGGTAATGTAACCAGGAAATATTGTGAAGCATGTCATTGTAGGAGTACAGAATCCAGATATTTTACCCTTGAACTAATGTTTGGGATGTAAGGTTTTCCAATAAATGCAGTGTCAATATTAAGTATGGTTGCCAACTCTTCCTGTAAGATTTCAAATGAGTTGGTTGAGGAGGCAGGTGAGGGTGGCAAGTGACAGGTAAACATTAGAGAAGTAGTGAGAAAAAGACCAAATTAATTTAACCAGGCCAAAAGATGTCTATTACATGCAGAATTCATGTACAGTATATTAAAGTCTGTTATATTGAGGTTTAACTCTTGAAAAGTTCGTTTTTCCTTTTAATTGTATTATGCTAATTAATGTGACATTAATAATAATTGGTTTAAGTTTGTACCATTTACAGTTCCTTAAATCATGTTTCTTGTTCAACACTTAAGGTTATTTAACAGTTCAAGTATTATGCTGTTTGAAAATAAACTAAGTTTCAACAATGTTTCTTCTTTTCCAATATTAGTGGCCTTTGGAGCAAATATGTTATCCAGACCCACAGTGGCCCTCCCACACCACCTGCCTTATAAGGTGCTCCCCACTTCTCTCTATATTTACTGGGTACAATTATGAAATAAAACCTTAAACTAATGGTATTCTTAAAGCAAAGTGAACTGGGAAACATTAAGCATAGAGTATTAAATTTAATTTATTAAATAATTGTACAGTTACCACACATAGTCTTACTTAATTACTATCGCACAATCTATGAGTAGTTGCCATTACTGAATACTGTGAATGCTTACATAAGTAGCTGCCTGCACTGTGACCATACTCCTACACATCTTTTTGATTGTTCACAAACTTTGGTTTAAGCATCAACAAAAACTGAAAATAATTATATTTTTTTTTACATTCAAGGCAAGACTCTTAACCTATAAATAGATCATGAGGCACTGCTGACTATATTGCCAAAGGCACTGTACTGGGAGGAAACAATGCAATCAGTCACATTTTGTCAGATTTGTCTGATCATTTAATAAAGAAATAAAATCTTATGTTAAATTTAACAACATTAAATATTAGTAAAGCTTCAAAAACTGTCCAAGTACAAAAAAACTTGTAACTGAAAAAAAATTATCCTAATTTAAATTAACGGATGAGAAAGTGAAAGCACCTTTACAATTAATTATATACAAAGACTTCACACATTGGTCATCATAAACTCACATTCACGCTCAGTCTCCAGGCTGTGTGTTCAGCTCAGCCCTATGTTCACACTTCCCTACTGACAACATATTTCTGGTGAAAATTAGTCCCTTGTTCCTCCTGGTCCACACACCAGTCTCTACACATCCAGTCACCAATGCAAATGGTCAGTCTTGTTCCTTGATGCTCAGTCAAATACAATATACTGTACTGCTGCCCTCAATAAATATGTAAAGAGAGAAACCAGAGCTATTAGGAAACAAATTGCAAAAATAATCCATATCCATCTTATGATTGATATACTGTACATCACAGTAGTGCAATATCTTACTATGAGGTTTATATATACACAAGACAGCTATAATATAGAATGAAAAGGCTTAATGTCTCTCAAGTTAAACTTAAATACATCCTTTAAAACAATAAGCCCTTTTTTGTATAAAATAACATCTTAGTTACATAAACATCAACGGATAATATTGAATTATAACTTCACTGGTAACAACATAAAAGCTATACAGTACATTTTACATATAATGTATTCACTGCCTTTGTTTCAATAGATGCAGACAATTATGAATGCCAATATGTTGTCCAGTAAGTATTAACACTGAAGGATGGGTTTCAATGCACCAGTTAATAACAAAACACGTGGAAACAAAACTATACGGTTTAGTACAAAACATTATAAAACATTCACTACTATTGGCACATATCACACTGGACCATCCAGCACATCTAGTCTACCATTACCTACATCATTACATACTGTACTCATACAAGCACATAATTACATGCATAAATCTATATGAGAAAATAAAAGGGACTAATATTACAGGAGGCTCAAGATATTATATAAACTGCAGTTTTTATGAACACAACTAATTACTGGATATACTTGATATTTGTTCATTGTTTACTCTGACTACTAGCCACCAGTTCCAGCACTGTTGTGGAAAACACATTAATACAACTTCAGATCCAAGAATGAGATCAGAGGTGGTGAGTAATTTACTTGCCACCACCATACATGGGGTTCTTGAATGTTGAGGTGGCTTGTTTGTAGATGGGGTTCTCGCCCTGTAAAGGAAAGTTTTAAACTGTTAATACACTACAGGAGAGTTCTCAGCTCCAGTCTTAATCTTGGCTTAGGGTTCACATGTGGGATCAGAATACAATCTCAACCTAATCAAATCCTCGAGGGACCCAGTATACACATGTAAAACTCCAGTACAGTATTGTATAGCCAGAAAATAAAGGCTTAAACACTTACTTTTTATCAAATTCAGTGTGATATGTGCATGTATACAGTACTATGTGGTATAACAAGTACAATGGGCATGTAGTGTGTGTAATGCACATATTGTATAATTATAATACATGTGTAGTGTGTGTACAATATGATAACTGGAAAAGGGTTTTTTAATTATTCACTAGTGTAACAAAATTGGTTATATCTGAGAAATTATAAGTTCATGTTGGACATATAATGTGACTAATTCCATATGTCACATTTTGATAAATCTAAGAGTAATATATAAGTTTATACTGTACTAATTGAAAGGTAAAATACACCTCGCCCACATTCTCTCATTTAGATTTGTAACTGATACTATGATACAGGTTGTACCTTTCTAGTCCGGCAACCTCGGGACCTGACCGGTGCCAGACCATGGAAATTCACCCTTTTCCTGGATAGATAGTGACTTGTGCTTATGCCTGGAAGCACTAGCACCACTTTCTCTGCGTCATGGTCTCTTTGAAGACATATTGAAGGGTTAAATGTCGTATAGTAGCTTCTCAAATTTCGCGAGTTTTTAATTCTTAACATATTTTATTGGAACACACACAAAAATAAATAAATAAAAATTTTGACGGCGGAAACTTGAATTTCGACGGGTTTGAACGGCCCGCCAACGTGCAGACGACGTGCATAATCGTGTAAACAGCGTCATTTCTCTTATGTACAAAAGATTCATTATTGTTTATACTAAATGTCTTTTTATTGAATTAATGTTTATGTGTGCAAAATGAGCAATACAATTCATTAATAATACGTAGAATATTAAAACACACGAGGAAATGACACAGCATTGTTTTCGTTGATTACAAAACCAGTGACTGGCTGGTTCTACATATAAAACTGAAGAAAATAAGACCTTTGTTGTAGCTGTAGTAAAATTAATATGGTTGTTTTAAGTAATGTTATTTAATGTTAATAAATGGAACAATAGAAGTAGCTAACGATAATGGTAAAGAAAAAGAGAGATCGCATATGTAAGTGCGCACATGTGAAAACATATCGTCATTACTCTACATAAGAATATGAAAGCAACACTTATTTACTGCTCATATATATTGAAGGGTTAAATGTTGTACTCTGTATAGACAAGCAGAGAGAGAGAGCAGCCGAAGTGCCGGATGTAAACAAACCTTAATTTCCGCTTTTTTTTTTAAGGATTAGCCCACCCGGCATAGGTCACTGACCCACATTGGGGCCTGAGGGGCAAAAATTTAATACTCCTGTAATAATAATAATTCAGATAAAAAAAAAAAAAAAAAACCAACTGCCTATCTACCTATTGGACAAACTAAAATCGTTCCGGACCACAGAATGCCGGACTTGAGAGGTACAACCTGTACTGACCTAATCATAGAAGGCATCGGCTAATTTAAAGCACCTTGCTATTTTAAACTTATCTTGGACTTGTTTGGTTTTAATAAAGAAAATGACACTGCAGCCTGCAAGACCACGTGCCTGTCCAGAGAAATTACCTGTTAATAGCTGCCTTTTTACCTTTAACCACTTGAGTACGATGAATTAAATCTCATGATTAGTGTTGATATACTCATGACAAAGGGAGTGAAAGAGAGAAGTACAGTACGTGGTCTGTTTACTAGAACATTGCTACTGAGGCCTGGGGTCAGTTTGTAACAAGGCAGGTGATTGGCTGGTAGATGGCTAGAGTCACTATAGGTCTTCAGTGTTCAATCTATCATAATTATATTCAGACACTTTAAAAGGATAATAACTTTTGTGTTGGTCTCTAATAATCTCCATTAATGGGGAAGCAAAAATTAGCCTACGAAAAGAACAAGTACACGATGAAGAAGTTTAGTGGAGGATGTCGCTGATATTTTGTAATCGCTTTGTGATATTTATGTTACAAGTTTATTTCACAAGTTAATTTTTGCTTCAACAAATGCAGAAATTATCAGAAACCAACACAGACTAGTTATTATCTCTAAAAATATCATAATATAAATATGATAGATTAAATACTAAAGAACTGTACTGTATTGACTTTCCACATGTCTGTCCGTCCACTTACCAATCAGCTGCCTGGCTACAAACTGACCCTCGGCCTCAGTTGCAAGGTTCAGATACACAGACTATAGTGTAAATGATAATAAAGAAAGTCTTATCTGTTCTATTTGACCCTGCTACATAACCTAACGCATAGTGAACGGGGGGAACCACCAAATGAAATGCTGAATGAATAAAACACACACACACACACGACTTACAGTATCCCATCGGGCCATCATGCGCTCCTTCTCAAAGCGAGCAAACTCTCGACGGTCATGAATGGTGGTGAGGACCTTCCACATGAATAACAAGGCCAGACCCACGGCAACGATAGCACCAATCACGCCAAGGACAATACCTGTAAAGGGGTAAACGCAGTAAAATATCATGAAACGGCAAATACCCATAACACAAACTATAAACCCGCTGAGGTTATAAAGTAATTACCGCGCTCTAACAATTAAGATTATAACAAGGTCCATCAACAATATCGAAATTATAAGAGATACAACTCTCTTAATCTCACACACACCTTCGTCGCTGAGAAAATTATTACACTTTACCTGTCAATCCAACTAATTTATATCATATCTATTATAACAATTAATCAACTGATAAAACTCCAATCACTTGTCTTTCCCTTTCCTCAATTTCAAATGTTTCATCTACTTATTTAAATTTCAAATGAGTAATCTATTACAGTATTTCTTTTTCAATTTAAAATGTGGCATCTAATTTTTTTTCAATGTTGATCAGTTCCACACAGAAAGCTTCCAGGTTACAGATTAATATGCACAATAACTGGACACACCTCCACTCCAGGACTAATTTTGGTAAGACTAATAAAAGACTCCACACTCACCTAACCTAACCCCTTCACCCCAGAGAGGACCCCATACACAAGAGGGTTCATCGTTAGTGTGCTGTGGCATAAAAGTATCGAGAGGAAGAACTACACAACTATAAAAATGACACTATGACGCTACTGTACACTAACATCTAAATTAAGAATATCAATGACAATTTTGTTTGACATTAATCACTTATTTTTGCTATGAGATACAGCACAATATATAAATACTGTTATAATAATAATAATAATAACACTAATAATAATAACAGCAACAACAATAATAATGATAATAATAATAATAACAATACTGACCCAGAATATCAAGCTTGGGTGGACACTCCAGGGTCTGCTGTACACGCACCACTGGCTCCTTATGCTCGTCATAGCCATACACGAACTTGAAGCGGCAGTCATTCTCATCAAAGAAGGTGCATAGCTTCTCCCCTTCTTCCTCAACTTAAAGATTAAAGAACACAATTAAATCTTGAACGTCACTACCAATGTCTACTAAAAGAAACTATGTAATAATGGTTAAAGGTTATTGTACTTTGCCTCTACAAATTCATTACCTTTTATAGTTTTCTACAATAAATAAATAAAACTATAAAGACTCAAATCTACAAGTTAACCTACAGGTGTCAAATTATAATCACTGCAATGTTAAAAACTAGCTGTAAATAAGTCACTGAATTATTTGTCAGAAAGCTAACATAAATATTGCCAACAAAACTAAATAAATTACTCAAGTCAACTGTACTACATTCTGGTTAATTTCAAACTGGAGTGAGTTTATTTCTTTATCAAATTTCTCTTCATTTTTTAATTTAGAAACGACAAAATTATTTAAGATGCTTAATTTATAAATGCCTTTCTTTAAATGCTGCTTGTCCCCCATTGTATACCGAGGTCACTCATGCAAAGCCTTTTTCAGACATATTCCCTCTACATCATTAACAAAACATGGCATAAGGCTTCCTGCAAGGCATACTCTCTCCTCCTCCTCCTCCTCCTCCTCCTCAACCCAGTCACACTCCCTTACACCAGTTTCATGCATTAATTTTGGCAGTACAGTACAGGTATATAGTTCTAAAGTATACAGTATCTTCAAGAGCCCAAGCTACCAGCATAACCCATTCCACAAGCTTATCAATGGCACCCCTTTTCAAATACAGTATATACTGTTGTACATTATCTCATACATATATAAACTGGTTACCAACACCAAACACAATATTTACTCTGCGACTCGTCCTTAAGTATGACCTTTCCCCTCGCCCAAAGTACGGTTTTCCATCAAATTCACCATCGAACTTTCCCCATGTTTTTTTGCGGGTATAAATGTCTTTAAACTACAGAATACATTGTCTCCCTTACAAGCTAATGACGATAGGAGCGGTTATGAAGATATATGGGATTTCCAGGTGTATAACAAGAGTCTGAACACGGACTCTAACCACTTGACGATGAACTGGGATTAAACCATCTTCCTCAATGGGTCAAACAACCATCCTTAAAGGGTTTACGCCACTGTATTCAAGGGGTTAACCTATCTTCGCTGATGGTTGAACCTACGATCAACAGGCTGTCTACAAAGATCCTTGATACTGTTCATATAATGGTAACTACTGTACTGTATTCCCCACCACATCCACAGTGCCATCTTCATTAGATTCACAGGTGGAATTACATCACCTGTCACTTAAAGTCACAGCACACATATGAAAAATACAATAATCTAGGATCACCATACACCTCATATACTGTAGCTGTAAATATCAAGAACTGAGTCTGGATATCCAACTGCTGAGTCTGGACAAGGCACAGTTCCGTAATAAGCACAGTCTTGTCGTCGATTAGGAAGTCTTAAAGTGGCCCCCTCCACCCCACCCAAGACATGTGTGCCAATTATAAAACAGATGACAATTATGAAAATATTGCAGAATTGATTTGCTTACCGTATGTTAAAGGCATCATATCAGTCTAAGCATTCTCGACTTTCTGTCCACAAACTGATTGGAATAACAAAATAAAGCAAATGTGACAAAGTCTTCATCTCCCCTTCAGTGAGTTACTTAGGAAATAAACACATTAACGGCTATGCATTCGACTCTTTTAAAACTATATTTATGTTTACTCCACCAGACATTCATCGTTACCACCTCACCATTATTCTCTTTCCCTTTTTTATTCCAATTTTTCCCGATTCCATCTTCTACGCGACCCACTTCAACATCCGCCTCTCACGTCCCCTTTTATCAATCATACTTTTTATGTCTTAATATTTATTCACAAATTAGTTCCTTAATAATAATTAGATGCTAAATTCATCAGCTCCAACATGCATAGAGCAAACAGATAAAAGATATTAAGAAACTATTCAGCACAAACAGATGTAAATATGTCAGTGAGAGGAAAGAGTAATTACTGTACGTCGGCACCTGTACAGGTCAAACACTACCATACGTTTCAGTACATTACGTTTTTGGATAATCAAGCATGCACACTCATCTTGGATCAGACAGTCAGAGAAGATCAAATAACAAAGATATACTCTTTTTTCCTTTTCAATATTTACCAAACTACCACATGGGAAATACTTTCAACACTACAGTACTTAAAAATGCACAACATCCCCCAAAAACTTACTACTTTGGCAAGACAAAAATTTACAGAATATTGAAGAAACATCTGCCATATATTACTTGGTCTGGTAAGATTAATGCATGCTAAATCCACAAAATGTATTGAACACAGTGTCCTATACATCAAATTGTAAAGAAATAACTGTAGTGAAATCAGCAGACCAAATAAATGTAAAATATTATGTCAGCTCTCTATCACTTGTAAAATAATAGCAACATCACTTAAGGGGTATTATCCTAAGTTTAAGATTGACAGGACAGTATTTTAGCAACCTTCGTGTGATCGTGTGTAGAGGAGACATTAACAGTGTGTCTATGGGCTTAAAAACTATGTGTCAGGTAACCTTTCACCTCAAAACTTAAAACTCCGGTACAGGTGTGAGGAAAAAATCGCATCTTCCATCTCACCTGAATATTTGTACAAGTTTTAGGTTCAGGACAGAAGGAATCTGATGACTTTACTGGTTATCCTTTGGTCAGATTGCCTTACTGTTTACCGTGATTTGTTTGTACGGTACACCAGCACTGTCTAGGTACACTCACTAAAAAAATATTCTATACCCTTGACTCTGAAATAATCCACAACGATCACTGTGACAGAAGCCGTGAGGAGTGTTATCAGATTTCTCGGTCCGGTTTGTCATATTGTGTAACCCCGTAAAAGTAGACAATAATATTTAAGTGAGTGTACGTAGGAAATTGTACACCACCACGGTCTATGTATACACTACAGGTGGTACTTGCATTGTCTATATACATGTTGAGCTGTATATCTGCACTGTCGATATACATGCCCCCCCCAAAAAAGTAAACTATGGCCCTTTTACTGAATAAGGAACTATCTATTAAGCCCCACACCTACATTAACTCTTCTCCAAGCACACACCAGCACTGACCAAGGTTGCAAAAACACACTACGTCTAGTTGGAACTCTCAATACAGAAGCTACAGTACAACCCCTTAAGCAATGCCATACTGATTATTCCTTAGTGTAAAGTGAACAATACAATGACTGTGTCCAAACAAGAGAAAAACCTTAAAACTATCAAAGATCAATATAATAAAATAAAGCCATGTAGACACCATCAAGAATTATGACCCCCCAGGAAAGAGTAGTTGGCAACCCAAGATGAGCAAGTATGTATGTATGTATGTATGTATAGAAGTAAGCTCTCTCATTTAAATTCACACCAGTTAAATATTTAGAGAAACATATCAGGTTACCGGTAAACTCTTGTGACTCACTCGTGCATCTGTGTTTAGTGTGCGAGTAAAGTACTTTTCCGAGAGCTTCTTCCTGAGAGATCCCGATGACCCAAACTAATGTTGCCAATGACTGATGCATTATATAAGTACAGTACAGTAGATGGCATTTACATCATCAATATGGAGGATAATGTTTCAACGGTTTATTTCTAATCATAAAAAATAAAATAAATTAATTCCATCCATTTATCTTCAAATTGCTTCAAATTTTATTCCTAATTTTTAATAATGGCAGAATAACTTCATAGTTTTTTCACAAGGCTTACAGCAGATAGTAATTATTATTATTTCTTCAATTTTAACTCCTCTATGTTCCTTAAACTTATGAAAACTAGCATCACAATATACTCTGTCTTTCCTGGATCCCATTTTCCCCTTAAAGTGTAAAATTTAAGAGATAAAACACTGTACTATTAGCAGTCTCTCGTCTATGAAAACCCTTGAATGGAACTTAACACCTTAAAACTTGGGTCACGGGAAATAGCATCAGTAATATTCACTGTCAAAATCATGGTGGACTCCCCCTCACCTGGTACATGGAGAGCTTCAACCATGATGTGACAACCACTTTACCCAACTCTACCCCTTTGCTATGGTGTGTGTGTGTGTGTGTGTGTGAAAATGAGGCTTTTACTGGTACAGTACATAGGACTTAAAGACAGCTGAAGTGGTGGTCTGCACACAATAGTAAATGCCAGTACAATGCCTCTCTCACTCTCTCTAATTGTTTGTTTATGAACAGGTGATGTAAATTGAACTCTGGTCACATATACCACAAAGCTTTTTTTTAATACATGATACATGATTTAGCTTGAAGGTCTAAAAATACAAGAGACAGATAGAGTGCTGAATTATGGGAAGCCTCTTCATCACGTAAACACATGCCTTCCATTTGCATGATAAAGCTGAACATCTCCTTTGAGTTCTACAGTAGTATCTCCATCACCCAAACTCACTGCAAGAAAATGGATGCTTTCGTGCCAAGAATCAAACTCCTTCATTTTTTGTATCTACCTTCAACCCAATCAGTGACATTAATAGTATAGTTGGCAAAGACGTGGCCAGTGACGCTGCTGTAGAGAAGGGAACAGCGAGTACACAAGTCTGGTTCTTCTGACAAAGGCCCCGTCTCGTAAACACGACACTGTACGCATTCCTTAAAGTCCAGACACTTTAAGTCTGTGCCACACAGCTACAAGGAAATACAGTCATGCTATCAATATTAACTAGAAATAGGACATAATCTTTCAATCTAAATCCTCATAAGCCAGCAAGTCTTCCTAGACCAGCAAATGGGCTTATGATCCAGTCTTCAGACCAAGAGAGACAGTAAATTATCCAAGATATACATACAGCAAGGACCATGCCTCATAAAACACTACAGTACTCATAGTTTACTAATATACTGAGCACGTCCTTTGCTGTAGCTGCATCTCGTGGATAAAAAGTCATTAACTAACAATACTCACCAGCAACGGGAACGGGCGTTGCGTTGAAGAAAGTGCAGTTGGCGGCACACTGTTCAACGTTGAACTCACCGGTCTCAAACACCTGGCACTGTACGCAAGCCTTGTATGGTATGCACTTGCCCTGGCATGTCTGAGGTGGGATATACACATTCCCACAGTTTGAAATCAGGTTTGAGAGGACACATTAATGTGATACGCAGAAACCACAATTTGTATTTAAGCAAAGGTAACAGCAGGCAGGAAGGCAGGCATGGGGAGAAGGGAACAATATTGCATTAGTTTACATCAAAAATATACACACAAGTTACACACACTACTCTAAAATGCTTCCTTTACTATAACAAGTCTTTAAAAATACAATATAAAGAACCATAAACAAAATAAATGTGCCACTAATAAAAAGAATATCCAAATTAGTTAAGAAAAGTAACACTTGCTCAGTACAACCATTTGACCCCAGGTTATCATTTGAATAAAGCTTCAATTTATATTTATAAAAGGTGATTTCAAAGTGATTTTTTTTCTTGAGTAAATTTGATTTTTATTTAAGGGAAGAGTAAAGCATCAGGTGGAAGATGTTCTCCCATGGTCCATCTAATGTCCCCATGGGCCACCTGATGTCATTTCCCTGTCACTGAAGACCAATACAATATATAAATCTGAATATTAATCTTATAAATAAAACTTAAAACTTTATTCCAAAACTCTAGAAGCAGATGTTGCTATTCTGAACACATACCAAAAATAACATTCGCCTGGGGTCTTCACTGTGAGACAAGGGAAAGTATTAATTCAGAGGTGTAGTAACTGGTGGGAACTGTCACAAACTGGTGGGAACACAACTCTCACCGGCATCTATGTGTTCCTACACTTGGAGAATGAATAATGAAATAATATAAAATGCAGGATATTAAAAAAAAGAAGGGAATTATTCTCATTCAAGCCATTCTGTTAAACCAAAGACTTGGGCCAGAATTCAGAACACTGGTTTGAAACCGCATGAAGGTTTAAACCAAGGATCGATCGAAGATTGAAAATTATTGGTATTAAGAATGCCTGCTTGAGGTAACACAAAAATTCAAACCGGGTTTGAGATCGGATTTGTCGATCCTTCTGTTACTCCAGCCTGGAGGCAGGTTTAGTGATCAATCTGTCATTCAAGATACCAAGTCAACATGAATTTTGACAGAGTGCGCTTTTCGGCGATATCGTCAAATTGGAAATTTTGTACAGAGAGAAGACTGATGGTAGATAGGCAGAATCCTATCATTTTTTATGATGACACACACAATTCACACAACAATATAGGTTCAGAAGGGGAGATTTCCTTGATATTTTCCGTGATATGGAGCATCTACCTGACAGACCTGTTGGCTATGGTTCACCTCTACCTCCCATTCATCACCTGATGATTGGTTTGAGATTCTTCACAACGAATAGTTTCCAGGTAAGAAAGACTTTGGTTACTGAATGAGTTATAGTAATGTGTTACAACACCGTGTTTAGGGTCCAAGACGATCAAGTGGGTAAATGTAAAGAATGCTGATGATTCTTAACTTTGAATGTTTTTCTTTAGGAAAACTATTTTGGTGTAATTTAAATATAACTGAATCAATGCTGAATGTATTTTTATTTTAATGTATTAATAAAGGAGTCTTTTCTTAACATTACTAATCAGGGGAAATGTGGGGTTAAAAGAACAGAAAGAAACCTAACCTAACCAGGTTACTACGCCCTGCATTGATTCATCTTGCTTTGGTTATAAATATTGACACCTGTCCTGGATTATATCTACAATTTGTATGGAATAGTTCGTCCTCTATGAAATTCTTTGTTATCATACAACAACACAGCCACGTTGTAACACAGTACCATAAATCATTATAATGTGGTCATAATTTAATTGTAATTACAGTAACAGAAGCACCTTATGATGTGCAGGGAGTGATTTATCCTGCTTAGTAAAAACTCGTCGAGTCATAGTTGCTGCCATAGTCTTGTAAACATTACTCTCGATGGTGAATGGTAATGGTGTAAATGAAATGTGATTGGCTGGAATTTCAATGTTTGAATCCTTACTCAGAATTGAAGAACATGCAATAGATTATCCGATCTGGGATTCAAGCTGACGTTCTGAATATGGGTAGTCAACTGCAGGAAATCTTGGATCGAGGAATCCCGATTTGCAAGCCTGAACTGAGCTCAAATACCAGGCTCAAACCACTGTTCTGAATTTGGGTCTTAATGACTATGGGTATATTTAAAGCTCCTTCATCTTTAATTACTGTGTTTTAAGTGTGTCTAGAGTGCCTTAATTACTGAGTGTTGAATGTGTCAAGTGCCATAATTACTGTCTTTTGAGTGTGTCTAGAGTGCCTTAATTACCAAGTGTTGAGTGTATCTACAGTGCATCTATAACATAACTTAAGATGGTTGTGATCACATACAATACCAGCCTTTCCCTCTAACCAAACCAGAGGCTATGAACATCTTACTAACCTCCATATCTATATCTTGACAATTATCCTTCCCAGTACACACACACACACACAGTACAGTATGAACACACTTGTAAACACTATGTCATTTTACTAACCCAAAATCTCTTGTGGTTTGTAATACTGTATCTACTTGGCACCTTAACTCTTATTTGGTGGCTAATGATTCCCCTGCTACCCCGCCTGCTCATATGTACAAATGATAGAACACCGCAAGGAACATGAATTTTCCAGGGATGATGACCACCGTCCCTACAGCTAACTTCCACTAATGATGACCACCGTCCCTACAGCTAACTTCCACTGATGATGACCACCGTCCCTACAGCTAACTACCACCGATGATGACCACCGTCCCTACAGCTAACTACCACCGATGATGACCACTGTCCCTACAGCTAACTACCACCGATGATGACCACTGTCCCTACAGCTACCTACCACTGATGATGACCACCGTCCCTACAGCTAACTACCACCGATGATGACCACTGTCCCTACAGCTAACTGATGATACCACCGATAGATGACAGACCACCGTCCCTACAACTAACTACCACCGATGATGACCACTATTCAAAGGTTAAACGACACCCAGAAAGAGAACACAACTAGGTGTAATGTGTGTGTCATAAATATTGCAGTGAAATACTGAAAACAGGTTTAGGGTTATAGCAGGCAATGTACAAGTTGCACACAGCTACAGTACAGGGAGAGTCATACATGTCTATATCAAATACTTCTATACCTGGTTTATCCTGGGAGTGTTTACATAATATATCCACAAAATAAAGGTTATACATGTGTTTATATCATAAGGTAAATCATTGTATTGGCTCTAAATCACAATACAGTATAGAGCTCAATTAGATTTTTAAATATGCTTTAATAATTGAAATGTACAGTGGAACCTCAATTTAATTAATTCTATAGATGAGATGAAAGTTCCGTTAGATGTGACCCCCCATCTAACGGGCCTTATAGAGAGGAAAGTCCATTATATTGAGGTTCCGTTAGATGTGACCCTCCCCCCATCTAACTGGCCCATAGAGAGGAAAGTCCATTATATTGAGGTTCCGTTAGATGTACACCCCCCCCATCTAACGGGCCTTATAGAGAGAAAGAAAGTCCATTATATTGAGGTTCCGTTAGATGTGACACCCCCTCCCCCCCATCTAATGGACTATATGGGGAGAGAAGTCCACTATATTGAGGTTCCACTGCACTTAATAATACCTGAGATAATAATATTCAACACCTGATAAAATATGACTGACCAAATTTAAGGCCATTTTTTAACTACATGAAGCAAATCTAATACTGGAGGTAGACAAGTGCATTAATCCTGACCAAGAGATGCAGTAACTCATGTAATCATTTCATCATCTTCAAGACAATAACAAAACCAAAACTAACTGGGAACATAAATATTAGTACATATTAAAACTAATCTGTATAAATATTCCCAAAGAACCTGAGTAAATAATTAGATTTGAATATTCATCAAAAAATAAAAATTGTGGAAGTTTTCTAAGTTTAAATGTAAAGGAAATGACTCGCTGATATGTGTGTGACATCCACTCTGCTTGAGACACAACTCCCAAACCATGAACCCCGAGATTCAGACTCGTGAATCTCAAGCATTTACGGGCAGAATAATGCGTCTGCTGCTCCGGGTTCATGAGTCTGAATCTTGGGGTTTGTGGTTCAGGAAGCAACATGACTTTTGTGGAGGACTGTATTGTATTTAGCTAAAGTCTAAACCAATGACCATTTGAGGCCACACACTCAACTAGCCATAGAATAATATTAATTTACATTTTAGACATTTCACAATTTTTGATAAGTGACATAGACCGTAATAAAGAAAAAAATAGAGTAAAGATGAGGCAAGAGGCAGAGACGGTGTACTTACAGGACAGTCTTCACACCACTTGCCAGAGTAACGACCGTCTTCTGTCTCGTTACACTTGCACTGGTTACACTCACACTCTCCATGGCCGGAGCAAACTTCCCCACTCGCTGTAAATGACATTATAAGAATTACCGCACACACACACACAGTCTCTTCTTTCATTTATTATCATTCATTCAATCATTCTCCCTACTGTAACAGATGTAATCAACCAAGATACATTTCCTACAAGACCTCTCAAACACCACTGCTTCCTTCATTCTACCTCCTTTCATTAATTAATTTCTCCATTTCTCTCCTCTTCCTATTTCTCCATTCCCCTATTCTACTTATTTCATCACTTTTCTTCTTGTTCCCACTCACTCTAATTTTTATCACCTAGTACACAAGTCATCTAACCTAACCTATCCATGGTAACATTTTCTCCGAGTCATTAACCATCGCAGTGACATCCACCGACTCACTTCTTTTGTGGTCAGGAAATTGTTGCCTATCTAACCCACATGTCCCTCCGATTCATTCTTACTTTCACTGCCCATAACACCCTATACTGTATATGAAACTACTAAATAACCTAATCTAAGCCAACCTAAGCTAAGCTGATCTAACCCAACCTAAGCTAACCTAAGCTGATCTAACCCAACCTAAGCTGATCTAACCCAACCTAAGCTAACCTAATCTAACCTAAGCTGATCTAACCCAACCTAAGCTAACCTAAGCTGATCTAACCCAACCTAAGCTAGCCTAATCTGCCCTAAGCTGATCTAACCCAACCTAAGCTAATTACAAGGTCACTGGAACACCCTTGACACAGCCCATCAATTTTCATCTTCCAAAAACACTTAAGGTAAACATACGTCACTCTCCCTACAAAAACTCTAAGAGACAATTAAAAAAAAAAAACTTACCTCATATATATTACAATATTTCCTACATGGCTTTTGAGTATAAGACAAAAAAAATAATAATAAATAATGCCACAAATAAATTTTTCATTATCCTTAACATGAAATGATCTGAATTTACTTTTTCAACTCCCAACAGCTAAGGAGTCACCCTCTGTACCCTCCCCCTGCCTCCTCCCGTCCACTGATCATGGCCACCGTTTTAAGTAATGATTATGATCACCCGTACGGTATCCTCACCTGGGTTGATACAGTTGTCGATACTTTCTTCACAGTTGCAGGCTTCTCCTTTCCACCCGGGCTTGCACTTGCATTCGTTGCAGTCACACTCGCCGTGTTCTGGTCCCGAGCACAACAGGCCATTGAAGCGGCTACACAGGAAGTTGGTACACTCACAGTACTTGCCGTCAATGATCTGCCGGACAGCACAGTGGTTTAAAGTTACAAATAATATGTCAAAAGTTTACAGATCTTCGTATTTGCTTCTGATAACACCTAGTTCTTAATTTCTACCTTTGCTTATTTCCATTGATTTATGTCATAATACAATGGACACAAGAGAGTTTAAATAAGTACAGTTACTAACATAAATAGATACAGTATTACTTTGTCTCAACACCTTAATCATGCTCTCCTCACCTCACCAGCCTCCCTCTCATTACACTTGCACTCTCCACAGGTACAGGTGCCATGGCCGCTACAAATGGCCGATGTGTTGGTTTCCCGACAACCTGAATCATCAAAGTTTCCTTCACCCCAGGGAGTGTTGGTGCCACACTCACAGTTGCGGCCCATGAACCCTGGATCACACTTACACACACCACACTGGTAGATGCCATGGTTACCACACTCTTCAGCTGCAGGTTTGTAGCCCTGGAAATAAAATATATTCAGGTAATCATTAATATATTATCGTATACTGTATATATATGATAAAGAGAAAAAGAAACCTATCAACAGTGTAAAAGATACGTTGTAAAATGTCAACAGCCTCCAAAAGTGAGCTAGAACAAAAAAACAAATATAAAAGTACTACACGTTATTATATAAACATGATAATAATTTTCCATTTTTTACAAGAAAGATTATTTAAGGTTCAGAAACTAATATGAGCCAACTATGTGGATCTTACTTCATTTCCGGGCCTCTCACACTGGCAGTCACACAACATTTCTAAATCAATGGTGAGGTTCTCTCGCAGACCAACAGGATAGATGCCGATCACCTGCCGCCAGTCCTCCCTCTTCTCGGGGCACTTCTCCACCTATTCAAACAAACTGAGTTATGGGAGTTTATTGTCCATTATTATATTTGTAATACTGAGAGTAGGAAATTAGACTTAATATATGGACTGATACCAAACTCAATAACTAATGAGTAATTCAAGTATCAAATAAAACTGTATTCAAGATCACCACTTAAGAATTAATATGACTTGCAATTACAAAATATAAAGAAAATAATTTAAATAATGAATAGTTCTAAGTTAACCCAATGGACCTCATTCCACCATCCAATTACAGTAGTAGCATTAATAAACCTGCTCTAAGGCCTCTTGTTGTAAGGGTCAAGTCAACGGAGTACAGCACAGCAACAGGCGACGCAACTTACCGTAATCTCGGCACGGAACTCGACTTGATCGCCCACTCGGAGACCCTGACACACCGAGGTTTCTTTCTCTTGCCCGCCTTTACACCGGGAGAAGTAACGAATGAACACCGGTGCTGTGGCGTTATCCTTCAGCTCGACTTTACTGGTGATTTTCTATAAGAGAAGAGATTAAACTCACCAATAAAATAACAATAAGTTTCTAACCATATAAGTGTGTTGGTGGAATACCCAGAGTGGGTGTGTGTGGCCCTTGGGGGATAATGGTCTCAAGGTATGGAAAATGGCCGTAATGCAACAACAGGCATATACCACAAACCCTCCCAATACCGGATTAATTCTTGTAAGCCCTGTCCATTATTGAGAGGATTCTGTTAATGAGAATATCTAGTAATGAGAAGTCCCTTATTGAGAGGGTTCACTGTATCTATTACTTTGCTGAGAAGTCCCTTATTGAGAGGGTTTACAGTAGTCTCTTGAGGAAATAATTACTTTAGAATAAATCAATGCTACTTACATTGTATTCTCTCTTGACAAGTTCCACAACATTGGAAGAATTAGCGGTCAGTTCACCCTGGCTGGAGCCCTCAACCATTTTAGCGAGACGAGAATATACAGATGACTTCTGCTCCGTCACGGCAAAAATCAAGTTAATTTTGTGATGCTTTGCGACCTGGTTGATCTGTGAAGTAGAGAGATTTTTATAGTCAAATGCAGAAAAATCTTACATGTGCTACTTAAACTGTGAAGTAGAGAAATTTTTATAGTCAAATGCAGAAAAATCTTACATGTGCTACTTAAACAATGATTCTTATGTTCAATTACTATATTAAAGCAATTTTGTATTATTAGAATGACTAACATGTCCTAAATTCCCTTCAAATAAGAAATACGATTTTATTCATGCGAGTCCAACCTTATATCAAGGACTTAAAATGAGTAAAACTTAAAAAAAAAAAATTAAATATTAAAACTTAGTCACATTTTAACAGAAATTTCACAACCCTGGGGACATTAAACATACATAACAATAATAATAATAACAACAATAATGGCTAAGAAACAGTTCTACTAAGTCAAAGTGAACATGGAAAACACCTTTAAAGAACACAATGATACAAATCTTACCTGAGACACTGACGGGTAGTCCTGCAGCTTGGAGTGGGTGTAATACTCCCCGTTAATATCCATGTGACACTCGCCATCGTTGGGCTTCACAATACCACCAAGCTGAAATCATCGACACGTTAACAAATGAGGTTCGGGGAATCTATTCATCATTCTCAATCCATTTCTCATCAAAGGTTTTAAGGAATTTAACTGGAAATTGCTCTGAATGTTTGCTGACACAGTATGTTGGTGAACTGTATTAGGAAATGTTTTGGTAATGACAAAAACAAGAAAATATAAACTGTATCTTTAACTATTTCATCTCAAACTGTCACTAGTTGTTTGTAAAATATCTATGCCATTTTGGTCAATTGTTCAGCCTGCAACTGAAGGCGTGTTACATGAATGAATGTAAATTTCCCACAACTTTTAGTTCACTTTGTGGGGGTAAAGAGTTAGTAGGCAGAGATACAATATGACTTGGATAGGTTTGTGGAAAGAAAGATTGACTGAAGGAACTATGGTATACAATTTATGCCGTTATATGACAGGGAATGACGATGACGATGTAAACATGGGAGAGGAACGTTCTATGATGGATACATAAGAGGTGGAAGACAGGACAGTACCTTGCCATCACCAGCATAGTGGAAGCCGGCATCAGTGGAGAACACCAGTAGTCTACGAGCCTCCTGACGCCAGTTGATGTGTTCCTGGCATACAATAGCCTGCATAATGGCATCAAATCCTCCTTCAGGGGCATCCAAGTTACCAGACACAGGTGCATCCTGTACCTCTTTCTGCAAGTGAACCATGAAAATGTCAACTTTGCCTCTAGAAGCACAACATAATATCTCAGATAAAAAAATTATTTATGTAAATGTGCAGATGAATCAATTCCATAACTATTACTTGAACCACATATAGTGCAGTATTAGTCTATTCATTCAACATAATAATAATAACAAAGTTTTTTATGTAACATCAATGAGGCACAATACATTACGTACAAGAATTTTTAAAGGGATTTTTTAATTCATAATTAATACACTGAAGAACTCCTCTTTAGACTTAAAGTTTTTAACAATTTACCAGTGACTATTTCTTACAGCTGACAGTACATGTGATGGCTGGTAACTTACAGTAAAAGCAGCAGCATTGGTGGTGAGTGGTAAGGCATTCCGGAATCCGTAAGGAGATGCACAATCCTTGCAAGGGGCTCGGAGCCTGGAGGAAGCATCATACATAAATAACAGCTCCAGGTATTATCCTGCTAACTTTAAAAACCAAGTCAAAACTGCTACCTCCTCATCTTCACCATGGTTGCTCATTATCATAATATCATATTGAATAGATCTTAATTATAAAAAGCTTACTGAGCTTAATTCGTCATGATTTATAAAATATCATAAACAAAAAATTATATATTGTAGTGTGATGCTACCACACATGGCCTGGCCTAGAGCTATTACTACTCTTTTTGCCTAAAATTTTATTGACAGCTCTCACAGTTTACAAATAATGTACATATATAATACAGTAAACACTTCAACTATTCCCATACAGACCGTGTGGTATTTGAGTGTCAAGTCAGTTTTCAGGATGAGGTTCACATTATACAGTAGTTTAGTAAATGTTAGTACTGTACTGATCACACATCTTATTTACTGGCCAACTACCGTACACTAAAGCTTGGTAACCCAGTAATGATTAACTAACTTCTGAGCAACAATGAGGAATGTTTGACTGGTTATGGTAAATTACAATATCACAGGTGATCTCCGATTACCTTTCGTAAATTGGATCAAATTTTCCCAAAACATTAAAATGAGTAAAACTTTACATGTTTGTAACTCCCACTGTACACTCAGAGAACAATAACATACAGTAAGTGAAATGAACAATATTGGGGGAAACACAATGAAATTTATCTTTAAAACACTATTTTTGTATTGTTGGGAGCCAATTAAAGTAATCAGATGGATAAGACTTTGTTGACAGCAGAATCACAACATTAGCCTGTTGCTGCCCATCATAAAACTGTAAGCACTGATTGTAATGTCACTGTTAGGTAGATGGGTGGATCTGATGACTATAGTGTATACAGCATATCCTCCTCCAAATACAGTAGCTTACAAGTACAAAGGCTCCTTAAACTCACTTCTCAGGCACAGTGCTCACATACGGCATCACCACTTTGTCTACAAAGGATCCAAAGCCAAGCTTGAAATTTTGGGTGATCTTCTGCATCTCTTCTGCTAACTGAGCACCTAACTTGGAGAGAGATTCCTTATCATCCTCCATAGATTTAGACAGATCCATGAGATAGTACAGGTCGACGGGATAGTCTTCAGCCTGCCTGAAGGTCACCTGCATGCTGTACGCCTCCTCTGTATAACAAATAAAACATTCAAAATTATTACCACACCTTTTCCTCCTTGATATAAAAGATAAAAATCTCAGTTTCTATAAGTTGATCAGGCATGACCGGTTCATTTATTGTCAACCTTCCAGTACACACAGACAGATTAACACTATGTAGTCCAAGGGGTGTTAGTTTTATAGTGGATAACTGACATCACAAAACCAGAGAACGACAGTACAGCCATTTACAAACTTACGGACTCTGAGCCTCATGGAAACCCTCTGTGGCTTTATCTGCACCACCGCCTCTCCACTCTCACTGCCACTTATGCCGCTGCCGCTGCCGCTCCCACCGCTACCAGCCAGTACACCAGCCTGAGTCAGCTGTACGTTGTTCACATTCTCAAAGTAGTTCCCAGGTTCGTATATGGAATCTGTGCCACATGAAACACGCCATTTAGAGGCAATTTCATCTGTTCGTTTGATGCATCTGGACAGCCACTTCCCATTATCATCCGTGAAATTCTGAAGAAAAAGGAAAATATGTATTATTTTCTTATAACACATCACTGGACAGAGGTGGCTGAGAGAATACAGCGTCCTCCTCTAGTACTACAGGTTACTGGTTCATATGTAAGGCACCCCTAGTCCATCCAGCTGTGTAGGGATACTTGGTACAGTTGGGGAAGAGAACAAAGTTGACTGCTTAGTTTTACTGTACTGCTGTGACCTGTAACTGCACTGCCTCTACTGTACCATCAGACCTGTGGGACCCACTTCAACATTTTCACTGTACAAATACCCTATTCAGTGTTATGTTTTTCACATAAATTATACTTGTTATCTGTAGAATTACTTGAGTGACCTCTGTGCACTCAAAACATTAAGGAAAAGTATGTGAATAAGACATAAGGAGTTACTGTACTATGGAAAAATACTAAACAAAAAATAGAAGTTCCAATTTTAAATATCAAACCCTAATAATTTGCACAGATTCTCACCAGACTGTAAGTGGAATCTTCCCAATTTTCATGTCAAGTTGACACTGTCCAGTTAGTACAATAAAATGGTAATAAACCCAGCAGCCAAATTTATGAAGTATGTTTTTATCAGCAGTTTCCCGGTACAGTATTTCAAGAATACTCATAATAAGACCAGACTCCTCTCTCAGTGTAAGTATTACAACTACAGCACTGTACTGTCATAATACACTACACTGTACTCTACTTAACCTTACTGTCAACTTCATACAATACAGTAAATTGATGACAACATTCGTGAATCATTGCAGCCATGTTCCATATTGTTGGCCATGTTAAGTGCTGTTCTGTGCTGTACTGTAGTGGAAACACCTGTGGATATATTTATACAGTATACCCCTTATCATATCCGTTTCCTGTCACACTCCACACCCTGCTGCACCTAAGCCACTTTCCTCATCCTTTCTTCTCTTCTTTGATGTTTCTTTTCTTCATGACTTACAGTGGTAGAGGAAAAAATTCATCTGTAAATACTAAAGTGTTCTCATTTTAGTAATACATCTGGTCAACATGTGATGTGATTCTACTGTCAGTGCCGGGTGTGTTATCATGTAGAACACTGCCACCTGTGCTACTGCTACCTTTGTTCAGATATCTATGTACTACACCCACTGTTACCGCAAGCAGTAATGAGTAGGATGACACATAAACAAACATTATGTTAGGGTGTAAGTCATGTCATGTTTATTGGGCGTGCCTGCCCGTATACAGAGTATGGAGATGGTGGAGACGGAGAGACCAAGAGGAGATTGGGGTGTTGGGTGGTAGTAAGGGAAGCTTGTTTGCGTATAAACGCCTGACGCAGCAAAGTCGGCCAGCCAGGCTGGGCATGTGACGCCAGGCAGGGCACTGCCACTGTAGCTATTCCCATCATAGAGTCAACACTTAACCTGTTTCTCTTGAGAATCTAAACACGTAAGTTTAACTTGTACTTAAGTTTACACAGGAAGACTGTGTCCATTGCATCGGTTATCATTGTGACAACATAGAAATACAGTACTGTATGTCAAATTAAGTACTGTACTGATTATAGTGTTAAGATTAGACTAATTACATAGCTATGATTGTTATGTGAATATATATTGTATCAAACATTTATGTATGATTGCCTATGAATGATTTACTTGAAATACTAAAATTAATTGTATTCAACAAGTTTGACCGAATTATAAGGTTCGAGTTTAACGTAAAGTGTCTGATTAACCTTTAAACGCTCAGAAGGCGTTTACACCCACCAAAAAATTATTGGGCACCCTTACGGTGTGATACAATATGACACAGGTGCCGAATAATATTTTAGTGGGTGTACAGCAACAGTGAATAAACATGTACAGTAATACAATTAGTGGAAAATAGTACGAATAAAATGTCTTGGCTTAAGCTTTTCTCTAACAGTATTTCATGGAAAATATATATACAGTATATATTTTTTTGCATTTCAGAACACTTTTTTTTGTACAAGTGCATAAATAATTCAATAATTTTTGGGTTTTTTAAGTAGCGACCAGCAAGTAGTGTCACTACAGACTCCACTACTGATTTCTGAAAGTGATGCCCCTTTTTTCACCACTGTACTGAAATAATAATGGCGGTACTCCCAGCACTGTTAACAAGATGAGGAAGGTTACACAACATACCATATGATTTGGGGCTGTAATAAATACATGTCCAGGTTACTGATGTGCACCAACTTAAAGGACAGACCAAACAACAGATTCATGAGAGCTAACCACTATTTTTTTATCTACACCCATTATTTTCTTACAGTGCCAGCATATAGGAGAACTGTGTGTGTATCTCTCACAACTGTGTCTTGGGTTCAATCCCCAATCTGGGACATACGTAAGACAGTTGTTATTCACTACTAAACATGGCAGGTTTTATCTGGGTACTATAGTTTCCTCCTGTACCAACACTGGACAAAGAACAGACCAACAGCCCAATTGGCCAGTAAGCTGGTAGTGGTGATATGATAAACAGAAACAAACACACACACACACACCAGGGGAGGGGGGCTCCTGTGGGCAAGACAGTACAGCCAAGGCTATTTCCCATGAAACACAACATTATGCATTTGTTGTATATAGTACAGGATCATATAACTACAGGACCATCAGTAATTTGGAGACTCACTTAGCCTATGAACTAAGAGTACTAATGAATTACAGTATAGTAATATCTCCAAAAGCCGGAATCCCTCAAACCCGGAACTCTCCGATGGCCGGAATTGAAATTTTCTTGGAAAATTGTCCCCAAAGCTGGAATTTAAGAAAATTCCGACTTTGGGAGCGATTTTCTGAACTGCACATTTTCTGGAAATTCAGAGAAAATTTAGGAAAATTCCGGGGATGAGGGATTTTTTTTCCAGCTTTGAGAGAGTCGTCTCGTTACCCAAAAATCTCTCATTCCCTAAAGTGCTCTGCACCAATTGTTCCAGTTAACGGAGAAATCACCGTACTAAAAAAATATCACTTATGGCTCTCAAATGTGTCAAAAAACTAAAATTTTAGTGTGCTGCACCTTGTCTTGTGATAATAATATACACTCATTGTCAAGTCTCATCAAAAGATCTAACTAACACAAGAGTTATGGTGCAGATGGGGATAAAGTTACACACATCATGGCAGCCCCCCATAAAATAATAAACCAATCCCATATACTAAAATAATAAATATCTTGCTGCAATTTACACTTACCGTAGCCTTGCCACACCACATACAATTGGGTGTCTGGATACAGCCCGAGCACGACACCTTGTTCTTGCAGTCCTGGGAAGCCAAAGTCAGCGTGCCGAGGACCACCACCGCCAACACACTCACCCACCGCATCTTGGCTTTAATTATTAGTATTATCTACACCTGAAAAAAGCAATACATAGCAAGCATTATCAACACATTCTCTCAGGTGCCAAAGTTTCTTCAACATAAAACATGGAAAAAAAATTGATCTCATTCTATTTTACAGAAACAATGGATAGTGAAGATTTTTGGTAAAGTACATGTTCTCCTAATACAGTACAGTATACATGTATACACTGTATACATTAAAACAAGAATATCTACATGTAATTCAACCAACAGAAAACTAAACTAGTACACACATGTAATTCTTATTTAGCCACCACTCATACCCCGAAATAAGTGGTGTGAATAATGTGGATCTTAACAGGATATACTGTATTACACCACAAGAGTGTGTCACCACCACTGGGCTAACTTGAGCTATGACATTTCACTAAAATTCTCCCACAACAGTACATTAAAAAGTAACTCAGTCTGTTACATTTAGCTTATCTCTAATGAGCTTTGTGGTGAGGGTGTCCAGTATCATCATCATTGTCCATGTTTTATTGTCACTTTCCACTCCTGCTTGGGTTAGCTTTGATTACCTCAAGGCTGGACGGTCTCTTGCAGTCTCTCTTGTCGGGTTCTTATCTCTGATGTCATTTCTTACAACCTGTCTTCACGTCATTCTTGACCTACCCCTGGCTCTCCTCCCCTCCACAGTTAAGCCTGTGCAACTCTTGACCCAATTGGTCTCATCTAGTCTCTACACACCCCTGAACCATCTCAGCCTACCTCTACACAGAACTTTGCCAGTCACCCTCTTAGCTTTAAACAGGGCCTCCTGTCTTTCTGTGTCACATTACACATCCACCTCACCAATCTCATTTCAGCTCACTCAAGACTACTTATGTCACACTCTTCACCTGTCCATGTTTCACTTCCATACAACAAGACAGGGACACATCTCACACCAGTCACACATTCTTCCTTTTATGTAGGGAGGTCCTCTTGCATCAATAAGAGCAGCAGTTCCCTACACTTCCTTCAGCCACTTCTGACCCCCACCAACACTGATCATGTCACCCAGGTATTATAACTCACCAACACAGTCCCTAGGTCATATCCCCAATATTCAGTTTATCTAGTACTGCTGTGAGAACATGATTACTTGCACACACAAACAGAACACTTAAAAGTCAGCAACATCTTGCAATCTGCCATCTACTCCACACCAGCATGAATGAGATATAACTGATAATATATTACTATTTATACATGAAAGATAAATATATCGGCGAGCCAATTAATTCTCATTCACCCTACATTTGGGGCACATTTTGGGAAGACTCTTAACCAAATCAGTCATATATATCACAGACCACCTTAAGATTAAACACCCTCAGACTACCTCCAGGGGATAGGTTAAGTATACTACGAGTTTATCAAGGCAAATAACATTCCTCAATGATTTACAGTGATTAATATAGATGACCCCTTCACTCCCTCACAGGTAACCCAACACCACCAAGGTAATTCAATATGAACACTGAGCCTACCACACACCTCCCTCCCCCATATAGGGACTGAGTCAATGTGTTGTCCTGGTTCCTCGTGTAACAACAAAGAATAAGATCTATATACAGTATAATAACAATGTATACTCTACTGTATTGATTCTAAGGGTGATTTAGATCACATGAAATTTAGGCACCCCAGCTTATTTCACCTGAAGAATAGACAACCCAGCTTATTTCACCTAATGATTAAAACAGTAACCTAACCTCACCCTTTGCTAGTGTTAGGTGTTTGATCGCCAGGTGAAATAAGCTGGGGTACCAAATCTTCAGGTAAAAATAAGCTGGGGTACCAAATCTTCAGGCATAAATAAGCTGTGGTGCCAAATCTTCAGGTAAAAATAAGCTGGAGTGCCAAACCTTCAAGAGATCAACAAAAAACAAAATTACCCCCACCTACTGTACCACACCAACCAGCATGCACAGCTCTTAACTTCTGCCACCTTAACCACTAAATGATTCAGACCTAAAACTCTACAATTTCCTCCCCATCTCTTATCATGACAGGAAATAATATCCCCTGATAAGACCCCTGTTAAGAGGTTCCTGTCTCCCTGATAAGACCAGCTATGATAAGAGAACTGTGTGAGGGTTCAGTCACTTGCCGACCTCCACACCAGAGCAATTATTTCATATCGTGTGACTTGTAGATACGCCCACTTCCGATATTTGTATGGTAAACGTCTTGACAGGGTACAAGTCTCAGAGGAGTACCGGTACACTGTATACCTGTGTTGTGTATACCTGTATATACGGAGCTGTACATTACGGTACCTGCAGTGTCTATATAGCGAGAGGGAGGGAGGGAAAAGAGAGGGAGAGAGAGAGGAATACCTAAGGCTGTCAAATGCATCACCCAAGTCATATGCATTCAACTGTATGTAATAAGCTTGAATTATTTACACTAACCAGAATTAAATCTATTTTATCAATTGGGTATCCTAGAAGCTAGATAGTGAAGGTATATAAACAATGTACCTAGACAGCACAGGTATACAATGTACCTAGACAGCACAGGTATACAAACAACATTACAGTAAGATAACTCATCCTAGTATAGCCAACAAAGCCATCAGATGCTCATTCACTAAAACATAATCCGAACCATTCCATGACAACATCCCAGTAGCTACATGCCTCACGTCCTGGATACAAAAGGGCGGGGCCAATCAGGATAAGTGATGCCTCTAACCACCACTCACCACATTAAGCCAACAGCCCACACGACTGTCTCAAACCAATTACATAATGACGACGCCCACATCTTCTACCTAGAGTCTACAGATAAGAGACGGGTTATTATTTTTTATTTACATATAACATACATAAGGACAAATTATACCATGCATCTAACCTAACCAAACTTAACTAAAGTACACTGCATGACTATTAGACTGGGTCAGGTTTAGTCATTTTGAGTTATCCGTCGCTAATAATGTTATTCTCCCCCCCCCCCCAGAAATAACATCCACCACATTCCTCCCCGCAAAACAACATCCACACACCCACCCCCCACGGTCGTCACTCCTTACTGCACATGATCACACATTCATCCATAGTAATGTGCTCCCTCCCTTCACGGTGTAGATATAGACAGATAGAGACAGTATATAGATAGCTTGAGAGATTAATAGATAGATAGACAGATATACAATAAACAAATAAATACATAGACAGACATTTATTCCAGCACAATCATCATACAAGGCAGCAAATTGTTCAATGCTACACAGACACACTAAAAAAAAGACGTCAAAAGTTCTTGTTTCGTGTTGTTGTCATGGAATGGAACTTTCAAATAACATTAATATCGTTCATCGGGAAGATAAGACCCCAAGGTGATAATACAAACATCAGGACAGGAACTCCGTAACCCCCCCGACTCCACCTCGGTAACACGATATGCAACCTTGATTTAAGCAGCCGTCTCTTTCGCCCCAATTTTAGGATCACCGGACAATTTGCTCTCCCTACCCCAACTTTATTTCACCTGATGATTAAACTCCCTAACACCGTATAGGAGGAAGATTTGGTTGGGTTTTTGTTAGGTTAGGTTGGTTAGGATAGGCTGGGATTAGTTAGGTTAGGTTAGGTTACTGGTGTTAGATTGGGTTAGCATTATGATGATTAATCTTAAAGTGAAATAAACTTTAGGCAGGGGTGGGGAGCAGGGGTGGGGGGAGGTGCAGGGGGGGTGGGGGGGGGGCAGGAGTGGGTACCGATGACCTAAGCAGATTAACAGAATCGTACAGTTTAGAGGAAATACACCAGGTGGAGCAGCCAACAACTTCAAGTGATGTCATCCCTAAGCACAGTGCACATATATCCCTGACTCACCACTGAACTAGTACTGCACCACCACCAACGACACCATCAGATAATTTAACAATGAGATGGTAGTTATTGCCTTAGTATAGAGCAATGCCACCCTTATTGAAACATCTGTCCACATTCTACCATCTGTTTATATTAGTATAGTACAGTATTCCTAAACTACTAAACACATCGGGGTTTTTTCCCCTTCCGTTTTGTAGGGATTAAACATCTATTAACACAGAACAATTAATAAGAAATACATGAGAATTATTAGTTAAAAACGTATAAAGTGTAAGAGAGGAAATCCATCAATACTGGAGGTGTGTGTGTGTTACAAGACAGCTCTACTAGATTGGTGCATAGCTCTGGTGGCCTAGTAAGGGGGCCGATATGAGGCTGTTGTCGAGAAAGCAGGTGACTGGACACGTTATTAATGTTAAGACTTGGGATTCCATGTGTGACTATAAACCTATGAATACATTATTTGTTCTTGATAACATATTTGTTCTTCATATTGGATACAGGAAGTTACTATGAGAATGTCAATGACCAATAATGAAGTACAATTAGTGGGGGAAATAATGAAATATCTGTACACAATGTATCAACAGAATATTTATGTCAAGAAATAAATCATGGGGATTGAACTTGCTTTTCACACCATACACTACATATGTGTATACTAAATATCCACTGAAACATTTATTGCCAGAAGAAATTACAAGGATTATTAATAAAGAGATGTCTATATACTGTCCTGTACAGTATGTTTGACTGGCAAATAATAAGCAATATATAACATCAGTCACAAAAGAAACTTATATTTATTGTTGAAAAAATTTAAATACAATATTAAATCAAGGAACATTTTAATACATATCGAGGTGTAATACTGTACTACAAATGTTTGGACGTGAGAAGCTTGTTGATATAAAGTTAATCATTGGTTACTGAGGCTGGTGTCTATCCTTATGGGGGGTGAGTGAGTCAGCTGGTACCATGGAAGTTGTGGTCACCAGTTTGAACACATAACTGCAAGTGTTTAGTTTGATATTTTCAATGATTAAAGTTTTCCTTAATTATGATATAGTGGAAGATTATGACCTAACTAAATGACTACTGGTTAATAGTACACTAATATATGTTTAATTACAATACTAGAGGATTAACATTAGCTTATAGTTTCAAATTATGGTGTGTGTGGCGGTGATACTGAATAGGTATTGTCAGGGTGAGGGAAGGGGGGGACCACCAGGACATCCACCTCTTCTAAATTTACATCAAGTTAATATCAGTGATGACGAGTATTCTTTTAATATACTGTACTGTACTTGGTAAGAGTAGATATCATGTGAGGATAATCACTCATATAATAACAAAGACAGATGCACGCCCCCCATGTTTGACCCACAGGAGGCTAGTTCACATGCTAGTTAGGTGTATAATGTGATAAACTCCCACACTACACTACACTCCCACACTACACTACACTCCCACACTACGGTCTATGACAGCAAATGTAAACAAAGAGGCGTATAAAGCATCAACATTGCTCAAACAAAGTAAGATTATACTACAGTGCTTTGAGCTGATGGCTAACATGATAGAAGATCAAATAACCATTGTCACAAACTCGCAACACTTTGGCTTCCGTGTTCATAATGCTCATTGAATCTTCTACGGAATATTATTGAATACAAATTTTCCCACTGTCACAGCCTGGGGAGAGAGGAGGATGAGGCTCTAATGAATTGTCACAGCTGCCCCATGATTTTGTTAGCATGTTTTAGCAAGATGCAGGTCACCAAACACAGTTACTGAACAATTATAACAAAAATATTTGTGTTTATGTAGTAACCTTCATGGATGTTATGTTAAATAATAATAATGTTACATCTGTATGGTGCCTTACTATGAGTTAACCTACACACAGCCATAATAACAGTGGGACCTGTGTGAGGCTATGACCGTGAATGAGAGCAAGTGTACACCACTCAATGAATAATGTCACACATTGCTTTATGTTGACAACAATATTTTATCAAACACTGACAAAAATTTAATTGCACTTCGTGTCTAAGTAGAGACCTGTTACTGGGACTGTTATTTGTAACTGATGCATAAAATGACACAAGTAACTCATCCCTCCAGCCCCAAACACCCTCACCCTCCTCAACCCCCATAACACGCCACCCTCTCACACACACTGGCTCTCCTCACTCGTGAATGCTTCAAATTCACATGTCAAATTCCGGAGCGGTGGAATAACAAAGCTGAATTTACCGGTCGGAGAAGTTCCCAACTGTACATTGTTTGTATACCTGCATTGTCTAGGTATAATAAAAGATCAACTGTAAACCTGAATTCTCTATACACACTCTGAATCAATATGACAAAATAAAATTGAACTGAATTGAACTGTGTTTTTCCCCTCAGTCAAAAAGGCTACAGCTGTGACCAATCAGTAAATTCAGGAACCTTGACTGTTATGCGATTACAGCGAATTACAGAAGCAGAAATCAGGTCACAGCCCACAGGATATGAGATTGGAAAATGTGGCTGCATTGAATATGGATCTGTCTGGTGAAAAAAAGCTGAGGGTGTCTAATATTCAGGTGAAATAAGCTGGGGTGTCTAATCTTCTGGTGAAATAAGCTGAAGTAACTAATCTTTGGGAGAAATAAGCTGGGATGTGTAATCGCCGAGTGAAAAAGCTGGGGTGTCTAATCTTCTGGTGAAATAAGCTGGGGTGTCCAATCTTCTGGTGAAATAAGCTGAAGTATCTAATCTTTGGGAGAAATAAGCTGGGATGTGTAACTGTCTAGTGAAAAAGCTGGGGTGTCTAATCTTCACCTTACCCAAAAATCTTCCCAGAACAAAAAATAAAGAATCAGAGAACTGTTTTAAGACAGGACAGTACAAACAGGTCTGACTCACTCCACCCTCCGAGTGTTGAGTCGTGGCTCTGAACCAGCAGTGACAGGAAGCAGATAATGTCAGTCCCCTCCATCAACAGGAAGTAAGTTAACATAATCACTAGCATTATTTACAACAACGTTTGGGTTGATATCTACGGACACACACGCACGATGCCGATGTTAGTGATACAGAGGTACCCGGTAGTGTGGTAACTGTATCTCTCACAACTGTGTCCTGAGTTTAGCCCCAGCCTTGGACAAATATGAGAAGGGTGTTACACAGTATGGCCGGTTTACCCTGGGTACTTCGGTTTCCCGCCTGTGCTAACACTAGGAAAAATAAAGATCGTTACAAAGAACAGACCAACTGCCGGAAATGTTAGTTAAGTGGTGAAATATTATATACAAGTGATAAATAATAAAATAAATAAAACTATATACCAAAACATTTTTTACTGAAACCAATATGAATTAAGCTACACATACTGACAATAGTATCACAATAACCAATCATGCCACAGAACACTTAAATGATTATTACCAAATACAGTACAGTACAGTATTGTATGTCTTTATATCTACAATAATATCAAAATAATGTTTCGGACTGGCATTAGTGGTTCTCAACTTGCTTAAAATAAATCCTACACTTATGATAATATTCTTTACTTTATATTTATCTTCTCCAAAATCTAAATAACCTAAGCATTTTCTCTTCATGACTCCCCACATACGAATTTTAGTTACACACAGCAATAAAGTACTGGAGGCTCATTCTACAGAGTCTTTCACAAGTCACATTGATTCTTCTGTGTAACTTCAGAATTCCAAACTGTCGCTTCGCTCTTCTTCTTTAATGACCCAACCAGTGTGTTCAGTCAGTGGTAGAGCGCTTATCTCTCTCCACTGTTTCCAGGGTTCAATCCCCGGCTAAGGCCAGAGGTGAGAAGGGTGTTATCTAGTGCGACAGTAAAACATATCTTGGATTTCCTCTTATACTACACAAGACAATTAAGTTCGTAACAAAGAACTAATTAACTGCACAGAAGGTTAGTAAGCTAATAAGTGGTGAAATAACAAATAATTAAATTGCTAGATCATTAAAATCTCTTTGAACTATACAAATATTTTCCAATCAAATTCACTTTTTTTCTTTTCTTTTCTTTTTTTAATTTCACCATTTATCAGTTTACTAGCCATTTAGGCAGTTAGACTTGGAGAAACCTGTGATATTTGATAGTGAGGGTCACGCTAAATAACACCCTTATCACGTGTGTCTGGGCCAAACAGGACATGAACCCTTGACATATTGGTGAGAGATACAGTACAAGCATTACCACTGTACCACCAGTATTAACAAATAGTAAAAAAGTAAAAAAAAAGAAAAAATCATGAACTGAAAAGATGAAATGGTAAAAATCAGGATTCAAACTCCTAAAGATACACATTAAATTGGATCTGTTCCATCTCACTGCCTGACTTATGCTGACATGAAAAAAAAACGATCATGAAGAAAGGAACTGCCACTTATTTCGCCTCATGACTCAACCCTCTGATGCTAAATGAGTGTTAGGTTAAGGTTAGGTTAGGTTAGGTTACGTTAGGTTAGGTTAGGTTAGGTTAGGTTAGGTTGTATAGTTTGAACATTGGATAATCAATAAAATTAAAATTACTTAGACAAACAGTAATTCTTATTTCAGCTCACCTAAAAATTATGGTACACTATACATGATTCACAAATAACCAATACTCATTCTGAATTCTTTACCAATCAATGTGTACAATATTCTGGAAATCCAATACCCCCCTGTACAAAATCTTGCAGAATATAAAAATATATATATATATATATATATATATATATATATATATATATATATATATATATATATATTATTTTAGCTTAGGTCATCTGGAGAATCTTAGGAATATAGTTTATGTTAGACATAGTTCCTCACTTCTGTGGCTAGGTTAGGTTGAATAGCTTAGGTTTGGTTAGGTTGGTTAGGATAGGTTGGTTAGGTTAGGATAGGTTGGTTAGGTTAGGTTAAGTTGAATAGGTTAGATTAGGTTAAGGGGTTAAGAAGCATTATAACAAATCCAACGTAATTCAAAATACAAGTCACATGAATAGTTAAGCTCCACCTTATTTCATCTGATGATTAAACAATCCTCAAACTACAGTACCTTGAGGGGTTAGGTTAGGTTTGTACTGGGTCTTTAATTATTTGGGGTAAAGTAATAAAATGGGGTGCCTTATTTTCATGTAGTCCCAAATTACTAATACCCTCACAAAGACTCACACATCTGTTGGTCATTCACTCAACTGGCCATATTAACCACTTTGAATAATTAAATGTTTCAGACACAATTCATTTTTCTTTCACATTAACACAACCGTTACATTAATGAACTCAAACATTTTATATGAAATTAAGAAATATTTTTTTTTTTTGGCTCACAGCTTTTACTTACACCATTATAGATAAAGTAATGCAAAATTCATCAAATATTACTTCTAATTATTCTTAACTTAAACCAATTAGTTAATATTTTACGTTAAAGCTGGAATATTCAACTGTTCGAACTTATATTTTTTACAAACTTAAAATTTACACACATAAGTCACTTTACCTATATAAGTATTAACTAAAAGAGTAATACGTTTCCAAATAAAGTTTCTTAAGTGATTGCTAAATGAGTATAGTAGTGGACTTACCAGTGTTTCAGTAGATATAAAGTACCCACAGCAGGAGTGTTAGCAGACTGTATACAGGTGACTGAGGGTTTAACTTTAATGACCAATTCCACCACCTACACCACCCCCACACACTATACCTACTACCACCACCACACAATACCTCACTACTAACAGTCACCACACAGTATAACCACTGACATACTTCACTCACCCCTTTACTGTGACGAAATTCATGGAGGGTGAGTAAATATGTGCATGAGTCAACTTCCTAGAATGAAGAGTGGACTGAGAGGGGCCACAGCCAGGCGTCGCCCACCAGTTCCCTTTCCCGCATATGAACTTTTCACTTCTTTTTCTCACGTTATTACTCGGAGTTATGAAGTATTTTAACTTACCTATACAATTCACGGAGATGGAAATGCTTCTTTGTCTATCTATTGATGAAACCAGGGCATTGTAAACGGTAAAAAGCAGTTAATTAAGGAGAGACGGCAGTCATCCAGAGCTAAAAATGGAAAACAAACACTGACAGTGACGTCATACTGTCCGGGACCCGCATAAAGAGATGTTATTTATATGATTATAAATTAATATATATTCTCTACTTTCATCATATATTTGTTTTATGATTTACTATGGTTCTCATGTGGCTGTGGATTTACAAGAGCAATTACTTATTAGGGTAAAATGAAAGGGTTGCGAATTTCACGTTTTCTATGATTTGCAATATGGTCAGTAAATGGATATTATATGTTTTATCACTATTTGAGGTTATCATTGTCCCTGTAACATATTCTTCACTCTACGTCCACCTCCAAATAACATATACGCTTTTTTTAGATGAAAGCGTTAAAAGAAACACACATTTGTGGGTAAAATTCATGGTCTTGTAGGTGAAGTTGGATCAAAGTATAAGTATTTTAACTATAGAATCGAAACCTTTATTCAAGTTTTTCTTAGGACAGTTGGGGTCTTGGATCCTCCAGGTAATATTAATGTTATGAATAAAGCCACAGTTCCTGGTTGTTAAGGAAGCGAACACTGGCAGCGAACACCAGTTGACCTAACAACAACATACATGAATAGCTGACGACCAAAATTAATATATATATATATATATATATATATATATATATATATATATATATATATATATATATATATATATATATATATATATATATATATATATATATATATATATATATATATATATATCAATCAACGGGTGTGTTGGTGTGTGGATTAGTGGATGACATCATTATGACCTGACCTCATGTTTTTTAAGGTCACCCTGTATATTTAAGCCTCTCTCTATCCATGTAATCCAGTTGCCTCTGAAGATGTCTTGAATAAAGACGAAAGCTAAGGTGCTCCGTTGTTTCCATTTTCCCCGTGTGATTTTATCAAGATTTATCTTATCCACGTTTTCATGGTGGATTTACATGATATATATATATATATATATATATATATATATATATATATATATATATATATATATATATATATATATATATATATATATATATATATATTGCTGTTCTGAATCGTGGATGACCAATAACTTGAAAGGATTGGAAAGACAATATAATAAATTGGTGAAGTGCTTGTTAGACGTGAGGAGAAACACGAGTATGAATCTGTGCATAATTGAGTCAGGTATTCCCCCAGCGCAAGACATTATCGCAAAGAGGAGATGCAAGTTTATGAAATCACAACATGAGATAATGGACATGGAACAACCTCTTCATTTTGTATATGATTTACGTAGGATAGCAAACACACCAGGATTTAGAATCATGGCGAGAGAATTAACCTTAGACTGTGACACAAACCCAATAGAGAGTGTGGCGAGTCTGGTAACGGAGAGGTCAGTTGGCGCTACAAAATGTGCTACGTACATATCCGTTCTGAACCCTTTTACGACAGTGCATGAGGTATACTTAAGTAAGAAATTTATCCAAGATTTTCAGCGCGAGTCGTTCACCAGGCTGAGACAAATGTCACCCAACCTTAAAGTAGAGACAGACAGGTGGAGTCGCACACCAGCAGAGTTGAGAGTATGTCAGTGAGACGACAGTCGTGTACACAGTGAACGACATGTGCTGATCCATTTGTACGTTCTCTGCACATTGTCGTGAAAGGTATCATATGCTGACTTTCTCCAGTATCAGTGAACTCTTAAATGAAAATGTACTGTATGTGTGCCTGAATTATGTAATTATATACAAGAGGTACTAGGAATCTATAGTTAAGTTTGAAATCGCCCCTTACATGTTGTTTTTATTTAAAATATTTTGTTGGACAAATGTATTTTGAATTCTTTGTATATATTTACCATGTATTTATACTTTTGTCAATAAACTACAGGTTGACAACCCTTTATCCGAAATTCCTTAAGTTTTTTGTGGGGCTGCTTCTTTTTTTTTTTTACAGGGATTATCAGCCCACCCGGGCACAGATCACTGACCCACATCGGGGCCTGGGGGGCGAAAATGTAATAGTAATAATAATTATTCATAGTAAATAAAATTTTTTAATAAAAATACACCAAAATAAAATAATAATGATTACAATAATAATAAAATTAATAATAATAATAATACTGTAATAATAAAATAATAATACAGTAAAGAAATACAAGAATGAAAAAAAGATCAAAAGTGAGAAACACGACCTATTGTAGACCTATGAATTATTATTATTATAATTTTTATTATATTTTCGACCCCCAGGCCCCAATGTGGGTCAGTGATCTATGCCCGGGTGGGCTGATACACATTAAAAAAAAATATTCCGAAAACCGAAATGCCTCTGGCCCGAAGGATTTCGGATGGATTGTCAACCTGTACTACCGCTAGGGAGGGAGGCGATAGCTGGACAGCGAACCTGTCGTCCAGTAAGGGTAGGCGTACTTTGCACCATCCACCCTGACTTGAGAGAAATTTCGTCTGGAATTGTACCACACTGTCAGTATTACCTGGGAACACGTGATAACCGTTAAACCGTGAGCAGGTAACGTCTGTACGCTACGACAGGCGGGTGGAAAATGACAGAACCAGGGAGACACACAGGGGGCCGGACGCTTACCCAGACGTGACGTGTCGTCTGCTTATCATAGAAAACGGCAGTGGATTAGCGGTGACTGCTGCAATAAATTCAAGGTTTAAGGAAATTGCTAGTGTAGCCTAAGTTTTATAACATAAGATGACTTGGGATTCCCGTTCACCCCTCGGGACGAGATGCTAGAGGGAGTCCTCTAGCGCCTGTACACTAAGGAGGCACAGTCCACTAAAATATACATATTATAGGTTTTACCGCTGGACAGCGGTAATCATAGGAGTGATAAGAGTAGTGAAAGTAATTATGGGGAGTGATAAGAATTAATGTTGTTATGTATTACGAGACGAGACGCTGGTGAGTCTTAATGAGGAACAAGGCGTGTATTTGCTGAATTCGCTTGACATTCATCCGGACTGGCCAGGCCCCTGGACGATAACATACGGCAGTACCCCGCAACTGATATCCCTGAACACACCAGAGGCTGTCTGGTCCAAGCCAAACCTGCTACACGTAAGTGTGAAACTATTGTGTTTCATTGTGGACGTGAAGAATATTAATTGAGTAACTTCTGACGATATGCAGCTTATGTTGTGTTTACTATTAAGATAATGTACTCACTTGCTAATATTAGGTGAATGTATTCATATATGATATTGTAGTGGATACCTCCTTCAATATATCACTGAACCTTCAGTTTCCCTCTTGTCAATTGATTATTTGTATTTGACATGTTTGACCGAAATAAACTGTTTCGAGATGACGAGGCAGGTATTCAATATACATAGGCAGTGCAAGTATGCAATGTATTCAACGGGAATGTAAGTATACAGTGTGCAGAGATAGTGCAGGTATAGAATATTCGTAGAATCTAATATACAGTGCCAGTACACAGTGCATGTATACAGACCAACTTGTCCTCGCTTTCACCTGTGACTGATTAAAAGACACACTAGTACTGTATAGATTCATGGATGATAGACAGTGGTATTAACTCACGACAGGAGCTGCCATGCACAGGCCAACCGGCCTATTGCAGACTCCTTATTTTCTTATGTTCTTATGTCTCTATCCCTGCATCATACATCCTCCTAGAACTTGTATTATGAACCAACTTCCTCTCCACGGCTCTCTTGGGTGATCTAATTCCCTGAGCTACCGCTTTCATGGCTCACACATTGCGAAAAAGTTGAAATACTAGTAATTTCCGAGGGAATGTCTCTGCAGCACTGAAAGTCGGTAATGGTCTGATATCGTAACATTATCATCTTCCCATTCATATTGGCATTCCAGCCGAGTTAGTCATCGGGACTTACTTCCTACCTCTCTTCCTGTTATTTTACCACAGAACTCTTCCTCAATGACCTTGAATTTCTACCATGACTCTAATGCCAGCTTCTTCATGTACACCCCAGTGGACCCAAATTTAGATTCTCCATTTGTTCTTACCTGTGATGGTAGTAGTTGTAATGTATGACATCAGAGCTCAATACAATACTGTACTGTATTCTCATTCAGATAATGTCATCGTCAATATCGAAAATCAAATATTCATTTTAAAATATAGTGATCAAAAACGCCCTCAGCAAAACCACAAATTGATGCACCACGTTCTGATGTTACTAATTTGTGAATAAAATGAATACACTATTTGAGTTGAGATTAATTAAAAGCTCCTTGTATGTGCGCTGGGAAGTGTTCGCTGCCTGGCGCTGGTTGCTCCAAGCCTTTCCTGACTTAATATCAATGTTGTTCTTTCTCGGTCGGCTGTGGACAGGAAGCGAGTTAATTAGGAATGAAACGTCATTTTCTATGACATTTACCACGAAATGTCGTCATTTTGGAAGAAATTTCGTAAGTCTGATCAATAGAGCTTAAGATGGTGCCCTTGGCTCATATATATGTTATCTAGGTTAGACTACAATGACATAGACGTAGTTTCTTGGTTCAACTTTTCTTAGGATTAAAGTAAGAAATTTTAAGAAGTGGTCATATTTTTGTTTGTTTAGTTCTTTATTTATTTTACTGTGACAGGGGAATATTGTCTATTAGTGATAAAAAGAGGAACTTCTTGTTCATTGTCCATTATAAGTAAGTTACCATATCATAAGATTTTAGAAATTGTACAACTCAAAATGTAATATTAAATCTAACATAATCCACTTACGGTAAAATTTTAGTTTGTCACCCCTGTATTTAAATCCAAACTAACCTAACCTAACCTAACCTAATGCAACCTAACCAATTCCTCATTGACTGAAACTAAAATACTACCTCACTCATATTGAATCAGTCATCACCATCCATCATGTCCTGTCAACCATTACAGGCGTCTTGTAATCATTTACATACATAGTGGATACAGGTACGGCAGCCGTCCAAAAATCACCGTAGATATAGGTATGGCAGCCATATTGACGGAGTGTGTTGTTAATGGTTAGGTTAGTCAGGAAGAAGGCCGTCTTAACTGTCAAATTATAGTCGGCCCACCACGCTTGTGTATTAGGCTGCCGTACCAATAGACTTCGACGTTTCGCATTCTTTATTTCTTGGGTTTTTGTTAAGAGAATCTACAGTGGTTCATTTACTAAAAGGTGTAAAAACCAACTCTGGTGATGTGGTAAGTTAAAAATAAAAGTGAGCTTAGGAAAATTGTATATTAAATGGTAAATATTCGTCCATTGGTTTTCCTCAGGATTTGGTATAAGAATAGGTTTTGTTTTACGTTTTTTGGTGTTTTTTACTCATATCCGACCTTCATTTCTTTTGCAAATTAGCGATTTTTGCAAAAAAAGTAACAATTTCATTTTTAACAGAAACAACTAATTTGCACAAAAATGGAGGTCAAATTTGAGTAAAACACCCAAAAAAAAAGTATAAAAAACATTCTCATACCAAAGGAGGTAACCAACTTACCTAACCTAACCTACAAGGAGGAGGAGAAACTGACTCTTAAGTGAGGGGTATAACCTCAGGTAAACAAGGCGTGAACCTGCGGACAGCCAGTGGAAGAATATTAACCCATTCAATTTCAATGTGCTAAGGATTTTATTTTAATTTTTTTAATATTGTATCGTCTTCACCACTGATCTGTCTGTATTTTTGTTGACACTTGCAATGATGTCAAGTCGTTTTTTTATATCAGACAGCAGCTATGAATTAACTGACCACATTTAATAGTCATTGGGTAGGTTAGGTTAGGTTTGAGAAGTTGAATTAGTCATGTACAGTAATGTCTATGATAATCCTTTAAACTGCCCTATACAGTATGGTTTTGCCACGTTGTATCATTACTGTTTATGGCCAGTTTCAATGGTTGTGTGGGTTAGTTGTGATTACCTGATGGCACCTCTCCATGCTACACTGTCTCTTGCAGCCTCACTTACCTGGTTCTCTCCGAGGTAATTTCTTACCTTCTTCTCATGTCATTCTTGGCTTTTCAGCAGGTTGCAGGCAAATTGTGTTCACATAGATGAACCTTTTTACTGTATCATGTTTGCAGGTGGAGCTGGGGGAGGGAGTCCAAACCATGTGGGCCCTCACCACATGAGAGAAATCCCTCCACAGCTTCTACAACAGGGTGCTGCCTCCTCTGTGTGGCAAGGTCCTGATGCCTCTACAACCCACCCACCCCACGGCACCCCCTCCTCGACACACCTCATCACTCAAGCTGACGAACAACTGTTTATGGGTGATTTTGGTAAAGAAATTTATGTTTTTGTACAGTACAAATATCTCTGATGAGATAGAGGTATTTTGGAAGAAAATAAATTTTCTAAATTTTTTAAGTTTAAATTAGTTGAGAATTAATGCTAATATTTTAAGGGAATGTTGTTGACTTTTGTGAAATATTTAGCTTGGTTGTTAGTAATACTGTACAGTACTTTATGACTGTTCTGTACAATACTGTACCTTTTTTAGTTAATTCTATTATTCCTAATAGAATTAACTAAAAAGGGTACAGTATTGTGTGTATACGTATTACAATACAGTATTTGTTAAGGAAGAATATATCATTCCCTGGCAGAGACTTGTTCTACACAGTACTGTCGTGACACGCAATTTGTTGACAAATTAAATTGAATCGAGTGATTATGGATTTAAACCCTAGCCCTGGCAGGTATAAGTTAGATGTGTTCATCATTACAACAATTAGTACTGTACTGTATTAAGGTTGGGGTATGACCTGGTATTTTCAACATAATCATCACCTTTCTTTTGTGTCACATCCTGTTCTCCTTGAAGATGTGATGTTACCTGTACCATGTATAGCAAATGTAAATATAATGTGTACCATTTTCTGATTTGTTTACACACACACACACAGCTACTTTAAGATTCTAATATTTGAAAATTTTCACAGGACGAGAAAGAGTAGATCCTCTTCTCATTCAGTCACAGTTTGTAAAGACTGTGGAGGACATTCTTAATAGTCCCTCAACTTTACCATACTTCCTTCAGTTTCTACAAGGTTGGGGAGCAGATAAGTATGCACGGTTTTGGTTGGAAGCCAAAAGCTTCAGAGCTGCAGCTGTGACACGCATTAACAATCAGGACCTGAAAGAGTCATGTGATAATCCCGCTTCCATGATTGGTGATATAACTGTTAAATTTAATGAAGAAAATGATAAATATCTTGAAATGGATCAGAGAATACCACTTGACAAAAATAGTGAACTCAGTAATACACAATCACATGAAAAAAGAAAGACAGACTCCTCCAAGGACAAAGGTTTAGTACTACCAGATCTAGTTAGCAGTATTAAAAATGCCAGAGACGTTACTCCCCTCAACACTCCCGACGGTAGCACCTCTAATGTGTTAACTTGCCAGACTCGAACTTCTCAACAAGAACCAGTTAGTGTTAGAGAAAAAGAATTTACGATAGTTCCACAAAAGGATATAGAATTAAAACACGGCCACAGTGCACCACGGGACAGAAGTGCGGATGAGAGAAATGTCTCTACTCCAAGTGCCTCAAATTGCCTCAGAGATAACAACCTGAGACAGAACATAGCAGACGATGCCATGAGAATATTCAACAAATACCTAACAAAGGAAGCTGAACACTCAGTTGGAGTAAATGTTGCCACTGTAGGTAACATACTAAAAAAAATTTCTGTTGTACAGGAAGATATAGATCCCAGCTGTTTCATGCCTGCTCAGAAGATAGTGTTCAATGCCCTGGAACAAGAGTAAGTATTATGTTGGTTTTCTCTAGCTTAACCTCCTTCAATATTCTTTGCATAGCTAAAAATACCTGCATGTATTTTGAAAGATGTGTAACTGATATGTTTAGAATCTGTCCTATCTGTCTAAACCTAACCTAATCCCTCCAGGTAGCATTAGGGTGTCTAATTATCAGGTGAAATATGCTGGGGTGGATAGTACATAGATGATTCACTCATATTTTATTCAGAATGTGACAGCCACTTGTACTGAGAAAGTCTTATCATGGAATTAATTGGGTGTATTTACCTCACATGTAACTAAAACAGCTTTATCTTAAATGCACTTTTCTTACAGGAATAAAAAAAAAATATATAGCTAAAAATTTTGTAGGTTTGTAGGCTAATTTGACCCTGATAAAAGTAAAGTTTGTTCTTATAAGAGTTCTACGATGTAGCTCCTTCCACCTTGTATTGTCTCTCTCTGCTCACTTATATGCATTATAGATCAAGTGGTAAAGATACCTCAAAGAAGAGGAAATATAGTTGAAAGAATGGTGTAAAATAAGTGCAGAAAGTGACAGGAATGGGATAATTCAGCACAGAAACTTCCATGTAAGTTTACCCATGTCTTCAGTGCTGTTTGTGAATTTACAGCTTTCACAGGCTTTTAGCACCAAAGATTGTATACACAGTCAGAGAAAGGGAATGATAACTACCCTGTAACCTAATGTTCTTCATTGAAGGGTCAGTGTAACTATATGCTCAAACTGTTTAAACTAGTATAACAATTTCACTGAATAAATATTTATCCATTTGTCCATCAGTATAAGAATTAATATAGAAGGGAGAAGATAGTGTAACCATTAGGAGTTGAAGAATGTATCAGTGATGAGTTTTATCTGAGACCAGAGCTGATGAGTTAGTTCAGAGTTTATCAAACAGACTTGTGTGACCTTCAACTATTGTATGACAGTTATCTTATTGTTCTCTTTGTTTCCCAAGGTTTTTGCCCAAGTTCCTGGCAAGTGACTACTACCTCAAACACCAAATTGATGTGCTCACCAGTGGCTCAGTGAGACTGGCAGACATACTCTATAGTGATTCAGCTTTTCCTTATTTTATGGAGGTATGTGACTCGATGTAGCCTTACTCCTAGCAGGGACACAAACAGATGTATAATTCTCATATTTTGTTTCAAACCAATTTACCACATAATTATGCTAAAATTGTGACTGGGCAGCTTCACAATTGTAAGATCAAGCTGTCTTATGGCTCCCAGGGTTTTGAAATTAGTGAGTTATTAAAACTTTACATAGGATGATTTAACACCGGACAAATATATCCACTAAACTTACTTGACTTAATCCCCTCCTAACCTCTCAGCATCTTTCTATTGGTCTATCTCTGTGATCTCAAATTCTCCCTAACATCAGACAGACTCACCTAACCTATCTCTTTAATATTGGTTTATATTTGACAGTACGTGGAACAGGAGGGTGGACGGAGCATATTACAGTTTTGGGTGGCGGCGTCAAACTTTCGGCAACAGCTGATGGAGCAAGCGGATATTTCTGACCCAAAGCAGGCACAAGCCGACGCCATGATCCTGTATGATAAGTGAGTCGTGCAGGTTTCCGGAACTAGTTTATCGATCGGACATTTAAGGTTTTGTTTCAGTACCTTACAACAATGAACCTTACTTTACTTCATACTGGCACTGGTTTCTCCCTGTAGGCTAGGGAAAAAAACCACAACTGACAACCAACTAGTAAAAAGTATTGCTCAAAAAGGATTCCATCTCTAAGTCAGTCAGGAAAGGTAGACATTAAACTGAGGTAGATAAAGGAAAGAGTATAAATAGATGTAGAAATAAGGGTAAAATGATTAGGGTAGTCGAAAAAATTTAGTGTTGAGTTTTGAAAAAGTGAAGTTAACCAGTGTGTGGTACTGGAGTGTAGGTGTAGCTAACAGCAGAATAATCAGAACAATAAGTGAACTGGCAGGATTTTCATGTTGTTAAATAGCTTTGAAATCTTTTATTGAAGCAGTAACAAATTATAGAGTTAAATTAATGTAGAGTAAATAAATATAACTGCCTTGTGATTCTTAGTACAGTCTTATTATATTTGTTATGGTTATACAGTGTTACTTTAACATCTGTCTCTTATTACAGATACTTCTCCCTTCAAGCAATGTGTCCTTTAGGGTTCAGTGATAGGTTAAGGTTTATTGTGGAAGGAAACATCTGTCGTGAGGAAGGACCACTACCTTCCTGCTTTGATCTGCCTCTTAGAGTGGTACTACATAGATTAGAGAGGGTAAGAACATCATTAGGAGCCGGTTTATCTTCCCTGTTGAGTGGTATTAATGTACAGTATACTCAAGGAAATATGTACCTCATTAAATTATCTATAAAACAATACAACTTCCGGTAGTAATTCTCCCTTAACACCTTCACTACGGGGATGCTTTTTTTAATATTTTATTTGACTAATGCCAGACAATTTTCTTCAGCTCAGAGGTGACCCCAAACACAAGGGATTAAAACTAAGTAAAATTCATGCAGATTATAATACTGTACATGTACCCAGATTCCTTCCTTACACTTATTTTTTTGATACCACCCATCAGAAACTTGTTTAATTTTGTACTTGTCAAATACATCACCGCCATATTGAAAGTAAGTTCCTAGAGAATCCGTATCACAAAAAACAACAATGAATGAACAGTAATGAGAGTGAGATGTAATTTCAGGATTTCTTGGTGGGATATTTGTCCTCCAATCTTCACATCAAGTACCTGAGTGAATTGATCAACACTGTCAAAACCAGCGTGGAACTTCTAGGCCGTAAAAAACGATCTGGTAGGTACTTGGTCATTACTGGGGTCAAGAGTAGCTTAGTCACATACTGTATAAGAATGACAGAGAATAAAGGGAGAATCTGTGTGTTTGCCATTAATTCTGGCTATGCTGCATTTTAACAGAGAAAGTCTTTAAAAAGCATTAAGAACTCAAGCAAGTTTTTGTTCCTGATGCATGAATATGAAATAGAACCCTAGGAATTTTAACCAGTGAATATCTGTTTTGTTTCTTCCTCTCTGTGAAGGGTCAGAAAGTACTTGTAGCAGTGAACAGAGCAGCAGCCATGGTGGTATCAGCACCCAGAATACACTCCTAGCCATGGACACGTCAGTATCCAACCGTTTCCGAAACTTAGATGATCCCACCCTTGCCATGAGGATAGATGAAGCTCAGATCACTGACCCCGACTCACTCTGGCGTAGGAAGAATTTCAGGTACATACTTTTTATGATGTTAGTTGGTATGATTCACTGATTGTGTCTGCCACTAATATATTGTTGTTGTCAGTTACAGTATTTGCATGATTTAGTGATTCTGGTAATGTTACTACCCAGTAATTTTCTGTCTTTTAATATATAATATGTAATTTGTACCTGTAAAATAAGTATTATTATCTAACAGTATGGTTACTGACCCACTCTGTCTTGTAGGTGTCAGATTGTTCCATCTGTTTCTCCTTTCCATTGTCAGACTATTAATGTACCAAGGAACTCTGTACTTTGACAACACCAACTACGTACTTTATTTTTTTGAATGCAAACTTGCCCAAATAGTCTTCGTCGCCCTTGTCCCTCCACTTTACATAAGGACCTATAAAAGTAAAGCTCACTTTGTCTCAACTTTAGGGTAGTGTTAAAGTAAGGACGTGTCAATTTAGAAAGGAGGCAGGGAAGTTATTTTGGTCCATATTAATGACATATATGTAGTGTGTGTCTGTTTCTGTGAGGACTTTGAATTAGACAGCTGGTTAAGAATACCTACAAAATGTACACACACACCTCAAGACCAAACCTCTCCTTACACTAACCTGAAGTGCTGAAGAAACAAATGAAGAAGTTTTGGACAAAGAAACGTCAGGAGGGGAACCCAAGTCTAATAGGCCAAATAAAAAAGGGAAACCACAAGCGTGTCAGTTTTTGTGATATTTACAGCAGTCTAGAGAGATGAGGGAACATAAATCTGATCTTATTATTCCAGTTCATAGCAAATGTCTTTATCCCTGTGGAACCCTCCCTATAAGTACAGGCGATACAAAAATTGGTTGGCAGTAAATCAGCATCAATAACCCTTAAACCCCAGGCGACGCAAGACCCACCTGACCCCCCCCCCCACAACAAATAAATACATTTAAATCCATTGTCACCTTATAAACAGGTTATTCAATATAAGAAAAAGACCAGAGGAATATACTTACATTCAACTTTCATTATAGCAAGGTTGGAAGGTTGTCTGGAGTGTTGATGAACAGTGTGGAGTGATGAAAGACGTCTTGTTTGAAGCTGCTGTGAGCAGGAAGTGATGATGACAGGCAACACACAGTTCTTACTTGAAGGCCCCTTTATATCATATTTCTACCTTACAGCTACTACAAAACACAAAATATATCTATTTTCCACAAAAGAACTATAAAATACTGAGCAGAGGTCGAAGATGTGCATCCATCACGATAGTTGGTGAGTAACTGACTGCGAGGCACAAATCTTGAGATAAATATTACACGTGAGTTGAGTTGCCAATTAAACAGATATCCAATATAAAGTGTTGCTGCTAAAATTAAGAACATTGAGGAGCATCATCCAGGCTTTAAGGGTTAACAAATCCACCAATGCAGGAATTCCCAAGGGAAAAAATCCAAGTAAATAATTCTTGGATGGCATCACCTTATTTGAGACCAGGCATTGACTCTGATATTATTATCCAATCAAAACTTGTGCTGCCACAGTTGAATAAGAGAAGGCTAGTATGTGAAGAAACACATCCTTAGAAATTTGCCTCACACAAGGAGAACAACCAAGAGAAACTTCTCTCATGTACCTAAGAAAAAAAAATTGTAACATCCTACATTCAGTGAAAACTCAGAAGAACCTATGGTCAGTCTCCCTCACTTTTGGTACCCTGTACATCCAACCTAACATACAAGTTGTCCTAATTACTAAGCCACTAATTTAATGAAGCTCACCATCCTTTGGTCATCTGTCAACATAAAGACAATCTAAAATGCCATGGAAAAGTTAACATACAGAGAAGTACAATCAATAGTGAAATAACTCTTGTAGCCCAGCCGAGAGAATACAAACCTCCTGCCGAGGGAGCGATTCTGGTTTTGAGAGATTTCTGGTATTGAGATGAATTCTCTTATCCTTCGAAAAACTCACATATCTACAACATTTTTCCGGGCACTAGTGAATGTTTCCAAGTCTAAACTAAACATGTGGCATGGAATAGAGTTGCTACAGAGGCTAAACTGTAGTCGGACAGACATAGAGCTGTATTTATTTATGCAAACACTACAGTACACATACAGTATATTGTAAATAAATAAAATATACAACTGTATACATTACGCTACAAGTACAGTACTGTACTCACCAGCAGATGCTGTCTTCTTAAGTTTGTGATGCAGGCAGGTCAAATGGTGATATGATACAGGATGGCCTGCCTTTGCCTGTACCATCTACTGTGACAGCTTGGTGCCAATGGGGTTTTCTGTAGCTTTCGGCACTGTACACTTGCTGTATGATGTACATACACCCTCTACACACTAGGCTAGCGTAGGCATACACTGTTTACTCTACTGTACGTATGGTACTCTCACACTTATTGAATGTACAGTACAGTATGTGTAACTGTAATTACTTTTTACCTCTTAACACTGCTTTAACTATATTCTTGGCTGAATATATTGTGGTACAGTAATACACAACACAGATTGTATGCGAAAACAGCAGAGAGCGAGTGAACAAGCTTGTACAATGGCAGCAGATTATGAACTAAGTGCATCATGATGCTAGGGTTTGAGGAGATAGGCTGGGAGATACGTCAGGCAATCATAGGCATCAGTGCATGGTACAATCTATCGGAAATTCGTTCGAATGCCCAGAACGGATAAAATTTTCTGGAAATTTCACGGAATGCTCGAACCTCCCCCCCACACACCCACACACACACGGTAATGGGAAGTTCTGGGGATATTACTGTACAAGGGTATTTTTTGAAAAATTTGCCGTGGTTTTGTTTAGTAGTGTTACTTCTATATTTCTTTACAGCAAAATGAGTTGTGGTTATATCAACGAGCTTGGAAGATTTGAGTCGGATCTTCAGCCAGAGCCAGACCGTAAGACCGAGTCTAAAATATCGAGAACACTAAAGAAATTTGTCAACATGGATGAGGATAAGGTTAAAGAAGACATAGCATACAAAGTTGCAGAGATGATCATTAAGGACGTTACCAGCGTGACCCTCGGCTCCCAGCACAGTAGTAGGTCTAGTGTGGAGTTCTCGGCTCCTCCACTTTCTCCATCCTCAGTCTCTCAAGATAATCTCAGTGATGTCTTCCCCTCATGATGGGAAGCAGTATTTCTATTAATTTTGCACATTATCTAAAACTTTCCATTTCTATTGTGAATATCATATTGCCTCACCATGCAGTACTCATCTACTACACTATGTTGGCATAAAGGTAAAGGTTTGTCTTGGTATTCTCCGACTTGTTTTTATTAATCTGAGACAGGTGAGTGTGCTTGTTAATAAGACAATGATATTTCCATCAGCTTTTGAGTCTATGATAAACGTTTTTAATGCTTCCCTTTCATAACTACAACACAGTGTAGCAGATGCTGCACTACCTTTTTTTATAAAACTCATTTATTTCTCATTCATATAAGATGTTGAGTAATCATTTAGAAAATGTATATACTGTATACTTATCATTCCGACGTCAGCCTTTAACGTGCGGTGTAATAGGAAATTATGGATAATCATATTTTTATTCTTTCACTTGAAGGTTAAGATATTGGTCACCAAAGTAAGGAAAAATAACAAGGCAAGATAGCAGAGTAACCAAGTACAGTACAATACACCACAGTTTTGTTAACCATTGGTTTATTATTCAGATAATCTTGCCAGTTTAAGTTGCCCATATGGTACAGTATATCTAAGATGTCGTCTTTAATATTTTCACGTGTAATAATGTGTAAAAATCTCAAAGCTTCAGTTTAAAATTCTTAACATGTTTTGATGACTAATCACAATCAAGAAAAAGGCTTAAGAGTTTTATACAGCCTAGTTGGATGCATAGTTACAGGTACATTCATGCACAGGTGCACATGTGCCCCTTTACCTAAGATGCCAAAGTCAGTCTTACATACTGTACTATACAGTATTGTATTATGTTCACATTCATTTATCAGAGGAGGTTTTTATGGAACAGTAAGACATTGAGGTGATTTTAGTAAAAAAAAAAATTGGGGGGCAATAATTTCATCTTTTTATCATAAAATATTATCCAAAGAATGAATGAGGTGGAGTGTGTAACTAAAGTAAAAATGAACAAATGAGTTTGAATGTGTGTTTATAATCTTGTGTATAATATGTATATAGGAAATTATATACTACTGTATATACTCCAGTTTTAGTTAATGATCTGAAAATAAAGATCAAGAACATAACTTTAGTTTGTTATATGTTTGAGGATTTGATAATAGAGAGATTAGCCAGTGGAGATACTGGTTTGTTTCTCAGTCAGGGAACAAACCATCTCTCTTCTACAACTGGCACGTATCAGCATTAAGTAGAGCTATTTATAATATATATACAGTATGAACAAAGTGATTAGTGGATATATTCTTATTATAACTTGTTAGAATTAATGGTAGTGAGGTGTACATTTCCAGAACATAGGTTGTAAGACCTGCCAAAGGTATCTCTAGATACAAAACCAATGTTGCTTTATTGTTACTCTACCAAGGCTTGTATTGTTAAGATTTGAGGGATCATTTTAGGGGTTCAAAAATAGAACAATACTGATTTATTCATAGAGCTTGTTTGTGTCACTGATATCGGGGTTATGTCAACTTAAAACCCGTGAACTGACCCTTAAATGTATATAAATTGACATGAGTTGGGGATATATATTTATTTCTCCAACCAAGGTAAATTTTTGTACATGTTTAAAGGTCAGTTCAGGGGTTCAGAGTTGTCATAACACCGATTTTTAAGCTCATGGACACATTGTAGACATCCTTACACACACACAGGCTCCAGTATTGTTCTACTTTTGAAGCCCTGACAATACCTTTTGGATGTGTTCTGTACATTTCACCAACTCACTACAGGTTCAACTTGAAATTCTATCAGTGAAGTGACCCAAAGGTATGTACAGTCCCCCAAGAATGTATCGTTAGTCATGGGGTCGATGTGATTCGAGGCTTTCTGAGCAATGTTACTTGACCTGTTTCTGAACAATTGGTAGTTCTACATCCGCGAACTTTTAGCATGAATGAGTATACTGTATACGTTTTGAAACGATGTGAATCCTCCAAGGCTTTATATCGTAAATTACACGACTCTGATTGGGTCGTAAATGGACATCAATGCCATGTCAGTCATCAACGGGATCTTACATTGAATGGAATGAGGAATTATCAGGGAGACATCGCAAGATGTGCTATCATGCCCTTCACAACAAGGGTATACGTAACGCTAAGATAGCATGACCAACTGGGGTGAGCGAACTCACAGTATCAAGATGAGTTAGGCACCATGAAACAACTGCTGCCACACTGAAACTTACAACCATAAATGTTTTACTACAGGTGGACAGGGGGTTCTGTTGCCTTCAAGTCCCTTGATGTTAAACCAATGCGATTTACATATCAGTAACATGGCAGATCCCATGTAGACCGATATGTTGTATATTGCTGTAGCTATTCACTTGAATATCAAGTACTATTTGCTGAGTCACTCTTCATAAAGCAGACATATTGTGAACAATATGAGTAGGCATATTGTGAAACTTAGCATGAATGAAACTTTGTTATTAAAATGTCATAATGGTGAAATGTCTATTTTGAGGTCTGTCTCAGTCTCAGTTATGATATTCCAAAACATTTCCATTTAATGTATATTTCAGTGTTATTGTAATCATCAGTCAGTGGCTTGATTACATATGCCTTGCTTCTTCCCATTATGATTCATACAATAATATAGCTTTATGAGTTCTTGTTATATTGAAGTGTCTAGTATGCCATACAAGGACAACACCCCCCCCCCCTATCCTACCTCCATCTCTAGCTGTTGTTGAAATGGTGAGCAGGCTTACCAACTTATAATGATGCACTGGGGGTCATATCAAAGCATTTCGTCTAGTGTTTCAGATTGTAGCGATGGAAAATCTAAATACTTTTTGGGGACTGTACATATAGTTAAATATCTCGGTGAAACAGCTTTGTCATTCTGCCCTTGTACTGTACTGTATAAGCCACATGCAAAGTCTTGACTGGCATATCTTCACGCATGTCTATATCTGGCCACCACTCGAGGGCCTTTATCACCTTTTCTTAAATTTAAGTGAGTGATACATAGAATCTCCAAATATTTCTGTTGCATTAACTAAACTATTAAGTACTCAGCAGTAATCCCCTAAGCTTTGCTCTACAATTACTGACGTTTGATAACATTAAAGAAAGTGATGGAGTGTCCACCTGAACTTATATGTAAGAATGCGAGAGAAGAATAATTGTTATCTGTGATAGTACACGAGGTAGGGGGAGGAGTTGGATATAGATTGACAAGAGTGAACAAGTATTTACCATAACTACATCAGTGTAAGCCAAAATATGTCGAGTGAATGATTTACGGAGTTATTCAGGATAAAGATTCTCAAAGGTTCATGCAGTACAAGTAATTTTCCTTGTAACTGAAAAATTAAGACTGCAACTTACTGGTTGACTGAAGTTAAAATACAAAAATAACCTCACAATCTACTGTTCTTTGAATGAACTTTTGAGGATCTGGATTCAGGGTTTGTATTCATGGAGAAAGCTGATAAAAAAAGACAAAGCTGAAATGGTAAACACGACAGTGAAATTAAACTATTAACCCTCTCGCACAGGCACTAATCTTTTAAGTTTCCGTGACCACAACAAAAGTCACATAGGACCACTTACATGAGGTCTGGCCTTCTACGTTCTGCAGTCAAATTACCCACAAGATCTTTTGTTTTCACGATTTATACATCAGCAGAAAAAGTAAGATGGGAATAAGACTATTTTTTCACTCCAAATAAAGAAAAAAAAAGTGTTCCCAGCGTCATATCTCAGACCTACCAAATTATACAGTTTTAGAAGTGGAATTTTATGAGCTTTCCAACAGTAGCTTTGGAATTTTGATATGAATAATAGTGGGGAGGGTGGGAGTGGAGATAAAGGGACAAACGCCACCTACCAGCACTGCTGACGGGAGGAAACTGATCGACAGCGAAACTCCACCAGCGTTTTGGTACTTTCTAGAAGTTTCCCTCACAAGATCATACAATCATCTATGACACACGAAAATTTGGCGCAATTATCTTTTTCTTTTTAGCTTAATGATGCAATTCACATCAGCAATGCAAATAGTTCTACCCAATGATTTAGCCCAATTTGTATCATAATGCGCAACAGGGTTAAGGCTTAAACTATGTAGAGGGTGTCACATAGGTCCCCCACCATAGGAAAGTTATTTTTTTTTCCTTATTCATTTGAGGGAATCATAACAAAGACAGCAAACAAATTAACACTAGAAGGAAGAGTCTGTTTAATATTGATGTATGGAAGCCAGATGCTACACACATGCAAAGAATTTTTTTATGAACAACACCTGTATCCCTGGATGTTGTCCATTAAATTATTTTGCACCTGATTGGTGTGCTGTCTGTTGATTTTTTACGATTCCCTCAATTAAATAAGAAAAAAAAACTAATATTCCTTTGGTGGGGGACCTACAAGACCCTGTACAATAGTGTTTGACTGCCAGGCTGCCAAAATTACCTTGGGCTGTAATATAAATGTAGCTAAGAAAACTATTACAATATTGGTAAATATATCTTCACATGGTAGCGATCCCATAGTTGGATGAAAATAAGATCTACTTACAGTGCCCATCAAAAATATGTATTTCAAGTAGTGAATGTGGTTGGAATGTAGAGGACAACCCCTTACAACCTGTGAACTTGACTATTTGAGCAAAGGTAATGGCTGAGGTTTGATATTATTTGTATCTTTTAAAGAAAACTTTGTTAATTTTTTTTTAACTTATTGTAGTTTACATATCATTATACTGTTGTGCCTATCAAATGAACTGGAACTTTTGTAGTCATTTGTTCTATCAGTTTGGTTTTAGACCTTTGTCTGGCTCTGTGCTGCTCTTGTACTATCAAGTAACTCAATGGGTTGAAAATGCATTAACCCTCAACTTGTGACTGAAAGGAATTGTTTAAATTGTTTGCACCAGCTATCTATAAAGTCGTTACCATCAATGTTTACAGCCATTTTGGATTAAAGGATTATCACTTAAGGCTGAAAGTGTGCTATGCAATCCTCACTTTGTTTTGGTTACACACTGTCATTTCTTGGGTTGGTCCTCAGTTTGCCTCACCTTGTGGAAGGGGTTCCCAGTGAACCACAGAACTAGTTACAGTATCAGGTTGTGGAAGAGAGTGACTTTCATGTCTAGTTAGGTGGGATTGCCAGTCAAGCCCAGTGTTCTTTGGTTGATAGTGTTAGTGGAGGAGTAATGCTTTCTCCTCCCCTGGGTTGGCTACATGCACTGTAATCATATCAGAACTCACCGATGAAAATATAGTAAGAAAAGAAACATCAAAACAAATAACGCGGCAGCAGGTGTCTCGTCTATGTTAACAAAAAGTACTTAAATTGTAATTAAAATCAAAAGTTGTTGCCTCTTAAATTATTTACAAAATGATAAAAAAATAAAAACATCTTTCGTAAAATGGACGGAATTGAACAACTTCTATCCACCCAGTTATGGCCTGCACCTATCTTAGTCACCCTATCCACCCAGTTATGGCCTGCACCTATCTTAGTCATCTTATCGTAAAATGGTCACCCTATCCACCCAGTTATGGGAATTGAACAACTTCTATCCACCCAGTTATGGCCTGCACCTATCTTAGTCACCCTATCCACCCAGTTATGGCCTGCACCTATCTTAGTCACCCTATCCACCCAGTTATGGCCTGCACCTATCGTAGTCACCCTATCCACCCAGTTATGGCCTGCACCTATCTTAGTCGCCCTATCCACCCAGTTATAGCCTGCACCTCTACACCCTATCCACTCACTCACAGTTGTCAACATGAGGACACTGTACCAGAACTGGTAGCCAGGTATTTTCTAAGAATTATACTGTAACATATGAATTACAGTAATAACAACTTCAATGAATATCAAGAATATTAGCCATAAACCTGTACTGTTTATTGTAATATTTCGCAATGTCTCCCATATTTCAAAATTTTACCAAATACCCGTATTATGTAACAGCAAAACATTACGAATAATGATTTATTTCAAATTTGAGGGGTACAAATTATGGGGTTTTTATTATACACCTGCAAACCCATGACTAACCCACACAAACCTAAAAGTGATTATGAATTATTAGGGCAGAGAAACTAGAGCTTTTATCTCAAACAAGCTTTTCAAATTCATTAAAACTCTCACATCTGAGCTGCATGGCCTAGTCACTGCCTGGAGGAACTAGTTACCATTATGCTTTTGAACTATTCTGTACCTAATATGTGCCACTGGGATGTATTAATATTTTACCCTTCTGGGGTGTTTGTTGCAATAAAATTTGGAGCATATTTTGGCTCCATCTTCCGTATATTTTGCTGGCTGTAGGTAAAAAATATAGTTGGGGCCAGGCATCAGCTTATAAATAAAGTGGTTGATCTTGAAATCCCATTTATAACCAAAACCTGGATTAAGTGACACAGTTACCCTGCTCCTTCCCTGTGAATAATATTGAGAGGATTGATCCAGGAAATGTTGGTTTGTTACTGAAGCCAAATAAGAGTCGTGGATCACATGTGCTAATGTGGACGGTACGATTTATCACCTTTAACCTCGAGTGGTATCCTTCATCTGAGTCTCTTTAAATACCTAGATGTGACAGGAAGGTACAGTATAATGTAACCAATTATCGTAGTTTCAGCCATTCACGTTGAGGGTTTCTGGGTTTACGACCCTGGTAATGTGAGTCACCGGAGTCGGGTTTAATCCTTCATTTTTTATTGTTTGTATGTAGCAAGGACTGTGTAGTTTCCAGGAACTCAGGGGTAGTTACATCAATCACTCAAAAATCTCAAGCAAAATATTAATTATACTGTAGACCATTTTTATTGAATGTTTTACTTTTAACTTCGTTAACCCTAGGTAGCCCTTTCATTACTCTACTGTAGTGCAGGTACAGTACAGTTCTGCCACACTACAGTATTGTGTTGAGCTATGTATCCCCTAACATTATAATGCCATCATACCTGTACATGCCCACCTACCCTATAATGCCACCATACATGCCTGCCAACCTTATATTGAGTTAAAAGTTTGGATATACTGTATCATGTCACGAAATTCCTATCATCTTGAATCATTCCCAATCTGTGATATCAATCCAAACCACTTAATGGCACCATGTTGGCAAGCATCATCAGAGGCTATCCCATGGTTATTGTGCCTATTTCCCATGGGTGTCAGTCTCTTACATCAGCTAATCAGGTGCTCCTCCTTATCCCTCATCTTTCTCTTTACCATTTCATGATTCGTGCTTGCCCATCTGTTTCAGCTCTTAAGAGTGAAACAAAGTGAAGTGTTGTGCATATGCTGAAAGTTCACCTTTATGTAATTAGAGCAAACTGGAGATTCAAAAGGTAATACCAGTGAAGAGTTAAAGGACTTGTGCTGTTATAGTTACTTCAAGCTGGTTAAAAGAAATTTGTGAGGGACAATCTCTCTGATACAAGAATTTATTAAAATTAACCCTTGTAGTTTATAGCTGGATTCACAGAAATTAAGTGAACTTGTACTAATAAAGAGATAAAGGTAAACATCTCATATTGGAAGTTATTGAAAGCAGAGAGGATAATGTCAGATGTTTACACCGAATCTTTTCAGTGCAGACTTGTGATTTATGTACCATTACAGGGTATACATATAATGAATTTGAGGGATGAAATACTTAACAAATATGGATGTACTTTCTTTCGCTAAAAATTTGCAACATATGGGTAAAGGGTAATGAACACAATACTAATTTAATTTAACCTTGGTAGGCTACCTTACCTGTGCAGGGTAGGTGTGTGGTGTGGCTGTTTAGCTATTACCTCACATGAATCATGACTGCTAAAGTATACTACTGTATGTCCACTAGTTTACTCATAAAGTACAGGGAATCCTCACCTTTGAGTTCACTTAAGTTCCCAAGAAGGCTAGTGTTATGTTATGAACAGGTGGAAATCACTCGTCTTTTAATACTTAGTTCTTCAATGGGAATTAACTAACTCTTGCTGTCAGTTTAAAGGATTCTCTGACTATCTGTCCTCCAGTTTGACAAATAAGTTAGTGGCACCCTGAAACATTAACCTCTTTCTCTTTCTGGCTGGGGTCTAGTGGGAGAATGTTGCAGGTCAGCTTATAAAAGATGTCCCCAGTCATAAAATGGGGATTTCATACTTGTGCCCTTAACTCTTTTTACCAGATACTCAGTACAATACAGTAATGATGTAAAAAGATAATAAGAGGGCAGAGTGACGTCATATGCTTAGACAAGTCTATACTATGGGCAGTATTGTACCATATTTAGGGTTGCAAATTTAATACAACAATAAATTCAGCACGCAACACAAGTATTCAGGGAAGATTCTATTTGTGTCACGTGCTAGGATAATTATTTACTGTACATAAGTAAGTTTGAAAAAAATATATGCAAAACTGTGCTGTGCTTTGAATGTAGGGTAATTATATAAATGACGGTAATAGAGATGATCCAAAATGTATGAGATGTTCTAGGAGACTTGTGATAATTGATTCAGTGAATATAGTGAGATATGAAGGAAACTGCATGTATACTATACCCTGTTATAAGTACAGTCAACATATACACTGTATGTAATGTGTATGTACAGTATATTGGTGAATTCAGTGTCAACAAAAGAATATTTTCTTTTTTCAGTACAAAATATATTTCCAGATCAGTTATTTAACCCCTTGACTATGATGACAACCCCTCAAGTATGATAATTTAACCCAAGTATGATGACTTCACCCGAGTATGATCACTTAACTCCTTAAGCATGATGGCTTAAGGGGTTATGCCATTATACTTGAGGGTTTAATTCCTCCATAGAACTTACTATTGAGTTTTGATGACTGTAACTTAGCCTACCGAGTAAGACTCGCATTTGAAAGAGTTAACAGTTGAATAAGGGATGCATAGATCTGTTAGGATATACTGTACATTGTTGTATGCTTTACAAGAGATATTTGTTATATATTTTTTTAGGTTTTATCATATAAAAATACTGTAGTATATATTCTGTTTGTGCATTTCTTTAAGAATACTCGGACCTGGATTTTGTTTTTTAACTTTATTTCTACTATTATCCTTTTAATTTCAACTTTAACATAGTACAACAGCAATCAAATACTGTACTGTAAATTATATTATTGCATTTAAAGTTCAAAGCAGTTGTAAATGTTTGAATTGTATATATTCAGTAGAGATGCTGCCATCCGCATTTCACCATTCCTGACCATGTGTGGATTGTTTAAAACTGTTTTGTTAGTGTTCCGACATTATCTTCATAAAGAATCGGGCTTAACACTTGTTCTTGAGATACAGTACTGTATTACATTAGCCAAACAATGAACAAAATTGTGAACAAAATTCCCATATCAGAAAGACAAGAGGCTCTCACACATGTTCATGAATCCTGGATAATTGCTAAATGTAGCTATTTCTTCCATAAGGTGTATGCCATTGATCATAATTTTTAGTCGGTTCACTTGAACTTTGCAACTGAGGCCTTGGGTCAATTTGTAGTCAGGCAGCTGATTGGTTAGCGGATGGACATGGGGAAACTTACTACAGTTCTTTAGTATTTAATCTATATTGTAGTTATATTATCATATTTTTAGGGATAATAACTATTCTGTGTTGATCTCTGATAATTTCCACTCTTGGGGAAGCAAAAATTAGCTTGTGAAATGCAATGGTAACATAAATATTATAAAGGAGAACACGAACACGATTAACAAGTTCCGAGACGTAAACTCCTCTTTGCCACGTGACTTGGTAGAGCGCGGTAAAGGATGTTGCTGATATTTTGTAAGAACTAAACTAGGACTCGGTTCCAAGCTTTGAATGATCAAACTATAATTTCAGTGCTATGTTCAACTGGTAATCTAATTCTAATGTCCTGTGGGCCCCTGATAATGTTCAGTGCTGTATATTGTAATCTTGTAAATGACCCTTGATATAAATATGATCCAGTACAGTTTACTTGTACAGTACAATCACTAATGGATGTTGGATCCCACTGAAACCACACCAGGCCTGGGTGTTTGGTCTGAGAGTATGTGGTGTTACATTATGTTAAAAATTATGTAAATTGTAAATCAAGAATTCACTGTACAGGCAGTCCTAAATTTACAAACAAATTAAATTCCTGGAACTCTTTTTGTAAATCCATTTGTTTCCAAGTCCAATTTTATTCTTGCAAACTCCAAACGTATTGTTCTGTATTTTAAAATATGAATTATTAAGAGAATATACAGTACACGTACAGGTGGCCCCCGAGTTATGATTGGGTAACAGTTTTTTAAAAACCAGTCGTTAGGTTATTATTATTTCTCCAAAGACGTTTTAACATGGGTGGGTATATTGGGGTAAAGTTTTTGGAGATCAGAAAGGTCCACTTTTTTTCACCTACAGTACAGTACATAGCCACAAGCACAGTGGAATAAAAGCTGATCACCATTAGAGAATACAATTCTCCTGCACAAATTGACACTATGAAAAATGTA